ACTTTTTAATAATTTAATTTAATTTAATTTAATTCTCTTCTATTTAATATTACTAACTAAAATAAATATTAAATTTAAAGAACTATTTTAATTTAAATTAATTTAATTTAGTATATTATCTATTAGAACTATATATAGTAACTTAGATTATAATAGTAATTAAATACTAGAGAAATATTATTATAATTCTCTATAAGTATATTAATAATTAGATCTATCTCTATATTATTACTAACTATAAAAAGATAGAGTAATAGTTCTAATAGATATAACTATTAGATCTATATAAGAGAGAGTAGTTTTATTACTATAAGTAAATTTATAATAAATTATAAGTTTAAATAATTAATATCTAAAAAAAGATTCTAATTATTCTTATTAATAATAACTATTATATATATAAAGATCTAGTTATTTATAATAACTAGGCTTTAGTTATAGAGGATAATAATATTAGAGATATCTATTATTATTATAAAAAGAGATAGTTAGTAATAGTAATAATAAGCTTAGAGAGATATTATAGTTAATTATAAATAATAAATATTTCTTTTTAGAGTTTATAACTAAGTTATATATTTAGTAAGTTTTTCTTAGAGTTTTTAAAGAAGTTATTACTTTATTTTAGCTTATATAAATAAAAAAAAAAAAAAAAAAAATTAAAGATTAGATATAGATTAAAACTTAATTAAAAATAAATTATATAGATCTAGTTATATATAGCCTGATCTTAAGATATTCTTTATATATATAAAAAACTTAAAAAAAAAAATTAAACTTAATATTTAAAATTATTTTAATAATATTAACTTAAGCTATATATAGAGATAGAAAAGTATATTTATTTATTAAATAGATTTAGATTCTAAATAATCTAGAGCAGTTAGAGAAAACTTATTTAGAAATATCTATAAATATATAGATCTACTCCTTATTTTATATATTATTCTTAATTCCTACTCTTTATTTTAAAATAAAAGCTAAAAAGATATTATAATAACTACTTCAGTATTAAATAGAGAAAACTATATATTAAAGATAATAACTAATTTAATAGTTTAGATCTAATACTAGATATAGTAGATTTAATAGTAAATAGAATAAATATAGTAATAGATTTCTACTCTTTAGATTTCTATTAAGCTTATTTTCTATTCTTTAGAATACTATTTCTTTATTAATTAATTCTAATATCTTAATTAATAAAAAAGTAAGATATAAGTATTTTATTTTACTAACTAGCTAAACTATAGTTAAAAAGCAAATTACTTTTACTAATTCTATTTTTAACTAGAGTTATATAGAATAGTTTATATTAATATTTAATCTCTTTATACTACTAATTAATATAGATCTACTCTTTATTTTACTTATTATACTTAATATCTACTCTTTCTTTTATTTATTATACTTAATACCTTCTTACTCTCTATTATCTATATAGTCTCTCTCTAAGATATATAATTACTATTTAATTAATATAACTATTAATATATATAATTACTATTTAATTAATCTAGCTATTAACTATAGTAGTAAATATATACTATATTTTTTTTTAACTAATAAGAGAAAAGTATATATATTATCTATCTACTATAATTATAAATACTATTAACTAGCTTTATATATTTAGTACTATATATTATATAATATCTACTTAGTTTTAAATAGTTTAAAAACTAGTTTAGATTAGTTTTAGCTTTATATCTTATATAGAAGATCTATATATCAGGATTATAAATAGAGAATATTTAGAATAAATCTATTTAAAAACCTAGATATAGTAAGTTATAGTTTCTTATATAGCTAAATAATAATCTATCTATATAAAGATATAGCTAGGAAGATTAGAGAGATATTTAGAATAGATTTATTTAAAAATCTATTATATCGCCCTATACTATACCTTCTACCCTGGAGCCTATATTATATACCGCTCTGTATATTATTTATAAGTAACCCTAACCCTAACCCGAAGTTTATATCCTATACTGCTAGCAACTATTATATATGCCCTGAGGATAGTGTTACAAGCCTCACTTGGCGCGCAATGTATTGGTATCTATAATCTGAATTACCTCCAGGGTAGTCTAATCTATATCCCAGCTGTCGTCAGCGGTGCCATTGGAGCAAAGCTTGGCGGCATATATGTTGACTATCAGTACCGCCGTCTATGTGCTAAGTTGAAGAGCTCTTTTCAAGAAGGGGGAGGAAACCCCAGCTTCCCAATAGAGAAATCCAGGCTTTACGGAGCTCAAATTATGATTGTCATTACGGCTTTGGCTACAGTTGGCTATGGATTGGAGCTCCAATTTCACCTGGTATACGCTCTCCATCAAGATTTCCCCTGGTTCTCTTCTTGGTAGACTCTAACAGATATCTAGCACATCTCGGTGATGTTGGTCATTCAATTCATTGCCAGTTTTACAACCTCGATAAGATTCGCGGTAAGCGACAACATTCAAATCAACGCTCTATATGGCTAGCGAACTAATTAATTAGGCTACAGATGACCGGCACGCTTCTGACCGACCTCAACGAGGACAGAGCCGTTACGGCAAGTGCTGCTTCCAACTTCCTACGTTGTTTACTCGCCGGTGGATGTATCGCGGCTTTGGAACCAATCACGAACTTGATTGGGTTAGGTTGGTGTTTTGGCATTTTCGCCATACTTCAACTTCTGGCGATGCCCTTTGTTCTCTTGCTTGAAGTCCATGGAGTCAAATGGAGAGGAGGAGACCAAGCGAAATAATCCTTCAACACCTTGAAAGGACCTTTTCTGTTTCTCTAATACATCCAGTCTATATCTATCTAAGTGTCTTCGCTTTATATTATTACTAGTCTAATTGTTGCCCTCGACTTCGATTCTTCTCTTGTACGGACGCTCCTCGTTACGATTTTGATTGGAGCTACGCTCATATTCCATTATCTATTCTCCTTCCCATGGTATTACTAGTTGGTACTCTAAATCTTCATTCACAGCTAGACTCCTATAATACCAGCCCTTATGGGACAGTAGGCTACGAGATAATATGGTTAACACAAGCGTTGCGTTGTTTCATTGGATGAGATCCATATAGAAAGGAATTTCACTCGATAAGGTGCGTAAGAGATTATTAGTTTATCTATGAATGTTACGAGGAGTCTACTATATACCTTAGTCAACGGAGCCTCATATATTAAATACTACTAGATTCAGCTTTTCATTTCTTCTTCTTTAGACTATTGCTTCCGTCTTGCCCATTAGATTATTATTACGCATTGTGATTCGTCTTTCAAAGGCTTCCGTTATCTTGGGTAATTGAGCGGGCTAGGAAGAGAGGGAGCTTTTTATCGTAGCGGTATGTGAATTGCCCGTTGCAAGGCCCCTTAAGGCTACAACCTGCTTCGATAAACAGAGGCAATTAAGGTAGTCGACTCACAAGTTAGGTATATGAATTGAAAAGAGGAAAAAGCATGTGGCTTTTGTTCTAGCTGCGAAAAATGACTCCTTTTTATAGCCCTGTTGAAGGGCTTGTGTCACGGGTTTGCCTTAGCTTTCTAAGCGTAAAAGGGGACGTCGTAAATAGGCTATTCTAAGCTGAAGAGAAAAGAGGAAAAAAAGAGTTACAAATCCTGTGCGAGATCGTAAGGGTCTAGCCGGGCCCTCCCAGGGGATTCGCACGCGACACCGCGTAACCTTACAAGCCTCGGCAAAGCCGGGTTAAGAAACCGGGCCCTGGCTCGTAACAATTATCTCTCTATATAACTATTCTAATATATCCTATAACCTGCATAACAATCCGCTACTATCGTGCTATAGTAAGCAGCTAATGGAACTTTCTTCTCTCTAATATAGGCCAGCCAATAGAAACGCTGGCCCCCCTTCTCACTAATACCGCCCGTAATTAGTGTAGTATGACGTGTGAAGATGAGGCTCTGTAGCTAATATAGAGCTGCTGATCAAATGCCAAGCTCTGGGGTGGGGGGAATGTAGCCGTGACTTTCTGTCCTCTACGTGGAAGCTGCCTATATAAAGCGCTGTTTTATCACCTGGGGTAACCTTTGCTCTTGGAGGTATATTTCGATCGCGGCCTGTACTTGCCTAACGCCTAAGAAGCTCTATACTTAGGGTCACGAAAGAAACAATAATACTAGAACTCTACACTAAGTATTGTTGATTTTTACTAAGCTTATAGCAGGATATCCAAGATGCCAATATCCAGAAAGGCGCAAGAACTGATAGATCTAGAGAATCACTACTCAGCTGGAGGTTATAATCCATTGCCCGTATTCATTTCACGGGCCAAAGGAGTGAAGTTATGGGTAAGTCTATAGAACCTAGTGGTTACAACCTGCAGCCCGAGAATATCTGTTATAAAGCTGACTTGATCCTTACAAAACCTCAAAGGATGTGGACGGCAAGGAGTACCTTGATTTCACATGCATGCTTGGCACGGTTAACTTGGGCCACTCTCACCCAGTTGTTGTCAATGAAGTCATCAAGCAGATAGAACAAGGTATGATACCTGGTAGGATTACAACTAGCAACACTTTAGGTGATGACTTATTACTTAGCATCGCTCATCAACCCCGCTGCACATACAGCTATATGGGCACGTTTTGCCCGCATGATGTGCCAACGCTTCGGCTACGACAAGATTATATCAACCACAACTGGGACAGAGGCTGTCGAATCCGCATGCAAAATTGCTCGAAAATGGGGGACCCAAGTTAAAGGAATTTTGCCACAGGATGTATTAATTCTTGGCACATCAGGATGCTATCACGGACTTTCGGTTTCAACATGGTCCTTTCAAGACCCGGGTCCTCACCAGGCGTGTAGGTTCCCGTTTGGCAACTGCGTTATATATGCTGGAAATATTAATAGTAGCAGCGCAAAGTCTTTCGACAGAATCTATGCTTCAGTCATAGAGCATCATCGCAATCACGGATCCAGAACGAAAGAATCACGTTACTACACTCTACGGTGACAGGATTTCATCCGTCAAGCGCCCATGTTTCTTCTCTTCTGCATCGACCTCAGCAGAATAGCAGATGCTCGTGGGCAAGTAAGGATTAAACAGCGCTGATCTTCCACTAGCATCCTCACACCCCCTAGCCAGCTCGCCAGATTCTGGATATTCATGTATCGAGTCTCGCCCCTCACGTACCTGCTGGAGGGGCTCGCGGTGGCCGGCCTAGCCGACATAGATCTGACCTGCTCCTCAACCGAGGTGCAGAGCATACCCGTGGCAAACAACTCTCTCGGACTCACATATGGCGAGTACCTGTCCGCGTTGGTCCGCGACTCCGGGGGGCGAGTGCTGAACCCTTCTGATGCGGCTGAGAGTCACTACTGCCCCGTGGCGAGCGTCAACACCATACTGGAGAGCTATGGGATGGGCCTGGACCATACGTGGAGAAACGTCGGGCTCTTGGTTGTTTATGTCGTTGCGAACATACTGGCAACGTTTGGGTTTTACTGGCTTAGGTTGTCGTCCAAGAAGAAGGCGGGAGGAGAGTGAAGAGCAACTAATTCGAAGGCTTTTGTTCACTTTACTAACATGTGATAATGGGTGGACAAGTATGCACATGATCAGAAGAACTGGATTAAGGAATTAGAGGTTGAAATTTGAAAATTCTTTCTTGATATTTGGTATTGATCACAGAATTCACGCAGTAAAATCCCTTGACTAGGTCAAGAGGTTTCATTGCTGGCCTATAGCGGTGGCTTTCGATGATATTCCAAGTTTATTTAGGGTAAATTGTTATTGAGGTCAGATATGCTCCCAACAGCGAGGCGACTTTCTTTCGGAATCGACCCGTTCCGGGAATTCACTAACATCAGATACACAGACATTCGTACTATTCAAGTGGATAAGTACTGTCCATGAAAAGGAGGAGCGATGCTCCCAAATGGTGTCAAGAAAAACCTAGATTCTCCTACAACTGCTTGGAATTGACACCCAGGTTTCCTTGCATTAATAATCTGAAGAGGAATCGCGGATTGTAAATCCAAGAGCAAGTGCAGGCGAGATCGGAGACATACCACCTTCTTACCTTATCTTTGGTTCTCAAGTCATGGTACCAGAGACGGGCATGGTTATGAACAACGAAATGAACGATTTCAGTATCCCTGGTTAGTCCAACGCCTTTGGATATATCCCAAGCGAGGCCAACTTTATCCACCCTGGCAAACGTCCTCTATCCAGCATCAGCACCTCCATCGTTGAACGTCCGAATGGTACTGTATCCCTGGTCACTGGTTCCGCCGGTGGTATCATCACTACGACTCTTCAAGTCATGTTGAATGTTCTCGAGAAGAACACGACAGCCCACGAAGCATTGACCGCGCCAAGAATGCACGACCAGCTTGTGCCACAAGAAGTCAGTTTCGAGTACGCATTTGACAACTCAACAATAGCATACATGAAGGAGATAGGATCAAAATCACATGGGTGGCGCCGGGGCAGAGCACAGCTCAAGCTTTGAGGCGACTACCGGATGGATCGTTTGACGCCGCTGGAGAGCCCCGACAGCCAAACTCTGGGGGATATTCCACTTAAACAAAGACATGTTATGCAGCGGCTAGTTAGAGGTAATCATAATATAAACCAATTGTCACTTCAAATTTGAGGCCATGCAGAAGACCGAAGTTGTGTAGCCACAAGGGTAAAGTCTTTATCCGCCTCTAAGGTATGTGTATCCTCCTAGCAGCGTGCCTCTAAGTTCCAAAGTTGGATACAGCCTGGAGCTCACAGTTTCCACACTTCCAAGTTGCGATACCGCCCAACAAACGGATTCATCTGACGGAACCCAATACGCCCATCCCGAACAACAGGGCCCGTAGAACGATCGACATCCTCCCACTCAAACAATAGCAAGCCGTTGACCGAAAATCGAACATCCCGCTTGTCCTTGATGACTTCGACCTTGTAATAGGCTCCCTGGGTATCCTCAACAGAAGGGATAGGATCAGCGCCCTGGGAGACGAGGTGGAAACCGGGCGACTTTCGGAGATTGGCAAGGTGGAAGGCCCGCTCTTCAAGCCATCGTCGACGGAAATATGAGGCGTGCAGAGTTCGGATATCACCAGAGTGGTACTGAGGATAGGAACCATTGCGAGGAGCCAGGCTCTTGTCAAAGATGCTGCCACCTGCTACAGAGGCAGCACCAAAGAAGAACATGGCCAGGCCGGGCTCCCTGATGGGCGTGAACTCCCAGGTGATGCGAATGCGGTCGGGAAAGACTTCAGGAGCCCAAAAAACAAAATGGTCGTCAATACCGCCAGCGCCGCTTAATTCCAGAGTGTGGTTGTTGATGGTGGCATTGACAGGACCCTCTGCGACCCAATCCGCAACAGCATCGCTGCTGTCAAAGGTATTTCGGTAGAGAAGCTTCTCCGCGAGAGCCGAGGAAGCCACCATGAGGGGGTAAAGAAGAAGAGATCGCATCTTGTCCGGGTGCAAAGAGAGGAACACAGATGAGCCCTTCCACGAGAATAATCTGCTTTCCTGCTGAATTATATATACGCCAAGAGAGCTTGTCTCGTCATTTATTAGACTATCGCCTGCTACTTCCGGGCCAATGGCCGAAATTATTACCTCAGCGGCCTGCAGCTGCGATTCGCGGATATTCTACTCAATACAGAATAGCCTCGAGGCCCTGCCATGTTACCATCCGCGAAGAAAAGATGTCATCAAGCTTCTAAGGCGACGATCGTTTCTTCAAGTGTCACAATTGGTCGGGCTAAGAGGAAATTACTTAACCAAATCCCACCAATCACCTTTTCCACGCAGGTTACGGAATCAATGTCGTCTTTTCACTCATTAATCCGCTCAACGGGCTTTTGTATCCTTTATTGACAACACGTAAAGTCATAAGCCGAGAGTGGCCCGATGTGCGATGAGAAGCTAATCAGTTTCGCTATAAAAGCTGACTACTGTAACATGCAAAACAGGAAAATGTTCAATCTCATTATTTCTCATATTCAGCGTTAGACTTGATTTGGTGGAGCAGCAACTTGGCGATAGCTTCATGTCCACTTTTGGTAGCCCGTGCTAGTGGTGTTTCGGTGTCTTCCCCGTGTTCCCAATAGTTATGCTTATATGCAGGATCGGCTCCGTTAGCAAGCAATATCCTGACAGCACCAAGATGATCATTCTCTGCAGCCGCGCACAAAGGCGTCAATCCGTCACCAGGCCACGTGAACAAGTCGAAAGACCCTATCTCATCTATAGCGTCGATGTTGACTCGACCAGTATTGATAAGTAGCTCAACGATTGACTCATATACATTCTCAGAAGCATATGACAGCGGAGTTCTGCCCCAATCCTCTGGGCAGCATTCTTGGAGTCGGGGCCCACGCTGTCTTTCTCTAGAAGCAGTTTGACGATGGCTTCGTGGCCCATTTGGGCGGCGTACGACAACGGCGTCATGTCTCCATGCCACTTGAACCTAACCGCTGAGTTTGGATCCATATTGCCTGATCCGAGAAGCGACTTCATAATAGTGTCAAGGTCAAAGTACGCTGCCAGGTGTAATCCTGTCAGGCCGCCATCTGGGTCTGTTCCGCCGCCGGTACTGGAGCACGGTTCATAGCGAGTGGAGCACAGTAGCGCCTGACAGGCCGCCTCAACCTTCCGGCCACTTTCGAGAAACTCTATGATTTCCTCTGTTAGAGTAGGAGCCCTACGAGCATGGTGGCCCCAGTGTTTCGTGGCGTAGTCATAGAGAGGGCTCGAACGCAACCGTTCAATGAGCTTATCGTCGAAGTAACAATACCCTGTCCCGAAAACGTCGTATGAGAGGTAAGTGAGGCAAGTTTTTGTAATCTCCGCTTCAGCATCTGGAAACCACTTTCCCTGAGTCCGCTCAAAGTATTCCCGTGTGGTATAGTGGGCTAGTCGGATGATGCTTCTCTCGTTTTCGATCGTGACTAATCCAAAGCACTTTGAAACCATTCCTTGAATGTCTGGGAGATTCTCCTCCTCAAATTGAGTAGTATCGGGCTCCACTGCTAGCGCGTACTGGAGCTCCAGTTGAGTAATCCATGCCAGAACCTGGAGTGCAATGTCCCTCAAGCCTGGCTTTTGACTGTCGATTCTCTCCACGGCCTGCTCATATGCATAGTCTAGTGCTTGGGCTTGCCCAGCTTCCCCTGGTCCTTAAATCCGCTTGCGGAGGTCCTTCAGCCCTTTTCTGATGCCCCTGGGTTTGAGTTTGTCATCAAGCGAGTCAAGAAAGATCTGCGCCAGAAGAAACCTAGACCGATGGTTAGCCAAATGCCGACACCGAGATTTCTGTTACGCATACAATCCATCCACTGCTGCTGATATTCCGACCTTGATCTCTTCTTGTAACTGCTTGTTCCGGCGGACAAAGGGTTGGAGATGCTCCATGCGCCCTTCCACGTATCTCTCAACGTCTTCACTGCTTGCCCGTATCTCCAATGTTGTTCCATTTTCAAATGTATCAACAATATCGGGTATAAATCTTGATGTAGCAAAGATCTTCACGCCACACCTGGCCTGAAGTTTGAACAGCTCTGAGAGAAGACTGGCTCGGCAGCCATCCGAGGCTTAACATTTGTCAAGCGCGTCGACGACGACGAATATACGTGAGAAGGTAGCAGCTACAGACTGGAGCGGACCAGAAAGCTCGTCGAGTGATGGACGCTTGCTGCCTCTGTCACACTCCGTCTTGAGAGCCTTCATTCTATCCGGTGTTCGACTCAAATGTTGGAAACACTGCCTCAAGATTGGTGCCAATAAGTTGCCAAGCTTTTGGCCATCTTTCCTGCGAAAATTGAAGTATATGTATGCAATAGCAGTGTTGGCATTACCAAGAAATTTTGTTGTGAGATCTTCAACAACGGTCGAGGTTAGGATTGTCATTCCAGCGCCTGGCATGCCCGGACAGAAGAGCGTATTGCCGACATTTGTCAGCCAACTTTGGTACTCTTTTTAATCCAAGAGCCAATTTGCAGTTCCTGGTTGCCGCCGACTAATAAAGTCTTGCTGTTGAGCGGCGTAGTCAAGCTCCGTGAGGCAGTCGAGGGTTTTGAGACGCTGTTCGTTGTCTTGCTGAAGATTCAGTCGGTCCACGCCATGTTTGACAGCATACATCGTTTGGCTATCCCTATTAGCACTCATCCGGAAGACATTCCGGAAAAGGCAGTGCGATCGTTACCTGGAGATGCCACCAAGAAATGTGTTGAGTAGCGTCGTGTTCAACGTGATCCGCTCTCGCAGCTCCCGAACATCGTCTGGTTCCCATTTGACTCGCTTCGAAACCCTCTCCACTCGGCTTCTTAACTTTCCATTACCTGAATGCAAATCTCTGTACTTGTCCAGAGTCTCTTCCAAGGTCTCAAGCACATCCTGACAGCTACTAACGAGATGCTGTAGGTCTGACCGCTGGTATGTATCAAGTTCGGTCTCGGAAGCAGTGACTTCCACATCGGATAGGACGATCGATAGACTTCTAACTCTATTACAACAAGTCAATAGGCATCTTCGGGGACTCGGCCCAACCATGCAACCAACTCCTTGGATATGTCTTTGGACTGGCTCGGAGCACTCTGAGAATCTTTGCGGGCCTTGTTAACGAGTTCAAAGACCGTAATAAAGTCGCCAACACCGACGCCGAAGCTCATCTTGGTGCATTTGCTTTGGAAACTTTGCAAACTTAGGTCATAGGTAGCTGTATTGAGTTGACAACCTGGGCACTTATCAGGCTCTTGTGAGATTTAGGAGTGCGGGATTTATGCAGGAGAGATAATCAGCTGAAGGATTAATAAATAATATTTTTTTTTAAAAAAATTTATAATTAAATTATATATTTAATAAACTTTTCCTAGAATTTTTAAAAATATTATTATTTATATTTTAGTTAATTATATAATAAAAAGTTTAAAAATATTTAAAATTAAATATATATTAGAATTAATTAAAAACTATATATATATATTAAATTATATATAATTTAATTTTAAAATCTTTTTTATATATAATAAAAACTTTAATTTTTTTTAATTGTTTTTTTAATTTTTATTACGCTCAAAACTGGCTGTAACCAGCCTGGGCAGTATAGATAGGTTCTTAGTTATTAGCTACAGGGTAGCTGTAGTCGGATAGCTTATAGTTAAAACCTAGGTTCATAATACCTTTACTTATATATAAGATAATATAATTCTTAGGCTTGCCTTATTTCTATCTACTAGCTGTTTATAGCTCTTTTATAGGGGGCTCCGTATAGCCCCTGTTTATAGTATAATAAATTTATAAAAATAATTATTTTAAAAGTTCTTAAGAGCTCTATTATTATTAATAATAATTTAATTTATATATAAATAATATTTCAAAAGAAAAAAGAGTTTATATTAAATATAGCTCTTTAATTAGCTAAGTATCATCTATATATAATAACTATTATTATAATTATAAAGTAATAAAAAAGAGTAATAATTTGTAATCTTTATAGATAGATTATAACTAATAATAATAATACTATTATCTTATATAAATAAACTCTATCTAGAGTTTTAAAATATAGCTATTAGATCTAGATAGTAACTTAATAAGAATCCTTCTAATAGTATATTTAAAAGTCTTTTTATTAAAGCTATAAATAGTAAGTATTACTATAATAATTAACACAATATAAGTTACAGTCTACCCATAGAAGCTCGTAGATTCATACATTAACTTTTTTCTTAGCAGCTCATTTGATCAGGCCTGAAAATAGAAAGCACTCATATAGTCTCGAAGATATTCGGCTAGGTCATAGCATAACCTTGCTCACAGTAGTTCAATATAGTGAGATAAAGGCAGAGAATGTCAGGGATTTAGCATTAACTACAGGAAACACAAAGTCCTACGTCACTAATCATTATACCCGTAGCTAAGAGAGGCTTTCAGCTTGTTAACTCGAGAAATCATGCTTCCCCAACCAATCGGCGACTTTCGTCATAAGCTCTCAAGCGATGAATGTGGTAATTGCTTACGGGCCATGATGCCTCATTCGGCCCCCATGATACATCGCCGCGCTTGCCTTGGCACAGTCACACCGCAAAAACGAGCCAGTGACGGTTCTCGCATCCGCCCCTTTGTTGATCAACTGCATGATTCGGGAGAGTTTAAACCTAAAGAAAAGGCATCTGCGGAGACCTTGAAAAATGCATCCAGTTTGAGACGGGTTGAGCTTGAAGAATACATCCAGTCTCAGAGGTGCTGATCCTGAGGAATACGTCTTGATACAGAAGTACTGATTCAAAAGAGATGTAGGAAGTAATCAGGCCCCCAAACATGACTCCGTCTGCAGAAGCGATCGGCTGTCATCAAACCATGCCGTGAGAATTTAAGCTCCCGCGCATGAATTTAGACAAGCCTTCTGAAGCACAACTTCATTGATTAAAACCACATTTGTCGTGATGAGCGCAGATCATCAGAAATTTTAAGACTTCGGAGATGCTACCTTGACAATCTGCCTTACCGAAGAAGAGGATCAGGAGCTTTTGTTGCCGCGGAAAGGAACTTTGTAGACACCTTCAGCGTATAGCATCATAACCATCACGTAACGATAACCTCATAGCTAGAAGATCTATTTTTCTACCGTTGAGTTTGGAGTAAACTCGGAATAGAGGATGCCTTGACTAAAATACGCGAAGGTGACCAACTGCCTTTAACAAGGTTCCAGCGATGTCTATAAAAGCTCGAGACTCTCGCTCCGATAAACTCTTTTTTCTACCAGCAAACTCATCATTTCAAACACTTGAGCAATCCATCCAAAACTTCACTTACATTTTACGGAAATCATCCATCACCACTCACCCACCAATCCAAAATGAAGCCTACCACCATTGTCTCTATCATCGCCGGATTCGCCGCTACAGCCAATGCTGGTTGCTACTCTGGCGGTGAGCCGTGGGGTGACAAGGCTACTGCCCTTGCAAAGGCTGAGCAGGCTTGCAGAGAATCTCTGACTGGCACCTACGGAAGCTCGGGATCTGGCAATGGCCACCGACACCGCTGCATTAACGCCAATAACAAGGCGTTGAACTTTGAAATCTGGCATGTAAAGGGAGGTGATCGAAACTTGGCCTTGGCCGAATGCAAGGACGGCCTCCAGAAAGAGGTCAACGGCTGCAACACTGGCGGCGACACCACCTATACCAACTGGCGCTACAAGTAAGATGTGTTTCTCTCTACTAGTTCAGAACTCAAGAATATTAACAGATTGTAAACAGGGGAGACCCTAACGCGGGAAACTGCTAGAGCGCTAGCTTGACTATGACTCTAGAGCCTCCCTTGTGAAGTTACTTGGCTCTCGAGTATTCGAAGGATTTGTTGTTATTAGATAGAAAATCTTTGATTAAGCTTGGAGATTTTATTTTGATAAAATCAAGTCCTTCATCTACATTACCGTCATCGAGTCTTCGTTTGTGGGCGACCAAGCGGCTTTTGATAGTTAAACGTGGCAAGATTGCCAACTTGATAAATTGAAGCTCTTGATGACAGATTTTCAGCCACATCCATGTGAATTCAACATGAAAGTAGTGGAAGTTGCGCTACCGGTCGATTTATTTGAACAAATTAAGAACCTAGGCAGGTCTATTATTCCAAGATGATGAGAATATAGAGTAGTCCACTGTCTGCATTGAAGAGTAGGCGAACAGTATCAGCCAGCCTTGCCAGCATAGTGATAGTTTCGTGTAATTCACGGTAGAGGGAGATATTGCGGTCTCAGAGGTAGGAACCCTGAGGATTGGTTGAAACTAGTAGTACTGCAATAGTAGAACAACTTCCTCTATATCATTGTCATACTTGGTTATTTTGAAATATAAGTTGCACTAAGCTAGGGTGTCAATGCACAAAACGCATATCCCCTCTACTCGAAACCCTCAACAATACACCTCTATTTCTTCTGGCTGTTATCGGTCTCTGGGGGGCAATTCTCCTGGTCTAGTCTTTGCACCACATCTGCCTCCTGGCTCGGCAGATACTTGAAAATGATGGGCAGAATTGCGGCAAGGATGGCAGCGGCGCCGAGGACGGCATTAGAAGCCGCAAATCCCTTCAGGTTACGGGGACCCTCCGACGCGGGCCACAGGTAACTTCCGTAGATGTAGCTGGTGTGGCCGAAGGAGTTGACAAAGGCGATGGCAATCGAGCGCTTTCTCTCAGGTTTGGCCATGACCTCACTAGTCCAGTTGAGGATCAGGGGTACCGTGGTGAACATGCCTCCGATGAGGAAGCACATCATGACGTACTTAACAGTGTTGTTTTGGACGACAATGGCGATGAGGCAGGAGATGGCAGAGAGAGAAAGCAGTCCAGTGATATGCCATCTGCGGTCTCCAGTCTTGTCAGAGGTCCATGACCAGCCGAGCTGGAAAACAGCACCGCACGCCCAGATGGGAACAGTCATCCACTGGGCATTGATGCTACTATATCCAAGCCCCTTAAGCATGGTGGGGATGAAGTACGAGATAGTCAGACCGAGGATATTGCAGGTATAGAGAGCCAAGAAAAGCCAGGTCTTGGGGTCCTTGAGAGTGACTGCCACGGCTTGCAGTGGGGTCAGGTTATCCTCCTTACGTTGAACAGTTTCGTTTCGATCGGCTAGGATGCGAACATGGCCCAGGATTCTTTGCTCGGGAGTCAGCATGCGAGAGTTGCGAGGGTAGTCGGGCAGCACGAAATAAAGGCCGAATCCGCAGGCGACGGTAACAACACCCTCAATAAGCAGCAGCCATCTCCAGCCTGGGATTCCACGCGCGCCCTCGAGCCGAGAAATTACGGCTCCTGCCATGATACCACCGAGAGCGGGTGCCACACAGCCGGAAGTGTAAAAGATACAGAATCGTTTCCCTATAATGCCAGACGTGTCAGCTACCAACACAAAGGACTTTTGGATAGTGTGGGGTGCCCAAACTACTCACCAACTTCCTTCTTGGTGTACCAGCAGGTAAGAAGGAACAGGGCACCAGGGAAGAGACCGGCCTCAATAGCACCGAGGAAGAACCTGCCGGCAAGGAAGGCAGCAGGGGTCTTGCTTTGGGACATTTCGATGATGACACTACCCCAGACAACACAGATGGTAGGCAAGTAGATGGAGGGTTTGATCTTCATCAAGAGCATATTGGAGGGGACTTCGAATAGAACGTAGGCGACGAAGAAAAGAGACACGAGCTGAGAGTATTCTAAGGGCGAAGACTTGTTAGTTTCTATAGACTTTAATGGATGGTGAAGGCAAGTAACTCACGGTTTTCGCTGAGTCCGAGATCCTGACTCATGCCGGCAGCGTTGGCATTGGCCTTTAGAACTAGATGTCAGCTTCTTTAGCCCAAATATCATGTGCGAAGAGCCTGATCAGAGGCAAGGAATGATACTCACAATATTGCCTCGGTCAAGGTATGCAAGAATGTACATCCACCAGAGAAGTGGCAACAGAACCATGTCAGCCTTTCTGACAAGTCGCCTCTCCTCGGCCGTGTTTGGGACGTAGCTCTGGAGGGCTGCGATAATTTCTGTATCCGCCAGTGACATGTCGTTACCAGCCACCTTGGACTCCTTGATGCTGTAGTTGGACACTCGATCCTGAGCCTTTGACTCCTGGTCCTTGATTCCAGTGGGCTCCATCCTGGAGCAGTGCAGGTGTGATAGGGTTGAGGTGGCAAAATGAGCACAATTTGATGAGTGTCGTAGAAGTGCTCTGCTGTTGAAGAGCGTGGTAAGTAAAGGAAAATTTCAGACAGGGTCGTCGTGAGTTGATGTTATATACCCCTGGACCGAGTGGCATTGTAGGAAATAAACGGATCCAAGTTCTCAGAGGACTTTAATCGCTGCGCAACATGACTAGACGGTGGAGGATGCTAGGGTTTGGTAGCGCTAGTGAGCGAACGAACCCCAGATATCATGGCCAACCCCAGATCCTGGGTGTGAAGCCAATGTGCCACGAGATAAGCCTGGGCCTAGCATATCCACTATGCCAAGGGACCATTATTCTCATACAGATAAGCGTGCCCTGTCTTTGGAGGGCCTTGACGCGTGCTAATGCTGGGTCCATGCAACATGGCCAATGAAGCCGTATATTCCATGTCGTCAGCAGAAATGTAGTTTAGGATCGGTAACACGAACTGCCCCTGTTTCTTTTCTACACAACAATTGCATTTCCATCGACTGACAGGCACCGTGCGGGGAAATGACGATGAACTGATCACCGGTTGCTGTCGATGGAGGGTTATCCCTCAGATGCGACTCGTTCCAGTTAGTCCGACTCAGCATGTGGAGCACCGGCACCATCAACCGGCACAGTTTTTCGTGTGAAGGACGGCACAATCGCCGGCACCGAGATTGCATGACTCAGGGTGGCTGCCCGGTAGGTTGGTGCCGGCCTTCAAGAGGCCACATAGCTGCATCAGATACTTGGATAAGCTAGCGGGAGGGCCAATGCAGATACCGATAGGCCAAGTACGTGACCTCGTCAAAGATGTGAAGGAAGACGCTTTGGCGACTTGTTGCCGCAGTTTATGGATGTTTGTCAGAAGCACCGTATCTCCATAACTCACTCTAATAACTCACCTTTGGCCACGGCGCAGGATTCCACGTAGAATACTTCGTCACTTGTACTGCATACCCCAGCTGTTGATCATTGCGCCCGTAAATGACGTAGGATTTCAATGGTCATCGTAGTATTTTAAATTTAGAATTAGGTCTTATCTTTCTCATACTAGCAGGCTAATTGCCACCGCATGCCCTTCGAAAGATGCCACTCCGTCTCTTGTTTGCCCAGGATATAATACATTTATCATCACTAACTCATCTATCTCTATGCTCTATTATTCGGGCCTATAGTCTAGATAGGCCAGCATTAGATGCAGCTACAATCTGGCGCGCCATTGCAGGGAATGCATCGGCCGTGACATCCATTTTGCCAAAGAGGTCCTCGCAGAGCTCCTGCTCCCAAATGGTGCAGTACGCAGTTTTGAACCTGGCGGTGGAAACTAGTTAGCGAGTCTTGTCCGTGATGAATAAGGTCGTTGGTGATGAATGCGCAATACGGTTACTCACCCTGCTAGCTTGGCAGCAGTCACGTCCCAATTGTGAGCGGCCGCGAACCATTTCTCATCGTTACCCAGGCGGTCCAGCATAAGCTTATACACCTTGGGATCCGGCTTGCCAATCTTAATCGCGTCACAGGAGATGAAATTCTCCTTGGGCATGTGGATGCCATTGTGGGTGAAGTAGCCACCAACGCGCTCGACGTCTCCGGCAGTTAGAGCCCAGACAGTAAAGCCGTTGTCTCTGAGGATCTGAAAGCACTCGGCAATTCCAGGCCGTGCTTCCAACTTCATGTATTGTTGGAGAATATATTTCAGATCATCGTCATTGGCGAACTCCCTGGGTTTTTGAATACCAGCCATATACAGCATCCGGTAAAAAATGCTACTGAAGACATCCCGGAATGTGATATAACGGCCGTTCATGCTCAGATATGTGTATTCACGCTCAGTTACCTCGATCCAGAGATAACCGAGCAGGCGAGGCTTGATGCCTTCAGCACGGAGCCTGTCGCCAAGGCGTAGATCAAGGGCGTCGAACATGGCATCGTATGACACGCAAGTGCCGACGATGTCAAACACGACATGCTTGTTGGATGAAGACATAATTAGGTGAATTCCGAGGGTGCCTGTGTCTGAATGCTGGCGGAGAGGGGCTGCGTTGGCCGAACAAGAAAATAATGTCAAACGCTGGCCAATCCGATATGAGGCCCTCTGCCGTATAAATCGCAAAAACAGCTTCCGAGTTATCGGTGCCGGACAACGAGCTAAGTGGGAAGACCCTGTTAGCAATCTTGTTTAGCTGATCTTCACGCAAAGCGGCAAGACACGACAGGAGCCGCTGTTTACACCGGCACAACCGGCACATCCTACCCCGCGATTAAACTGGGACAATACCTTGAAAGATGATGGCCTTCTGGTTTGACCGGCGCCTCAACAAGGACCTTACATGCAATACGCTTAATGGAATGGCTAACCGTTGCCCCGCTACTGTCAGATGATCCCTCTTTGCATCAGGGCTTTGGATTCCGGAACTCGGAGCTTGGACTCAGCAACCGAGCAGCTGTTCCCTTATAATCTGAGTACCATCTAATTTGGGCGCTATCATACGAACAATTACGAACTGAAGACCAATCCGTTTGTGGAGTTTAGTTGCCTTCTTATTATCGCTGCCCAGGTCAACAAGATTTACGGTTCATACTCCAACCCACACTCACCTGCTCCGTTTCTACCTATCATCAAGAACCTGCAACATCGGACAACATGACCAACAAACAAACGAAAACTGGCAAGACGGCACCAGTTGATAACCCTGTGCCTTCTTTCTGGAACGCAGATCCTCGTCCACTGGATGATTTCCGAAGCACTGAGGATCTCCCGTCAGATATTGACATTGTTATCATCGGCTCAGGCATCGCTGGCGTTGGCACTGCATATCACTTGCTTCAAGACACCTCTTTCAAGGCATCCATTGCGATCCTAGAAGCCAGAGATCCATGCTCTGGTGCCACTGGTCGGAATGGCGGACATGTCAAGCCTGATGCATTTCTCAATGTCCCTAGAAATGCCAAGATATATGGTGCCGCAGCGGCAGCGGAGCTAGCAGCGTATGAGGCGTCTCATGTCTATGCGGTCAAGGATTTGGTCGAGAAAGAAGGCCTAGACTGTGACTTTAATATCACCAGAGCTTTGGATGTCTTCCTAGACCCAGAGCATGCAAAGCAGACAGAGGCAGCGTATCGAGAGTTGGTAAAAGTGGGTATCGTCGACCTCCGTGATACGTCATTCACACCAAAGAAAGACGCAGAAAGGGTAATTTCTCACTTCTAATCGCTTCTTCTATTCGTCTGTCCTGATTTAGCAGCAGCTAACATCCATAACACAGGTCTCGGGTGTTAAAGGCGCACAATGCTGCTTCTCATATACGGCAGCTCATCTGTGGCCATCGAAGATGATCCACCAGCTACTTCAACTGCTGCTTAATAAGGACGTAAAACTATACTCCCACACGCCAGTATCATCAATTTCGGGAACACCGGACGAGAATGGCAGGTGGGCTGTAACGACTTCACGTGGTTTGATCAAGGCTCCAAAGGTTATCTATGCTACCAATGGTTACACAGGAGAACTTCTACCTGAGTATTCACGGAGCATCGTTCCCATCAGAGGCATCTGTAGTCACATCAGCAGTACTAAGGGTACAGACACCCCCCACCTAGTGAATACTTACGGTATTCGCTTCGACGCACGCAACAACGACTATCTCATCCCACGACCTGATGGTAGCATTATTGTAGGCGGTGCAAGACAGCGATTTTGGCACAACAAGGACCGATGGTATGGTACCGTACGAGATGATGAACTGGTTGATGAGGCTGTTTCGTACTTTGACGACTACATGCAGCGACATTTCCGTGGGTGGGAGGGCTCAGGTGCCAAAGTAGACTCAGTCTGGACTGGAAGTAAGTTCCGAGTTACACCCGTCGAAACTTTCGAGATTTGGTCAGAGCCTCACTAACATATTGCTCAGTCATGGGATACAGCGCAGACTTCATGCCTCATGTAGGGGGGATTCCGGAAAAGCCCGGTCAATTCATTATTGCTGGGTTTACTGGTCATGGAATGCCTCAGATTCTGCTTTCGACAAAGGGCCTGGCAACTATGGTTCGTGACGGTGTTCCATTTGAGAATTCGGGCCTGCCACGTATCTTTAAGACTACCAAGGCTAGAATATCCACGAAGCGAAGTCTCATGGAGGAGAACCTGGAGCCGCTATGGCGGACTGGACGAGAATCGAAGCTGTAGAAAGAACCAGAGAGACTGGTGAGTTGGGCTAGTTGATTTGAACCAGAGTTTATCCCCTTTCAGTAGTAGAAAGAATCCATACATGGTGAACCATTGGGCCAGTAGTAGCATGTTGATACAGCATTTTCAAAGTATCTAAGCTTTAGAAACTATCTATTTACACATGAAACAGAATGGAACGGGAAAAGAGTTATATTAGCTTGCCCTGATAAAGCCTTCGTTTAACTGACTACTCCCAAGGCACTTGACTGATTATGTTCAGAGAGGTTACGCTAATCAATGTCCATTTTGGCATGACTAGCCAGCCAACGTAATGGCTTTACCAATCACGCCTCCTAAGTGGTATCAGACCCACACCACCACTCTGACCGGCACCATTCTCACCAAACCGGCACCGAAACCGGCACAAACTGGACTCAAAACCGGCACAGTCACCACATAACCAACACCAGTCGTTATCTCCATCGTACACCTCATGCAACCTGCAACAGCTGGACCAGCCCGGTATTGGCTACTGCCGTGTTTGCGATGTCAGGACCCCCAGAGATTGGCACAACCCCTGATGACCGGCATACTCCTGTGCCACCCCAGCCAGAGCGCCAAGGGGCGGCCATGGCAGCCGAGCGGAAAAGAAAAAAGACACGAGCGTCAGTTTTGGTCACAATGCTAGGGGACTTGATAGGGACCACTAACAAGCAGTGCAGTTGCGACGGCTGTCGGCGACTCAAAGAAAAGTGCAACGGCGGAACTCCTTGTGCTAGGTGCATCAAGGCAGATCGACAATGCATCTTCACAGACGCCTACAGGAGGACGAGGGCACGGCCCACAGTCCCAAAGCCAAATATCCCGGCCGATCCTATTGACCCAAAATCGTTTTTCGATGTAGATAGGATCAGAAACCTTGAAACCATTGTCAAGCACTATACGAATGTTCAGGAGTGTAGTCCAGCCACGCTTGAAGAAGTAATATCGAGCCTGGGATCAGACAAGGAAAGCGTAGCACCCTCACCGTATCTCGAGAATCTACGAAATACCGAGGACAGTTCTGGTGATGCTAGAACGAAATACCCAGCTTCTCTCCCAGGTACGCCGTATTGGGCCACAAAAACAATGTTGACTACCGCTAACAACTACTCCGCAGCCTACGAAGAGTTCTCCCATTTAGATTTCACCCATCAGATTCAACAGAAATTAGCTCCTGACTTGGATACTCCTTATGCAGTATGGCTCTCGATTGCACTTCGTGTGTTGCTAGACGTCACTAATACTGTGAGCTGCAGAGTGCAACAATCAATGTGGCGGCTGCCGAGCCGCTATTATCACGGACTTTCGTTGTCCAAGATGCAGCATCTCTGTTCCCACCCGCAGAAGTTGCCACCATCTTGCTTGATATCTTTTTCAACATCTCCCAAACGAATTACTTCTACGTCGACGAGCGTATCCAACACCGAATCTCCGAATTCTATACCCAGATGACCCCTCTCACAATTGCCGATGCACCATGGGTTTGTACCGCACTCATGGTGTTCTGCGTCAGCACCCAGTTTGCACACTTGGCCCAGAAGAACAAAGGACGATATGAAACCAGTGAAGAGGTCAATGTACCATCTGCAATAGACGATGCGTTTGCCTTGTCCTTCTACCGAAAGGCAACGTCTATGATACCTGATCTCCTCGCAATCGGATGCCCACAGAGTGTGCAGGCCTTTATACTGATGGGGGTCTATTCCCTTCCATTAGACCCCTCTGGTTTGGCAAGCAGATATTATGCCATCGCTATAAAGATTGCAATACATAATAATATGCACTTGAAGGCTCCTGGGGGACCAAAGACCTATGATCATGAGGTTCGCAACCGAATTTGGTGGACTGTGTATACACTGGACAGGTAAGCGAACCCATGAGCCCATATACTCTCCAATATTGTTTGGGTATTTGCAGACGTTATGATGTTGGCATACGCGGTTTCAACGGATTAAAAGCTAATCGCGGACAGGCGTGTTTGTATTCTGCATGGTCGACCGGCATCAATCCAGCGATCAGATATCAATGCCAATCTCCCATCCAATTGCATCGAACCACAGTCAGCCAAGAGAGTCAACACATACCATAATATGATGGCTCAGAAAAGCCTAACTGAGATCATGGAGGATGCTCGTGATGCTATGTATGTACTGTATTCTGCTGTTGAATTACGCCGCTAACTCTACAGTTTGGCTATTAAAAAATCCAAAAAGCCCAAGCTTAGGGATGCGGCAAAGAAAGCCTTGAATATAAATCAAACATTAAAGAGCTGGTGGGAACGGTTGCCCCAAGAGACTTTTTGTACAGATCTAACTCCGGGGCAACCCCTTTTCCGATCGAACATACATCTCGCACTCACATATCACCTTACTCATATTTTCATCGGGCGCTCTTTCATCTTCGATAGCTCGCACTTTGAACCTGACGACTTGTATGAATGGGTCAATACCCGCAACACGCTCATACAAGACTGTCTCAAAAGCGCGGTCAACTCCATTCAGCTCTGTCAAACATTGAATGACGAGTTTGGACTTTCGAAGTCTTCCTATACCGAGTTCACATCTTGCTGCGCTGCAGTAATGACCTTGGTAGCTCAACGCATTACCACAGAGACGACAGAGTTTAACGACATCTGCGACCAGGGCCTTGCATTGCTGAAGATGATGTCTGGTGGTGTCTTCACCAAGAGCTCCGAGAAGCGAGGCCTAGAGATTCTAGAGATGGCACTTGTCAAACTGAGTATGAGTCAAGGTGATAGTCCTTTCTTGGGCGGAGCAGGCTACAATGAGTTTCGAAACTGGGTTACACTTCAGGCAGGTCCTGGTGAGGTGCTCAGACCGCAGCATGCCTCGCCCGTGATGGAATGGACATATAACAGCAGCCCAGGGGAAGCATCATCTCAGCACGATGGCTTGAGCTTAATGCCGGATTTTATCCCTACGACATTTGCAGACTTAGCCTCTCTTCCAGGTTTGGAAAACTATTTTCAGTACTCCATGGGCTAGTGTAACAGAAGATGTATTTGTGGGAATCTACCAAACAGTTCATCATGATTATTTGCCGTACCGCGCTTTATTATGTGGGGTGACGTGTATCAGGGATAGAAAAGATGTTTATATTTACCACAATGAGAGGCGCCAAAATTCAATCCAATCCGCTGGAACCCTAGCAAAAGAGTATATTATCTCATCAGTACGCACTTTTTGCCCCCTCACGGTGAACCAACCGTTGGAGGGAAAGGCTGGCCCTTTGCAAATTTTTGATGGAAGTTCACTTTGATCACCTATAGTAGGTAGGCAGTGCCCTACCTACTAAAACACGCCTCAGGAGAGAGAGTTCGAGTACAAAGCTAACCAGCAATAATAGATGCCAGACCCGACATCTCAACACAACGAAAGCACATCTCATCCATAAGATATGAAATATTAAGTGGCCTAAATGCCCCGAAATCACTAACAAAAGAAACGCAAATCAGTCCTTACAACCATCCACTAAGAGTAAGCCCAGGGCGCCTTAGTGCAAAGACTATCAGCACATGCTTGCGCTCCTTTTCTCCGGAAGACCCATGATGAGTCATAAGCCCGTCTGTTAAGATTCCAGGATTCAGAAAGGTGTTAAATAAAAGGGCAATAACATCATAGACATCGGAGTCATAAAAGTGATGTTGGTTTGGGTTCTTGCCCAACCACTCCGTGAAGACCTCGAATGATATCTCTCCTGTATTATTTCGCAGCTTAAATTGAGCGGCCTCAAGGTATTCGATAAGAGTTGTGATCTCCCCATCGAATTTTATGGCATGCTGAAGAAGTAAGACACATAAGTCAAGCAGCGGAACCAGCACCCCAGAGGATGAAATAACGAGATCCGATACTTCTGGGATAGCAACCTTAGAAGAAATGCGAGCAGCTATTGGCATGGTTTGAGAGAATATCTCTGCCTGATTTAAAACATACTAGGCTTGACTTGGTATCTGGAATTTGTGCGATCCTCGCTTGAAATATAGCTTCATCTGTTTGGTTTTCCCTCAAGTTTTCCTTCGTTGCGTATTCACCGAGATGCATCTGCTGTAAATTAGCATGACTGAATACCAGGCGAAGCTTTTCCACGTATCCAGTTTAGGATTTGAAAGTCCCGCGCTCTGTTAAGCTTTTTCACTTGTGTGTATATCTCGACATCATCAGCCAATGGTCGTAATGCCTGCCGCAGCGACCCTGCTTATGATCATGGTATCTGCTGTGGAGGTATTCGCTCTTCACTACTCTATGGATATTACGCATGCTGATATTCACAGGCCATCGTCTTTGACAAACTCCAAACCGTAGTCCGTCTTGCATATTTGTTCTCAGCCTCAGACTTGACCACCACAGTCCTGCCTACAGTTGTCTTCGGCCTTCTAGCAGCCTTGTCAGGTTCTGCACTTACTACTAACTCCGACCCTGTCTCCTGGCTAATCATTGCACGAGTTCCATACATACTGCTCTGTCTGGATGAATGTGTTTATCTTTTGTTTATCAAACCAAAGGCTTGATGCTGCCATGGTTGAAGACAGAGTTAACAAACCTTGGCGGCCACTTCCGTCCGGGCTAGTTACCCAGGGCGCTGTACGTAGGGCCATCTTGACCCTTCTCCCGTTTACAGCACTTCTATCATACGGCTTGGGTGCCACTCTGGAAACGGCGCTACAGTACGGTGCCACCTGGGCATATAATGATCTCGCGGGAGACGATGAGAATTTCCTTGTGCGTAACGCCATTGCCGCTACGGGTCTCATCATTTCCCATGAAGGAGCGCTCCGAGTTGCCTGTGGTCCATGGGGGAGCCGAATCAAGAAGCGATGGAATGGTCCTTTATCCTGGGCTGTATCTTCTTCTCTACCATTCATACATCTGACTTTCGAGACATACAAGGCGATAGAGCAAGATTACGCCAGACTGCGCCAATTCTGCTGGGAGAGTCACTCGCGCGGTGGAGCGTGGCCGTGGCGGTATGCTTTTGGACAGTATTCTGCTCGGTCATGTGGCGAATGCAGTTCATGTTCTATTTACACACCATCATCCTAGGTTTAACGGTCGCTTTTCGGCAGGTAATCTATTGTGGGCAGAAGGAAGATCAAAAGACATTCCTCGCGTGGGTAGGCTGGATAATATCCTTGTATTTCTTGCCGATCATATACAGTTCTAAACAAAACCAGCTTGAGCTGTAGAATAGCTGGTATCTTTATGGTCCGTTCTAGCATGAGAGGGCACCTAGCAGTATATCGATACATCTTTTTCTCAGTGATATATGTATTTCAAGCCCTAAAGGGGAGGAATCGCTAATGTCTAGTATATAAATAAGTACAGCTAGGTATAACTGACTATGTATAAGTTAAGAGGCGTTGCTATAAAGGGCTCGGACTTAACCCGCGCTGAGGCTAGCAGCGCAGAGGGGCAGCTATCAAATGGCACGTTGAAAGAGATTGGTGGTCAGCCTCTTTGATAAGTATCCTTTCGGCTTATGGCTTAAGGATAGCTTACGAATAGAGTCACAGCAGTAGGGGTAGATATCCCTGGAGCCCCCCGGGGGTAAGACTATAATCGTCGCTTAATTTTTTACATTTCTTCAAATAAGGAATAAATGCAAATATATTGTTAAGGTAGGGATTCAAGGTCTATATTTTTACGGGTTATGCTATTAAATAGATAGATAAAGAAGCTATTTTGATAGCCTACTTAGGTAGAATATATATATATCTCTTAATTGTATATAGAAAAGGTACACGAAGTTGTTGTAGCTTAGACATTCTTTAAATACTAACGCACTTGGATTATATAAACCAGCCTCTTGACCTAAACATGCGTGTTGATTAATACATCCAAAGAAGCTTCATGACCTTGCGAGGTCTGTAGACGGGGAACAACATCACCATACAAGACAAATACAGACAAGAGAGCAGCACCTGTTTGAGCTAAGCCGAATATGACGAGTCATCCGCACCCTCAAGTTACTCAATAGATGGGTTTGAATCCATGATATAACTTGGAAATAACAAATCAAAGTGCATGGCATCTTGATCGACAAAATCAATGCCCGTCAGTGCGTCATCATTCCCAGACAAGTCGGCCCACAATCCAAGCTCAGGTTGACCAACAAGAGATAGGCTAGGCGAGGGCTCTTGTTGCTGGATCATTTCCTGCTGTTGGCTGCCCGCATAGATGGCATTTATATCAGTGAAACCACCCTCATCTTGTCCAGTCAAGTTACCGAAATCCGATCGCTCGACATTGCCGGTTGGGGATGTTTCTAGACGTCCTACAGCCGGTGGCGAATTTTCGACTGCCATTGAGACGGGAGAGATAAGGGGTGGCGGTATGCTGGGCGCCCCGTTGCTGGGTGTACCCGCGTATCTCTCTCGCCACTGCCAGAGTCCGTCGTGGGCAATACTAGCAAAGGAGCGTGACTTAACTGAAAGACGCGGCGGGGTGTCCGATGAAGCATCGAAGAGATCTTTGTGTATCACCCACAACTGTGACAAGATTGTCGTGGTGCGGCCAGCCATATCGTTATCCTCCACGGAGGAATGCTTGAAGAACGGTATGCACGCGCTAAAGGCGGCCTTGGCCGCCCTTTGATCGACAAACTGCCTGTAACTGGAGTGTAACACTTTTGATATGAAGACGGCCACAGAAAGACAGACCCTCAGAGTCATGAATGGAGCATAGCGTGGCGGAAAGCCATCTTTCTCTGCTTGCCGAAGGGCCTCAATATACTGAACACCCAAGTCAAACGCTCTCAAGACAGCAAGCCTCCGTTCAACTGAATCGTCATTGTCAAATAGAGAATACGACTTGAGCTGAAAATTTGCCGCGAGAAAGTGAATCGATGCCAACCCTATCGATATCAGCTTTGAGTAGGACGCAAGAGCATTGAAAGTCTACTAACGAGATTTGAATCTACCCAGCCTGGTCTCGAGCTCCTTCAAATGGGACTCGTGGTCGTTAATTAAAGAAACTTTGTATGTGGTAATGTTTCCGAATGCTGCGTGTATCTTGTCGCAGAACAGCTGAGTTATGATGGCCGTGTGCAACGATTCCGGCAGCTCATAGGGATTCGAGTCGATTGAGGCTTTCTCAACGGTATGGTCATTTGGGAGGGCGGGAAGGTGGCCGTTGCCTATTGATGCACTATACGCGCAAGCAATCAGTATCAAGGAAAGAAGAGGTAAAAGCTGGCCAAATGCTCAACTCACCCTTCGATAGCGAGATATATGGAGCACCAACACCTAACAGCCTGTAAAAGCTCTGGTCTACCGAGTTTTGACCGGGTTCTAGAATAAAGGTCAAGAATATCAGGTCGATGAAGCCCGACATGCATTGCTGCCGACTTGAGAATACCCGACAGTATAAAAGTAGTGTCCTCGGGCATAGTAGACACGGGGAAACCCCACAGACATAGGATTGCCATGGCTTGCAGCGATGGCAGTGTATGGGGGGTGGCTGGGATCGTGGACCAGAGCAGTCTTCTGACAGCGGGTAAAAGGGATAGTAATAGGGAAAAGTCTGCAGCGTCATGGCGGGCGGCGGTGACGATGATAGTCCAGAATAGTAGCGGGGAGGAGTCGTAGATGGAATCTGGCGAGACAGAGAAGGAGAGGATAGGGAAGATTGGTTGATAGGAAGTGTGAAATCTGCCCCACTGGTTAGTCAAGGATCTGAGAGAGGATCATGGGAGCAGTGCATTTCAAAGTAGGACTCGATCTCATCTGGGGTGAGTTCGACAGACTCAAGACTTCGTGAGCTCAAGGGTACATGCGTAGCCTGTGCTGATAGTCCACCATGACTAGAGGCGCTGGTGTTACTATGAGAGCGTTCTCTCTCGCGAAATCGATCAGAATCTAAATTATCACCCGGGAGGGGCCTCTGACAACCATATAGAGGCTGCTGGCTGCCGACACTTGTTGAGTTTACCGCTGTCCTCTGTTGTGGCGGTAATGAAGATACCGGAACGGTAGTCAGTGAGGCATCATTAGGGGGCAGCGCACTAAAGTTTTTGAGAAGATTGACTTGATCAGCAATATCACTGAGAGTTCTATAGAAATCAAGATCAGTAATAATAGGGCAGATATGGTGGAAGACGGAGCAGTTATTACGCCTTCTTGCTGGCTCGCCTGAACTTGTTGTCAAATACACATGGCCGCCTAAGCTCGCTGCAACGTCGGCATGGCTTCAGTCCGCCGGACGAGCCTTCACACCGCAACTATGGATGTTCAGTCAAATAGATATCAAACAAGGTGCACAAATATCGATTAAAGCAAGCATCTTGCAGTATCGGCATACCTTGGACTGCCGGCAATGCTGGCAGGCGATTCGTACGCGAGTGGTCACGCGACTTCCTCCTTTATGCCTCTCAAACCTTTGAGCTATGCCACCTTGTTGGTTTTCCGGTGCAGCCCTGGCTCTAGGGCTAAGTGCACCATGGGCTGGCGGTCGGGGGGCGAGGACTGGATGGTGAGTTTTAAGAACGGGTTCCAGCTCACCAGAAGCCATGACCGGAAGGAGCCGAGGGTTTGCGCGCGCTGGGCTGAAGCTATTGGGCCTGTGATCTCCTGCGTGTGATTGGGGGTTTTTACATACGCGTGGGACGCTGATGTGAACATGCGATTGAAATGAAAGCGAGTCTACGTGATGGCCGTAAATACGAAATGGAGGAGTTATGTGTAAGCGGATTGATATTGGATGGGGATCGACCCCATAAAAGTGATTGGCGTTCGGATGTGTTGCGGGGAAGTCCCCACTATAGATGTGGGGCTCAAGCCTGAGGCAGCAAACCGTCATCCAATCCAATGCCCGACGTTACGCACACCTACCCTACACAACCTTGAAGACAATGATATCCAAAGTTCGTGCAGATAAATTTTCTAAATGACTAAATATGTGGTTTTGAGGAATTAATATGACTCTCGAGCTGAATAAAATAATAGAAAGAAGCTTGAGTATATCATCGACTAGGGAACACAATGGTAGCCAACTGTTCTTGTCCAGGGTATGGGAAGGCATCCTTATTTATTCTCGAAATGCATAACCTGAGACTGATTTCATATGTCCTTAGTATGGAATGAGTAGGTAAACATTTGGAAAGAACACATGGGTCTTCTCTAGACAAATAAGACTTTCTGATATTAGTTGTGTTGAAAAGTGAACTTTAAGTTATGCTGCTTCATTCATTCTTCTAAGGCTAGAGTTCCTTGACTATGGCCTCTGTCTCATCTACCACTGCATTGCCTCAGAGGATGTGTCCCGTTCTAGCACCCCTGAGACAGCATGAACTGCCGTCTTCTGACTGGTCATTGTCTCCAACACATTCTTCCCCCACAGGCGGAATGCGCTGGTCATGCCACCTATCTTAACAAGTTGCCACTCCAAGTCACTCAACTGAAATACAAATTCTTGGCCAGCGACGAGGACTTTGCGGCGCTCCACGTCAATCCCTATCTGTTCGCCATCTTGAGCGAGTTCATAGAATCGTTCATTCGTAATGACGAAGCCGAGCATGCCAAGATTTGGTTGGTTCCGGCCATAGATGAATGCAAATGACTTTGCAATCACGGCTTGGACGCCCGCTGCTTGCAACGCGGCCACTGCATTCTCCCTCGAGCTTCCGACGCCAAATGCCTTACCGGCGACAACGATATTGCGACCTTCCTTGACACGCTCTGCGAATCCGGGGTGCGTGTATTTCAGGCAAGCGTTTCCCAGCGCCTCCCTGGTCACTTCGGGCCCGAGTACTTCCGCAGGGGCGAGTGCATCGGTGTCAATAAAATCTTCGAGCCTGTGTACCTTGCCGCTAATGATGGTAGAATGAGCACGCCCTAGATCCGCGTTGGATTTTTGTAACGTGGGAGACATGGAAGCTTCAACGTCCTGTACTTTATTCGTTTTAGGCTCGGAAGCAGGGTGGACATATGCGATGCTCTGAGAAGGAGCTGTCTTGGTCCCTAGTAGCTGCTTGAGCTCTTTCAAATCTACTATGTCAAGTAATCCTCTAGGATCAGTTGTCTCCATGGAGAAACTACTTGCGGCCACCGTCACGGCAGACGTTACACTGCCAATAGCGCCTGATACTGTCAGTATGCTAAACTAGAGGGGAGCAAAAATGTCCTTGGCTACTTACCAGGACCCATGCGGTTCTCGAAATTGCGGTTCTGGCTGCTAAGCCAGACCTCGCCCTTGCCAGCCTTGTCTGCGCCCATCCCGACACAGTAGCTGCATCCTGGAACACCAATCTCGAAGCCGGCTTCCTCGTATATCTGCAGTAGCCCCCTTGCCTTTAGGTTATATAGAATTGGTCGCGACCCGGGGCTCACTTTGCGCTTCCCGTGGGAAACAGGTCTCAGTCCCATCTCCAAACCAGCCTTCAAAACCAAAGCAGCAAGGATGAGATCCTCCTCTGCCGTCGTACAGGCACCAATGAAGCACCCGTCCAGCTTGGTACCGGCCACATCGGCAACCGGTACGACATCGTCAGGACTAGGGTAACGGGCAACAAAGGACTCCACCTTGTCAAGGTCTATAATATGAGTTTCAGCGTACTCGGCATCCTCGTCAGGCTCATAGTACGTTGCGTGTTTCCTGTACTTTGGGTGCTTTCTGCGATCGATAAAGTCCGCTGTGGTCGCGTCAGGTACGAATATGCCAGATACACCTCCGAATTCCTGGAAAATGTCAGCTCTGGGGACTAAAGAATAAGGCTTGGTCAAGATACATACCGTAGTCATGTTGGCTATGGCAAAGCGTGCATCGCATGATAGGTATTTAACTCCAGGTCCTGTGTACTCGACCACACGGTCTGCTGCCACAGTGTTGCGCTTCAGCTCCTTGAGAACGTACAAGATCACATCCTTGCCCCCTAAGCCTGGCTTCGGCTGATTAACGAATCGGATCTCGACCGTCTCGGGGATCTTAAACCAAGTTTGCCCAAGCACCAGCGGCATGGTCACATCGGTTACTCCCAAGCCGATCGCCAGCGCGGACACGGAGCCGGCGGAGCATGTGTGCGAATCAGAGCCGATGATGAGCATGCCCGGCTGCGCCCGCTCGCGGCAGAACTCAGTATGCATGATTGTGTAGTTCATTCCTTGGTACTCGGTCATCTTGAACACTTTCCGGGCCTTTTCACTTGCCTCCACAAGCGGTTTGATCTTGGGGTGATCCATAGTTCTGGGCTCAACGACGTGATCTCCTGCTAGCCAGATTCGGTCATTTCGAAAGACACCTGGCTTCCCAAAGTCGTCGTAGGTTGACGCCATCCCGGCCCATGACAGCTCAGAGGCAATGACCCAGTCGATGTCTACACGGATAACGTCTCCAGGCCTAACTTCCCCATTCCTCTCTACGTCATGAGCCGCAAATATCTTCTCAGCCAGGGTCATTCCCCTGCGGCCAGTAGGGCGACGCGGCAATGGGGTTGCAGGCTCTCTGGAACGATCGGCCGAGTTCAATGCCTCTAGGTAGGCCGACGCGAAGAAGATAACCTCTGCCGTTTCGTCTCGGCTTAGGGGCTGATCAAGATCTAGACCCAGACCTCCAAAGTCTGTCGAGTTGAGACAGTGCTTCACGAGATCGCGGAAAGCCTCCGCTTCCCTGGGTTGCCCATGCTGGTCAAGAGAAGTTGCTAGCTCGCGAATCTGCAGCAAAATGTTTGGACGTGGAGTCCTCGCTACATTTGGTTGTCAGACACATATCTTTTCGTATGGTATAGAGCGAAGTAGTCGAAAAGCTTACACAATTCCAAGGTTGCGGGAAGGTGAACTTGACGAGATTCTCGAAGGAATCCTAATAACTCTGCCACATCATTGTTCTGGCTAGCTAGAAGGGCCGGCATGGTGAGATTCAAAAGAACTTGTAGAAATAGCCTCTGATTTAGGTCAAATGATAATCCTATGTTACTCTACAACATCAGTAAAGCTAGTATTCTGTAGAAGGGGGCACGACATTTATCATTCTCAGAAATAACACTACTTTTCCATCTCCAAACAATTTTGAGAGGAAAGTGATCCACCTGCTCTCATACTGGCCCAAGTTAATTCGCCAGCTCGAGTATCGTCAGTAATATTGGCGGATGGCATGGTTGGAGGTCTCGGTGCCGTTTCGGCCAACTTTATACGACGATCCCCTGCACGGTTTGGTAATGACCTTTGGAATACATGAGAGCCGATTGGACAAAGAATAGTTATCATTCCGAGCTTATCCGCCCGGGCTTACCCGTCCGCTCCGACCCAATCGGAGAGCTTCACCTCGGAACCAATCAACATCCAGTGGCTCGTACACGGTCTGGCATCAATGACGAGGCTTTCCGACTCTTGGAAAAGAAAAAAAGCGTAAGCCTGGAATAGAAATCTAATAAAGCTACAAATCGAATTAAGGGACAAATGCGAAACTAATAACACAAAATACAATGAGTGAAATGAAGGCACCGAAGACTGCTGCACAGCGTTTGAGAGAACTCATTGCTGACAAGAACAAGATTGTCAACTGTCCAGGCGTCTTCGATGGTCTCACGGCTCGTCTTGCTCTTAGGGAAGGATTTGACTGTCTCTACATGGTGAGTGGATTATTTCACGAGTGCTGTCTAATCACGAGTCTATTCCAGTTTGCTAATCCTTTTGGCTTTCACAAAGACCGGAGCAGGCACAACAGCATCAAGACTTGGCATGCCTGATCTGGGACTGGCGACATTCAACGACATGTTGGAAAATGCTGCCATGATTGCATCGCTTGATCGGAAAACTCCGTTGATTGCGGATGCTGATACTGGATATGGTGGCCCTGTCATGGTGGCGAGGACGGTGCGAGCATACATCACTGCTGGCGTCGCGGGTCTTCACTTGGAGGACCAAGTCATCACAAAGCGCTGCGGCCACTTAAGCGGCAAAGAACTAGTGGATCAGGATACGTACATATCTAGAATCAGAGCTGCCGTCATGGCTAGGGATGAGATGAGAGCTGCGACGGGTGGGGATATTGTCATCATTGCCCGGACCGACGCCCTCCAGGGCCTGGGTTATGATCAAGCAATCCAGCGTCTTCGTCTGGCCGTAGAGGCAGGCGCCGATGTTGCATTTCTAGAAGGGCCTACATCAGTCGAGCAGTGCCGACAGGTGTGCCAAGACTTTGTGGATGTCCCGGTTTTGCTGAACATGGTCTCCGGAGGAGTGACCCCGAACTTGAGCGTGAGCGAGGCCCAGGACTTGGGATTCCGATTGATAATTCATCCTGGTCTCGCGCTCTTCCCAGTCTTGGAAGGCGTTGAGAATGCCTTCCGAGAAATCAAGGCAACAGGGAAGGCACAGGTGAGTGAGGCCCAAGCGAAAGAGGGTGTCAAAAAGCTCTTTAACGCATGCGGCCTTCGGGATTGCATAGAATTTGATGCAAAGGCCGGGGGAATTGCCTACAAGAACGTTTAACTGGGTTGGTCCATCAATCAGAATTAGATGAAGATGTTAGGATGCAGCAAATAACAGAAATTTATATGATATATTCAACATAAACTCTCTATGTCATGCAGATGAGCTCATAAATTAACCTTTGGGGGCACTGTTGGCTCTGTACACGCCTCTGGCAATAGTTGAAGCGTTGGGCTATATTATGTACTCTTTATTCCCTCTCGCGAGTTTCGAGTTCTTCTCGGTGTACTCTATTATAATCTATGAAATTTATGGGTTGGATGCAGGTGTATTGTTGTGTTTTATTGAAGCTTTAGATCCTTTGTTGTGTCGTGTTGTTTAGAATATCTTTGTGACAGAAGTCAGAGAAACCTGGCACTAGTGAGATATAGAAATGAACTTGGAGTACATGAATATATACATCAATATAAATATGTGAGACAAGATTATATGAGAAATGGGTATGTGCTATATTTATATACGTGCATTTGTAAACATATGTAAAATCCGTCTTTTCATTTGTTGTAAACCTGATTATGAGCTAGGCGCCAATGTTGGTTTAACGAATTTCCATAAAAAAAGCAGGATACAATGCCTCCCAATTCTGCCTAGAGAATACGCATTCATGCCCTGGAGAGCTCTAGCAAGCATTTACCTCCCTTCGGAATGAGTACAAAATGATCAGTCATTTCCATATCATTGTCCGTGGTCGGGCTCCCGATCTTGACATTATATCTTCTTGCCACGATGGCAGCGGCACACTTGAGCTCCATTGTAGCCAGTCTCCTTCCAAGACAAGCTCGCGCCCCCTTACCAAAGACCAAGATTTGTTCGCGCATGATATCAGCGTTGCCGTTCTTCTCTCCATCAAGCCACCGTTGCGGGTTGAAGCGATCTGGATCGTCAAAGATGGTAGGCTCTCTCTGAGAACTCATAGCTTGGCATGAAATTATAACCTAGTGATTGTTAGTTTATGTCGAGAACGTCAGAGACTGATTGATCAGTCCCCATTTACCGAGAGGAATCGAAAAGCCAAGTTTGACATACCTTACCAGGAAGAGTCACGCCGTCAACGACCGCCCCTTCTTCCGGAGTTAATCGTTGCAGCCCACCCGGACCTGCTGGTCGTACCCGAAGAATCTCTTGAATGACTGCCTCCAATATAGGAAGTTCCGAAATTTCATAGTAGCTGAAGGTATCTCGCCCTTGAAGAGCCTCATTAATCTCCTCGCGGAGTCTCGAAATCCATTCAGGATGGCGAGCGAGTTCCCAGAAGAGATATGTGAGTGTAGTACCTGTGGTATCGGTGCCTGCAAACATCAAGTTTGTGAGCTCTTGAACAATCCCGTCGTCAGTCACATGGAATGGTAGAATCTCTCCCTTCTTCTGAAGTTCCCTTTGCTCGTTGACCATTCTTGCAATAAGATCATGGTGCTCCGAAGGATTATGGGTCGCAAGATATTTTTCGTAGGCATTACTGCAGTACTGATCGACAGTGTTAGCCGATAATCACGTAGTGGGACGGTTGATTCTATTTGTATTATACCTTTTTGAATTTTGGCGCAGCTTGAAGGAATGATTGGATAGACTTGATTGGGGCATATTCGAGGACTGCAGTCGTAAGCGGGAACATCCACTTGGTCCAAAGAACCGGGAAGACCTCATCGATATGATTGAGTAACTCCGGAAGCTTTTCGTTCTCCAATCCACCAAAGCTATCATCGGCGAACCCTTCCCCTACAGAAGATTGACGATTAGCAAAATGTCACGGGGACAACTATACTAACAAGATGCAGCAATCTCTTACCGACTATACCAAGTGCTAGCATACGAAACCACGGGAGAACATTGAGAGGCTGGTCTACCCTCTTATCAAAGCTCTTTACCAACAGATCCAATTGTCGATGGACTATTGGTTCAATCTCAGAGATGGAAGTGGAACTGAAACTGGGGACGATACGCTTCTTCATTCCGCGATATTCATCTCTATTGCGTGTCGTGAACGTGCTTCTGAACCCCAAGGAACCGTAAACAGGCGCCTTGAGGTATTTAGAGTTGGCTCCATATATCTCCTTGAGCGCTGCAGGTGAGGCGAAGCAGACCTCGCCGGGGCCAACGCGTACGACTGGTCCATAAATCTTGTGTAGCCGGTGAACTGTAGCACTTCGCTGACCGGAGAGATCAATATATAGCATCCATGCCCCCGTGAACTTGGCTATGAAAGGTCCGGGAACCCGTCTTAGAGGGTCTACCAGATATTTGTACTGGGATGCGTTAGCATGTGCCGGTCAAAGTATCAAGTCAAGCAAAAGCAACTCACAAGCCCAGAAAGAACCAGCCCAGGCGCGAAGATGTGAGTTAGAACCCAGAGCCAACTGATCTTGGATGAACTTGACGCCAAAGAATCCATTTCTTTCACGTTGTGGGATGAATGTTCTTATGAATGTTCTTCCGAGTAGGAGTTTAAGATCTCAGACTTGCTGGTGGTAAAACTGGGCAATGCTCTTGGGCCTCCAGGACTTCTAACGTTCTTGTCTGGTCTGGAAAGGCTTACTTATGTGTTCCTTCACCACTAACCTAATGCTTTTTGTGATCCCCGTGGGGAATGCCCCGGTCCTAAAGCCCTTCACTTTGTCTAAATTATGATTCCTGGCTCTTGACCAATTATCTCACAGGAGTTCTCCTAGAACGAACGCCGAGAAACCGACCAATCGGATTTCGTAATCTTCTTCTTCCGATTGGCCGGCTTCGTCAGCCGACGCTTTGCACGGCTTAACCCTTGTCTTAGGCGTAACTACATGTCTCTGCATCGTTGTCAGCCGGAGCGATTTCGCGTGTAATCTAGTGACCACCATTCTGATGTTCTCCGCATCGAGTGAAAGAGGGGCAATCTCCGAGTCCATCGGTGGGGGTTGATATTTCTTTGTAATCATAGTCATGAGGTCGCTGTCCTGCTATTTATCAGACGGAGCAGACCTCTCCCAAACACAAGGATCGATTTCAACAAGCTTCGTCACCATTGAAAATTATCAAGACTACCTAATCATGACCAAAATCAACGAGTTTGGTGCCCCGCAGTACCTCCCCAAGAACCTAGGGCTCTACTACAGCGGTGCATTCCAGGAGCCCAAGGATGGCCACTACCAAGAGATCATCAGCCCCATCAACAACAAGGCCATTGCCAAAGTCGCTTTCGCGGGCAAGGTTGATACTATAAAGACCCTTGAAGCAGCTGAGAAGGCGCGAGAGGGCTGGGAGGCCGTCTCAACATTGGAACGATGCAGCATTCTGCGCAAGGCTGCGCAAGTTATACGTGACCATGCCGAGGAGCTTGCCGCTCTGGACGCATGGAACATAGGAAGCCCCATCTCCATCATGCGGGCCGAGGTGGAATACTCAGCCATGAACTTTGACCTATTTGCTGGTCTGGCGCCAGCCGTGACAGGCGAGACGCACCGCCTCACTGATGATATGTTTCACTACACAATCCGAGAGCCGCTTGGCGTCGTTGCTCGGATTATTCCATACAACCACCCCATGTTGGGAGTTGCGATCAAGATGGCAACGCCCTTGGTCATGGGCAACACAGTCGTGATCAAGGTTTCAGAGCAGGCGCCCATATCCGCTCTTCATCTGATGGATCTTATCGGTGGCCTCTTCCCACCGGGAGTCATAAACGTGCTTGCCGGGGGTAGAGATAGTGGCGAGATGTTGTCTAGTCATCCTATTGTGAAGAAAGTTACTCTGGTTGGCAGTGTTCCAGTCGGTCGCGCTATCTCAAGGAGCGCCGCTGACACACTGAAGCTCACAACCCACGAGCTAGGTGGGAAGAACGCACTTGTTGCCTACCCGGATGCTGATATCCCTAAGCTGGTCGATGGGATCGTCAAAGGCATAAACTGGGCCTGGTGTGGCCAGTCATGCTCCTCTACTTCACGAGTGTTCCTCCACGAGACTATCCATGACGAGGTGCTGAAATTGGTCGTTGAAGCAATCAAGAAGACTCATAAGCCTGATAACCCCCTCAAAACCGAAACAACTATGGGCGCTCTGGTAGACAAGAAAGCTATTGAGCGAGTCAAGAAGTATGTGGAAATTGGAAAAAAGGAGGGTGCAACGCTGGTTACTGGTGGACACCCTGCTGAAGTGACTGGTGAGTTGGCAAATGGCTGCTTCTGGGCTCCTACGATCTTCTCCGATGTCAAACAAAGCATGCGTATCGCCCAGGAGGAGATTTTCGGGCCTGTCATGAGTGTCCTCAAGTGGAGCGATGAGGTAACGTTGTGGAAAGAAGTCAACTCAGTTGAGTACGGCCTTACGGGGTCCGTCTACACAACAAACACTGTCACGGCCCAAAAAGCTGTCAAGAAGATGGAGGCCGGATATTGCTGGATAAACAACAGTGCTAAGCATTTCTTGGGCATGCCTTTTGGGGGTTACAAGCAGTCTGGCATGGGCCGCGAACATGATTTGCAGGAGTTGTACGAAATGACACAACTCAAAGCGGTCCACATGAGTCTGGAATAGGAGAGTCATCCGGCATGTCATGCCACCGCTCAGTCAAGATAATCTATTTGTTTTGTGCAGTCTGCGGCAATATAGGCAGTGCAGTTTGAAATCAAATCAGTGAAAACATAGAAATGAATGCCCAAGAATAAGCCGCAACACCGTGGCTAGAAATCTTGGCGTGCACTTCCGGCTCCATAACGTGGACGAGCTCTTGGTGCGCATATTACTACACAACCAGGTATAGCAGCTTGCAGAGGGCTCGCCGGTATAGCATCAAATAATGCCATGAAATGGCACCTGGCTAATTGGATGGCATGCACGCACTGGCAATCTTTGATTGAAGTAATTCTTATGGTAAATCACAAGCTTCTACGATACCTTAGCTAACTCACCAGCCGCACATTTTCTTCGTCGTGGAGTTGTAGATCACTATAATTGGATATAGAGGGCAAACATAATTATCACATCTGTTTTGAATTGAATCGACGACCGTCGAGTCGATTGATTGCGGATCGGGCCCCAAGGCGGAGACAGGCGTTTGCAAAGAAAGATGCCCGAGAGTGTACCCGAGAAGATACCTGGTTCATATCCAGTTATCTCGACGTGAACCAATATTATCAGGAATGGAAGGGTATGCCAATAAAAGAGTGGGGATATGGTACAATAGAAGCATAAGGACAGTATATCACGCCACAAACAAAGCCCTGAAGGAGAAGTGTGCCTAACCTCAATAGAGCCCAAGATTCCTAGCATTCGATCGGTGGAAAACCAAAGCCGGAGTTGTCATTTTCAAACCCTAAACAATCAAGGTGACCATTAGAATGCAGGCATCGCGACCCTTACATCTATACTCGTCCCGTATCATGCATTTTAGACTGAAGATCAGCTTTGGTGAAGAAGTTGAGCACACGGGGAGCAGATTGTTTAGAGTAGATTGTCGTCTTGTAATTTTATACGCTAAACACAGACCACGGACAAGCTCTCTATCAGTACCAAATTATCTCTTCACTCTGTGCTCCATTTTCGAACCATTTCGAAAGCGCCTGCTTCACGCTCTCAGCCGCTTTCCCTGCAAATTCAGGTCCCGTTCATGAAGGGCTGGCTTCAGCCGTTCGGTTCATAGAAAATTGTTCATAATTGGAACAGTTTCCCGTTCCAGAAAATTCCGAAAACTACGTGTTTTCGGAGAGGAGATTCTTGTATTCATTAACGATCGTTGGGTCTACATGTAATACATTCTATCCCTTGTACTCAGTCACCTCAATCTCGTCCTGTTACCGAAAATTAGCACACGAGATGTGAATTTTTGAATGCAGTTACTTACCTCAAACTCTCCAGGAATAATTAGGCCCTTGATAGCCCGTGTGTCCATAGATGGATGCTGCTCGACATATTTCTTGTATTCGGGCGCACCCGGCCGAAGGACATTATCTGCCACCACGATACTACCCTTCTTGAGCAATCCCAGAGACTCGGCGACTTTGAGATCGGCCACATACAGGTCTTCGATGTGATCCAGGAACAGCATATCTACCTTGTCAAACTTGCCCTCCTCCTTCAGATGCGTGAGCGACTCGGCAGCCTTTCCGGTGACAATCTTTACAACATCCCCCAGTCCAGCCAAGTCGACGAGATTCATCGCAATTCCGGCAAAGACCGGGTCAGCCTCGAGACTCCAGTATACGACTTGATTCCCATCGCTGGTACTGTCCTTGTGCGCGTTCTTCAATGCATTTCCAAACCAGAGGGCCGAGTAACCGACATACCCGCCCAGCTCAACAAAGATCTTTGGTTTCTTTTCGGAGATCAAAGCGGCCACCTTTTCCGCCTTATCAGGACCGATGTTGATCAAAAAGTTATGCTGCGCGGCGTACTCGTCCATCGCGTCGCAGATGACACGGGGATTGCTACGCATCTCCGGAAACGAAGCATGGTCGTAAAGCCAGCGCAGAAGAGCAGGTTCACGGCCGTCATTCCACTGGAGAGAATGTCACTCAAGTGTCTCAAGACTGTAGAGCATAAGAAGCCTTTCAAACCTCAACGTAAGCGTCACCTAGCTCCTCAAGCTTTCTCAGCGACGGATATTTTCCGTACAATTTCCTGCGTTCCTCCATATTCAAAGGCCTAAGATAGGAGATCTTGCATGTGATGGTAGCTCTATATATGCTGTTTAATAATCACGTTGTATGTAATATGAAATAATGGAAGAAGAAAAGGGTGGAGGCGCGTTAGAATTGCTTTTATATTTCCCCGCAGCTTACACAGTAAAAGTACTGTAGATCAAACGGATAAGCAAAAGAGGCAGGTGCTATTGTGCGTTTTTTTATGTATTTTGCTCCAGATCATTTTCTCTACTCTATTCTACCCAAATCGAAATAGCTTATTCGTATTTTTTATATATAAAATACTAAAGCGTCCGATTAAACTAGCTTGTTAAATTTCCTATTTCAATAATGTTTTCAATATAAATAAGGAATACCTTATCAAGGGACAAAATAATAATAACACGTACATAAAAGAGTGAACTATGGTATTATACTTATCTCTCTTCCATGAGTTAACTGGATAGTATCTCATTTTCATTAACTATCTCTTTCATTTAAAAGCAGTGGCTTTTTATTGCTAAGGGAAAAATTAGCTATCATAACACGATGGCTCAGTCTCTCGGAAATACATTTCTTGGTGATGTCAAGATGATGACTTGCTACTTGCATGGAAAATTGGTCATCTCGGCAATTAAATTAATTCTGGCGAGAGGCTCTTCGTCCGCTCAGCTTCTTGCCTCATCCTCTTCGCTGATGCAGCGACCTTGCGCCCCGAGGACGGATCCCAGACATAACCTTCCTTCAACCATCTCCAGCGAATATAGGCCTTGAGCTCCTTGTCAGATGGGACGACGCGCTTCCACTCAGGTTCGAACCCTGGCGTGGCACCAGTTCCCTCCCAGTCCTTAGCCAATCCCCTCAGGATATCACGATGGAATATGCGAAAACTGTCAAGTGCGTATGGACCGACGCCTGGTAGATGAGCAACCTCCCAGCCCTCCCGGAAATCACTTTTATCGAGAATTTCAGTCGGACCGACGTCTTTTCCATCCCCAGCACTAGGATAGTGCATCCTACGGTATCGTCGTTCCTTGCTAGGAGGACTCAAAAGCCACGCTTGTGCAAACAACAGAAAACGCTTCGCTCTCGAGTTGTACAAACCAATCGGCCGAATAAGATCTGCGAGCTCAGAGAGGTTGGCTTTAGCCAGGTGATCCGGGGTTGGATACTGCTGAACTAGAGCTAAGAAGATGGGCTTAGCCTGCATGCCTCTCGTTCGGTTCCAGAGCATGGCAGCGACAAGAAGCTCATAAAGATTGTGACCCAACTTTTCTTGGATGAGGCCAAATCTTGAGCCGTGGATCGGAGGACTGCGGCAGGCTGAAGTGGTTTTCACGTAGCGAATTAACCGGCTTGGGGTTAGGAGCTTCGCCAACTTCGGTTGTCGACTTTTGACGATGAGCGACGTCTGTCGCTCAACTGGAGCATCATCTTCTTCTTTGATCTGCTGTCTGTGCTTCTGTTGAGGACCATCTGTCGACCGATTGCTCTTGATGACATGGTCGTGGCGCGCCTGCAGCCGAGTGCTGCGGCGTGGTAGGTCGTCTGTGACGACACCCATCAATTGACTCTCAGAAGGCTGATGCGGAAACGGTAGTCTCGATTGTTTTCATCGACTGTCCGCATCCAAATCGCGCACTAAGGGTTAGAGAGGAGCGATGCTTCTGACGGTCGACTTACATATTTAGTGCATCATTGCTCAGACTAAACCCAAGACCAGCGTCATGAGTCTACGTGATGCGTCATCGACTCTCAACAGAGATTGGCCCTAGCATGTATATATGCCCCTTCAAAGAATCGCACACTGATTAAATCAATTTATCAATTCCAATCGATACTAAGTTGGTAATTTGCTTTGTTGATTCCTGGATTGTCCCTACACACACCACCACTCACACCACAATGGCATCTCTACTTCGACTTCGCCCTGGTCTAGCCCAATGTGTCCGGCATGTCAGGGCCCCTTGCACGGTGGCGACCCGCTCGTATGCGACGGCCGGTCAGCCGTCAGCATTCGGCAGACCTTCGCCGGCTTCTGTCGACTCGGGAGGTTCCTCGGGAGGAGGGTTCGTTTCTTGCTAACCCCATCCCGTCTGAACCAGCGCGACTAACTAACGAAACTGCAGCAAGAGGGACAACAGCGGCATGGCCATGATTGCAGCAGGATTGGTACTAGGCGCAGGCTTCTTGTACCTAATGACCAACCCAAAGTCAGCACATGAGAGGGCCAAGGCGCTCCCGGAAACGGCAGTGTCTCACAGTCGTATCGAAGCCGGGGACAACCATCAAGTACTGCGCAATGAGCGCGAACACAAGTAGGGCGCAGGATTTTGGGCATTGCATGGAATTAGACACCCTTCGTTTGTTTATATTTCTAGTACTAAATTCCGAGAAGAGGGTTTCAAATCTGTCAAAAAAAGTGTAATTGTTCTGAATAGGGTATGGCGAGTACATCGCCATCATTTCCGTTGGCAACCATCACCCACAATGATCAAAAGTAGTCTTCTTATTTAGATTATGTAGAAACCGCGTTAAAAGATTTTCCAGGTTTTTTATTAGCTTTTTATCAAGAGCTGGGTCATACTTCCATGGCAGCAGAATAGGCTTAGCAAGTGGGCACTAGAATAAGCAAAGACTATAAACGTGTCTTTATATCGAAACTTTCTCGCATAGGCCATAACTATCGTAAAAAAAGAATGTGTGTATAATCATCATATAACAGAAAGAAAGTAGTTCAATGGTATTGTCTGTTGATACCTCGTGTCCTCATGAGAAGGATCAGCTGCTGCAATACAATGACTAGGATTATTTTACCACCACAATAAATCTGTGAAGGTGACTCTGCGGGCCCTGCATTTTCGACGGCCATTTGCCTGGCTCCCCAACCACTCGAATCATGAGTGGTTTTCCAATGAGGTGAACTTGACATCTTGGCAGATTGGAATATTTTGGACTCAGAATGATTGTTGGGGAGTCGACAGTGGACGTTCTAGGGTAGCTGAAAGATCGCCTGACGTAATAGGGTGGGGGATCCTAGCATTAAGATTGATTTTTATTTTGAGGTTGTGGGCGTTGATCGGATCCAGCTTCATTATCATTTATGGGGCAAATGGATACGCGGATTCAAGAGAAGCTTGCGGAAAAGGTTCGATGTCACGTGTAGATACATCAAACAATGGCTCAGTCGCCATACTAAGGTATTGTACTATTGTACTTTGTGAGATATAGCCTCTATTAAGGGGGAACGCTGTGACTGTGACTCTGAATGACGGCTTCCAAAATTAGGATATTTCACTCGTGTTCCTGTGCCAGTCATACTGGGACCCGATACCGGCCCGTAGCCTGGACCAATTATTTTCCCGGCCTTATCAACAATTTTTTCCCACTCTTATCACCAAACTTTGACCCCTCCTTCTTCCCAATTGACTTCCTCAATTGAACACGCCCACGCCAGCGGACCTGATTCATTGTAAATCAACTTCACACAGGGCTCTTTTCTGTCATCTATCTTCTCACCCTTGTACCTTCAAAATGTCGAAGGGCCGCGTTTGTCTGTGAGTCTTGCCCCACCATCACACTAAACACCCCAGTCACGCTCTCCTGCTAACATTTCCACTTCAGCGCCTACTCTGGAGGTATTTCAGCCTAGCGTAGCTCAATCGCTTGCCTGCGGGTAGCTGACAGTGAATTAATCAGGCCTTGACACGAGTACCATTCTGAAGTGGCTCGTGAACGACGGGTACACCGTTGTCGCTTGCAACATCGATGTGTAGGTATCCACTGTTAGCTCCCAAGGTATTTGAGGTCGTGTCACTGACAAACACAGCGGTCAAGAAGAGGACTGGGAAGATGTCGAGAAGAAAGCTCTCGCGGTCGGTGCCGAACGCATGGTCATTCGCAACAAACAGAAGGAATTCGTCGAAGATATCGTGTTCAGAAGTATTCAATGCAACGCAATCTACGTGGGTTCCTCAATCTCATTGATTCCCTTTGGGGCCTCTATGTACTGACGATCAATAGGAAGATCGATATCTTCTTGGCACAAGTCTGGCTCGCCCAGTCATTGCACGAGAGTGAGTTTTTTTCAACTTCCATTGGCAGTACTACAGCTCCTGAACTGCCGGAAATAATCCAAGGGGCAGTCGCTGTATTAGGAGGGGGATCCGCATTGAAGAGTGAGACGGTTTGCTGACCTCGCTCCAAATAGGCTGGTTAATGTTGCCAAAGAGTTCAACTGCGACTACCTGAGTCACGGATGTACTGGTGAGTAGATCTTAGCACATACTTCGGTTCCGCCTCTGACATGACTGGAAACAGGCAAAGGAAATGATCAAGTTCGATTGTATGGTTCACCTTAGACCTTGCAGTTCCGAAAAAAGTGGCTAACAGATGATGACAGTGAACTTGCCTGGCATGGTACGGTTTCCACATCACCCATTTGTTTACTGGGATCCAACTCTATCCTCATCTCAAATCCAACTAACACTTCGAAGCATTGGCACCTGGTATCAAGATCATTGCTCCTTGGAGGATTCCCGAGTTCATTGCCAAGTTCCAGGGCCGGGCAGATCTGCTCGAGTACGCCAGGGTCAACAACATCCCTGTCTCGTCCACTCCCAAGGCTCCTTGGTCTATGGATGCCAATCTCGTAATTCTTCTCTTTTCCAGGTTGACGATGCGCAATCGCTAATGATTTTGGGAATATGTAGGTGCACTGCTCCTACGAAGCTGGCATTCTCGAAGACCCCAACCGTGAGCCTCCCAAGAATCTCTGGACGATGACTGTTGATCCGGTTGATGCTCCTGACAAGCCGTACCACTTTTCCATCGACTTTCAGAAGGGTATCCCTGTCAAGGTCACAACCGAAGATGGCAAGGAGGCTACTGACTCTGTTGAGTTATTCAAACTCCTCAACAAGATCGGGCACGACCACGGGATCGGGCGCATCGACATAGTTGAAGGGCGCTTCATAGGTATGTATTTTCGCCCTTTTTGTGCTTTTTATGGTGTTTTGAGGGCATCTTGAGATGCAGCTGTTCTTCTTAACCTCGAGATTGATGGTGGAGTTGGCTATTGGGGTTGTACAAAGCCCCACTCGGCCGAGTCCAGCCGGATCTCCACCCTGGTCCAAATCACGCCCGCTAGTACATCTTTAGGTGGGTCAGCTTCACAGCATCACTTCCACGTCGGAAGAGAGCTGTTCAGAGCTACAGTAATCGCTCGTTGCGGCAAAAGACAGGTTGGTTGGGGCTGTAGCAACCGCTCGACGCAACAGAGGACTGGTCAATCATGGCCACATCAATCGCTTGATCAAACAGCAGACGTGGAGGTCAAGTGCTTCTCACAACAATCTCTCATCGCGACAGCAGATAGCCGGGTCAACTACACATCGATTGCTCGGCTTGACGGCAGACGCGTATGTCAGCTACAGCTACAGCTACGCAGAAATTCTCGTCGCGACGCCACACAGCCAGATCAGCTTCACGGCAATGGCTTGTCTTGATGGCAGACACGCTGGTCGGCTACACAGCTATTGCTTATCATTGCTATGGGCGTGTTAGTTTGCAGCGATTGCTCATCATAGAAGCAGACAAGGTATGAGAGAGAGGATAGTCGTGATAGCTGAACGTCTCTCAATGTATTAAAAGGTATCTCTCTTGGCATGCTAACCTCATAATTTGAGTAGGAACACCATACCTAAAGATGTACTAGTGGGCATGATTCACGGACCAGGATTCAGATTGGACTACACTTCCCTCGGACTGGTGCTCTCTGAACTTTTGTTTGTGCTGACACTGATCCCTTTTTTTCAGGCTTGAAGAGTAGGGGTTGTTATGATAGTCCAGGCATAACTTTAGCACGACTCGCTCACAGTAAGAACAATTACCCTTTCTTGGATTATTGATGAATTTAATTGACAGCTTCTAGTCGACCTTGAGGGCCTCACCTTGGATTCGAAGGTTCGCGAGCTTCGTGATACGTTTGTCACTACTGCCTGGAGCCGACAGTTGTACAACGGAATGTACTTGTGAGTGTTCACTCAGGGCTATCAATTTTAGAAGGTCAAATACTGATATCTGAATAGCTCTCCCGAGCGTGAATTCGCCGAGAACTCGGTCATTTTTGCGCAGGATGGCGTCAACGGTACCGTCAAGATGATGGCCTACAGTAAGTCTTGTGGCAAAAGCCCTCCACCTCAAAATGATACATAGCCAAGAATAGCACTAACTTCACCGTCACAGAGGGCAACGCCTACACTGTTGGCCGCAGCAGCGAGACCAGCAACCTTTATAGCGAGGAAGATGCCTCGATGGATTCGCTCGATACCTTCTCTCCTCTGGACACAAGCGGTTTCATCGCTATCCAGGCCATCCGACTTCGAAAGTACGGCGAGGCCAAGATTGCCCAGGGCAAGAGTCTGTAAACATCGAGAGGCATGAAAAATCCACTGATCGCTGGCTTTGGAGGAGAAAATATTACATGTTAGTTATCAGGACGATTAGGTGCCTTCGAATTGGTAATAGAAGCCTACATGTTCGAGACACCACACAAAAGCACAGTAGGTCAAAAAAAGGATGACATACAGCTAAGTAAGATAAATAAGATTGAAGTGTCCATTTTATTTTCGTAGGCAACAAGAAGATATTTGCTTATTTTCTCATCTGTTTTTACCGACGTGACCTTATACTTATTCTCAAGGTATCGGTTTCGTCCTTTCCGAGGAGTTTCCCAACGAAACTCTTATTCGTTAAATGCCGATACCTCCGTGTAGCCTCCTCATGTGCGCATAGCAGACCGAACCTTCATTGAACGTAGCTAGGCATACCCAGCAAATATGACAACTGCATCCTTTGCAAGTCATGTGATTGCAGCCCTCAGTCTTCTCCATGGAGGTTTCGCATCTCGGGCAATCTTGAATCCCCAACTCCTTCTTTACCTTGTTCAAGGCCTGGAGGTCGCCAGAGGAATCTCCCTCACGCTGCGCACAGGTGACGCCAGGATGAGAGGTGTGGCAGGCTGCGCAAATGGAGGCCAGGCACTTGTCGCAGGTAAAGGTTGCCGGGTGTTTCTCCGTCTTGGGGACAACACGGTAAACCTGAGAGCAATCAGGAGTAGGGCAATATCGGAGTTGGTCTGGATGACGTTGAACAAACGACCGAAAAGATGCTTCAAGGATGTCCTCGAATGTCTCCGATAGAAGAAGGTTGCGAATTTCCGCAAGCTCAAATATGTGACCGCACTGGTCTGAGTTTCCAAGGCAGGTGATGCAAAACTGCAATGGAGCCGATGCTTGTGCTTGACACATGTCAATGAAGCAAAGACCGCAGTAGGTATGATTGCAAGAAGTGTGGATCGGCTCATCGGCTTCACAAAAGCAAACCGAGCATTCCGTCTCCCCCCTTCGGCGTTCCCCTGAGAAATTCTTTTGTTTTGATGCCACAATGGATTTGGCATCGGCAAAGTCTCTCTCAGATCCCTGAATTATAATACGTCTCGATTCCCTGTCAAACGAGGCCTTGTCGCTTCCTAGCTGTGATTCGAGTGCTCTGAACCCTCCATCCACGGCCCATCTAAAATCCGGCTCCTGACTGAGTGAAATAAAGCGTTGAGCAGAAATCGTCTCTTTGACGAGACGATCCACAGCTTTTGTTGCCAAAGCCTGACGTGCTTCAGCACCAAAGACACGAAACTGGGAAGTCCGCATATCACGAATGATAACGACACCCAACTCCTCCTCAACCATCTTGAGTCTTTTGTAAGATTCTCGACTGATCTTGGATCCTGGGTATAAGATAGCCTTTCCATCTAGTCTCATCACCTCTCCGGCAAGAATGAGATCGAGGTCCTGTTTTGCCTTCGCAACTGACTCGCGGTCTCTACCTTCGAGCTTCAGGACACGATAGAAGCCACGTGAAGGAAAGGCAAAGAAATGGATATACTGACGATCCCAAGAGCTCTTGTGAGCGTTGATTCGCTGCTGAATGACGTCGTAAACACGTGTCGATACCTTGAACCTCACCGAGGTGACGACCTCGACAAACAGTTTGCTCGTGTCGCAGAACGGCAACGGCTTTCCGTCAAGGGTCGATGCGGCATGGTGGGCTTGAGATTCCTCCATGAAAGTCGCATGGGCTTTGACTCGCGCCCCTTTTGATGTGTCAGAAACTTCCCATTTCTCCAGTGGCCCAAATTCATAAAGCATGGACTGGATCAAAGTCGAATCAATCTCCATGTCAGCGACATAGCTCATTTCTCCCATTTCAACTCGGCGAGGCCTGTCTAGCTTAGGAATGGCCTGTGTGATATCTTCCTCCTTGACAGTCTCAGGCAAATGCGTTAACTTGACCATCCAGCTCGTTTCACTTTCTTGGTTCTTTTGAGGTATGGGTGGATAAGCCATGATTTTCGCTTTGTTCACTTTCACTTTTCCACTACGAAGCTTCTGTTGAAGCCTCGAAGCAATATGCTTATTATCAAAGAAGAGATGCACTGCTCGGGTTGGCCGATGCCACGAACATTGCACCTGTCTGCAATCAACTTGGTGAAATTTAGACCCCTTTGGCAGCGGAACGGGTATAGTAGCTACCTCGAGGTCTCTAAGTGTGATGCAGGTGCCTAGCTTTCTGCAAGCTTCCTTTGAGAACGATGGGTCTTTGACTTTGACTACAGCAGTGCATTTTGTAGAGTCGGTGTGTTTCGTGAGGCGCACGTCGTTTGGCGATATGGTCAAGTCTACATCCGACAGCAAATTTAAGACGGATATGACTGAGGAATCACTCGGGAGGTTGCCGATGCGGATGGCGGAAAAGTCAGACGGTAGAGAGACTCGATCGGTGGTTGCTCCATTACCAAACTCAGCCCAGGCTCCTCCAAATTCTCGAGTTGAATCGTCTATGATCTCGTCATCCTAAAGTAACTCTGTCAGCGTTTGTCAAGGTAGCTAGGAGATTAAATCAACAGTACCCTTGACGCTGTGGCTTCTTCTCTACCCTTCGTATTCTCATGTAAGAAGGTGCATGACCCCCCCTTTTTGCAATCGCCCTTAGCAAAGAACCGGCATGGTTTCCGTGATAGTTGCCTCAAAGTCCCAGGTGTCTGGGCGTGAAGAGCCTGCCGCTCGTTCTCGAACTGGAAATTAGGATCCCGATTATGGAGTCTGAATGGAGTTGGGGTCGTATGTAACTCTTCAGGTGCCCCAAGGAGCCGATTAGGTCGTGGCGGCAGTTGACGAGGCAGTGGCTGGGGCTGGGGCAGTGGCTGAGGCTGAGGCTGGGGAGTCTCGCGAGTAAAGGCGTTACCCATTATGAATCGATAGCAAGGGTGGCGGAGAGCTTAGAGAGCGATGTTATTTAAGATGATCCAAGATCTCCCTTTATATAGAGGAGGGGGGGCATTGGGTAGAATCAGGCATCAAAGGGAACGTGACAGCTCAATCACGAATTACTGCGGGAGGCCAACCATTGTGGCACTTAGCCATCCAATGGCTGATTAGATGCATTGCTCGAGCAGCCTTTTCATTTGTAGGGACTGCAAAACAGGGATCTGAGCCAATTAGATGGTTAGAATAACAAGGTACATTATTTTTGGTTGATAACTATATAGCGATAGAAGTACCAAGGATCCTCGTAAGAGAAAATAAAATTGAGCTCAACAGCAATGGAAGCTGCTAGAGCCCGACAACTCAACACAATGAATACGGAAGCTTAAAAACAGCCTTTCCTAGCCCAAAATGTAGTCATACAGTAGGAAAGTTCTATGAACCTTCATTACCGATAACTCACTTGCCGTCAGGACGAGCAGCTCGTCGAATAACTATAAAGCTACCTTCTTTCACCTGGCTTCACACTCGTCTTACAACAATCTAAGCACTTCAACCTTGGTGGCCAAGGCCAGATCACTGCAGTCATCCAGAAGAACAAGTGGGACAGTATGGAACGAAGAGAGGAAGGGGTTGAGGAGATAGTGTTCATAGAAATGTTTTTAAACTTCAAAAACACAGTGGGATGTATCACTGCAACAACCCCAAATGTACAACTGCTTGTGAGATCAAACTAACTACTAATAATCAATTTTATATTATATGCATCCGTTGGCGCGATATTACTTAGGTCCGAAACCTGGAATTGCACGATAATGGGCGATTATTCCTTACGCTCCTTCATCGCCTCGGGGATCCTTTCATCAATTGCTCTTTCATTATCCACCACAGTCTTTCCGTCGATAGCGGCAGCGATTGCCTCCAGACTATGTCCAGACGTCTCGGGGAAAAACTTCCAGACGCAGAAGATTTCCACAAGTAGCCACCCCACGTAAACGCCGTAGTACTTCCAACCCAAGTTCTGCAGACCAATTGGGTTGACGAACACATTCAGAAAAACGCCTCCCTTGTTAAAGATCATGAGAACCGAGAATCCTTTGGCTCGGATTGGGTAGGGCAGAATCTCGACAGGGTAAGAATATAGCAGAGCGTTGAATGCAAAGTTGAAGAAGGGGTAGAATAGGAACAGCATGGCAATGACAACATGGCCAGCGGTCTTGTTCCCACGCTCGTTAAACAGACCCGCACAAAGCGTTTGGATGCTGAACACCACAAACATACCAACTGTCGACACAATGAAGTGGGTGCGTCTCTTGAGACGGCCAGAAATAATGGCAGACGCGACAGCCGTGATCCAGTTCCAGATGTTGAGGCACCCATTGATGATGTTCTTGTCACTCGCATCGGTGATACCGACCGTCTCCAAAATGCGGGCGATATAGTATGAGACCAAGCCATTCCCTGACCACTGGGAGAAGATTCCCAGCATAACGAGGACCATGACGCGGCGACGGTTGCCGGGGGTTGCGATCATAGTCTTCCAGGTAGTCTTGTTGGCGACCTCTGCCTCAATGACAGCACGCATCTGCCGGAACTCGGCGTTCACAAACTCGGAATCTTCATCTCCCTCAGCGTGATATTTGACCAATATAGCTCTGGCCTCCTCGGGGCGAGACTTCGCAATCAGGAATCGAGGAGATTCTGGAACGAACCAGATACAACAGGCCTGCACCAGGGCTGGGGCGGCCTGGAGGTATGAAGGGATGCGCCACGACCAATTACTTTCGATTCTGAATGTTCCAAATGTCGTCCATGCGGCGAGGATAGCTCCAAGGTAATACGACGTTTGGTATAAAGACGTAGCGACGTGTCGATGCTTGGGATGGGCCAATTCGCCGATGAGGACCGGCGCAAATGTGTTGGCAAATACGAGACCGAGGCCTATGATGAATCGGGAGGCGATGAACATGCCGACTAAAGAAGAAGCGGGTGTCAATTAAGTGTACAAGACCGGTGGCGTTCTCTTAAACCTTACTGTGAACTGATGCTCCTTGAAGCACACCCCCTATGATCATGATAATAGTTCCCAAAAAGATCGCCCATCGACGACCAAAGCGGTCCCCAATCGGACTCAGGAATGGTGTGGTAGTAATTGCACCGAGACCGAGGATGGCAGTCGTGATACCAAGAATGCTGCCACGGGGACTATTAAAATCTGGGAGTTTGGGTTAGCTTTAACAACTCGACATTGGAGAACGATGGGACCATACATGTATCCCAAGCAGGGACGGCCTGTAGACCGTTCATCATGGAGCTATCGAATCCAAGGGTGACAGCAGGAAGTAGACATCCTGAAGCCATGAGGAGGTAGAGTTTAAGTAAATTTGGGCATTTGTAGAAGGCTGGGCATTTTGCTGCTTCCTGTTGAATGAAGTTGTCAAATTCTTCAACTGTCTGACCGGGACCAGTACCCAGTTTCTCGGAATGGGAGGCCACAGTTGGTTCCTTCCCAACCGATGATACTCTTTCAAGAGTAGTAGGAGCCGCCATTGGAATGATAGAAGATGAATTGCTTGTCAAAAGCGGTAAGGTTTGATGTTGGGATTCTGTCTCGGATCGTCATCGTAGGATGCCATGCCGGCTTTTATAGACTGAATGTATTGAGTCTTATGGTTGAAGGTTGCCCGGAAAAAGCTCCCCAGTCCTCCCCAGACCTGGCACCCCACGAGATGTCACCTTCTCCACGTGGTCATGCGCTGATTTCTGGGGTTTGTTGCCGGAAGAAAGTGAGTAGTTTTAGGACTAAACCAACCAATCATAGCATGACTATGCCGATATGGGGCCGAGGGAGAATCGGCAATCAGCCAATAGAATGTATCTAAGGCCGAAGACCCCCGATTTATATGAACCGGTAGGAGCACAATTCTCAATTCAGCGGGGAAGCTCTGCAAAATCAAGGAAACAGGGGTGCCATGACCGACTCAAGGAGCACGCAATAAATAACGAAAGCTACATAAGTGGTCTAGGCCCGTCCGTTGACGGCCAACCCATAATGGGGAATCAAAAACGCCTCTATAATTGCTTCCGAAGTAAATATGAGCTCCACGGTAGTAGATATCCCATCACTTGTCTCTAAGCTTACGCTTGAGGAGAAGATCTCTCTGCTTGCCGGAGTAGATTGGTGGCGCACATTCTCTGTCGACAGAGATGGTGTGCTAGTGCCTCAAATCAAGGTAAGCCAATAACCCTACATCTCCTGGGCATGTCCCCTGCTGATATCGTACCAAGTTTACAGATGGACCAAACGGTGCCCGTGGCGAGAGCTACGTGTCTGGTATCAAGGCCGCATGCTTTCCCTGCGGAACGTCACTAGGATCTACCTTTGATTCTTCCATCCTTGAAAAGGTCGGTGCAGCAGTAGCAAAGGAAGCACTTACCAAATCTGCCAGCGTATTGCTCGGGCCGACCCTGAACGTCATTCGTTCTCCTCTAGGAGGTCGAAACTACGAGACATACAGCGAGGACCCTTTTGTTTTGGGTGTTCTAGCTGCGGCTTACGTTCGTGGCTGTCAGGCTGAGGGCACCGTTGCAGCGACGCCGAAGCACTTTGTCGCCAATGATGCTGAAAACCAGCGAACCACACTCAGCGTCGAAGTCAATGAGCAAACGCTGAGGGAGATCTACCTGAAGCCCTTCCAACTTGTTGCTAAACTGTCTGATCCTTGGTGCTTCATGACGAGGTATGTCCCGAGATGGTAGTGGTCCGAAACAACTGTATGGTCTAACAACATGTAGTTATAACCGAATCAATGGCGAATACGTTGCCGACAGCCGTGACCTAGTGACAAGCGTTCTCAGGGAAGAATGGGGCTTCAATGGCGTTGTTGTATCCGACTGGATGGGCACTTACTCTGTTGCTCCTGGAATCAATGCCGGTGTAGACATCGAGATGCCTGGGTCGCCTAAGTGGAGGAAGAAGGACGAGGTTCTCAAGCTCGTCGAAGGCGGGCAAATCTCTAAAGAGACGATTGACAACAGTGTCCGTCGCATCCTAGCACTTGCCAAGAGGCTCGGCCGTTTTGAGGACCCTACTGAGCCCCCTGAGCGCGAGGTTCAAGACGCTGATCGAGATGCTCTCATCGAAACCTCCGCAGCTGAAGGTATTGTGTTGCTGAAAAACGACAACAACGTGCTTCCGATATCTAAGGGCGCTTCTGTCGCCCTTATCGGGCACCATGCCACATCGGTCGTGTTGGGAGGCGGCGGCAGCGCACGAGTTGATGCTCTGCACGCCATTACCCCTGTAGAGGGTTTCGAGAAACGAGGCCACCCCACCTCTGTCGCCCTCGGTGTCCCTGTGTTCGGTGCCATTCCCCATGCAGATCCCTCAATTGTATTTGCGCCTGGAAGTGCTGAGAAGAGGGCTGAGCCAGTCAAGTTGGAGTGGTTCAATGGCCTGAAGATTGGAGAGAATAAGGTTCACGAGGAGACTCGCCCTCAAGCCGAGTACATGATCAAGGAAAAGTGGCCCGACTACCTGGACTCAGTTGAATATTGCACTCGTATTACATTTGACCTTGTTGCTCCATCATCAGGCGATGCGATGTTTGGAGTCATCAGCACTGGTGCCGCCAACTGCTACATCGACGACGTTCTTGTCTTTGAGCGTGTCCAAGAGACCAAGTTACGACCCGAATCATTTTACTTTTTCAAAAAAAACCTTGAGAAACGATTTACCTTCAAACAAGAGGCAGGACGCCGTTACAAGATCAGGCTTGAGTCTTGGGCTTGTGAACCAAAGATTCTCAACGCCTCACCTCTGTTCGGCAAGATGTTTCAAGGAAGCGCAGTCCGATTCCACGAGCAAATCAACATCGACGAATGTCTTGACGAGGCAAAGAGGGTAGCCAGCGCTTGTGACTATGCCGTCGTCTGTGTTGGTAACACAAATGAGATTGAGTCCGAAGGCTTTGATCGTGATACCATGGACCTCACCCCCGATCAATACCGGCTGATCGATGCCGTGAACTCTGAAAATAGTAAAACTGTTGTTGTGAGCTTCTGTGGTGCGCCCGTTAATCTAGCCCAGTTCATCGATTCCACGCCTGCTGTTGTGCAGGCTTGGTTCCCTGGACAAGAGACGGGCCACTCAGTCGCGTCCGTGCTTACAGGCGCTGTCAATCCTAGTGGGCGACTGCCACTTTCTTGGCCCAAAAAGCTGGAAGATAACTCTTCGTTTAAGAATTTCCCTGTAGGAGAAGATGGTATTCTTAGATACGAGGAGGGGCTCGATGTTGGCTATCGTTGGTATGATCGCAAGGCGAGCCCCGATCCGCTCTTCCCCTTCGGCTACGGTCTCTCGTACTCAAAATACATCATTAATAAGGCCGAGATCGATGGCCAGCGATCCCTTACTGATGCCAAAAGCACCATCACGATCAAGGCCCAAGTTCAAAATATTGGGCCCTACGATGGGAAGGTCGTGGTGCAGTTCTACGTTGCATCCCCCGATATGGCCCACCCCGCCGATGGATCTTTCCAGAATCGACCCATCAAGGAGCTTCAGGGCTTTTCTAAGGCTGAAGTCGCTGTTGGGCAGACCCAAGAAGTATATGTAGAGTTAGATAAGTACAGTGTCAGCATTTACGATGCACAGAACAAGCGCTGGCAAGCTAGAGAGGGAGAATACTCTGTGTTAGTGGGCTTGTCCAGTGTTGACATCGCTCAGAGCATCTTATTCCGGGTTGACAAGGAGTTCACTTGGACAGGGCTGTAGTGGGAATATTTAGATACACAATAGATCTGGTGAGATTAAATTTAGTTTATAGAAACTATGGGCACAGGCTGGTCATAGGGGTAGGTAAAATATCAACTAGCTAATGAACATCCATTCAATGCCACTCCCGGGACTAAATTGCATTTGCGAAGTCGTCTCGTCCGCTTTGGCATCTTCGTGATCAACAAGGGGCTGCCTGGAACCAGCTAAGTGCTCACTGGTAATAGGGAGAGATCCGAGTCCAGGGCGACGAGCTAAATTATTGTCAAAGCCAAATACTAGTGGGAAAGGATGAACTAGAGCTCGCTCTTACTCACCTCCAGTAGTAGGCTCCATTGTCTCCCACTGACTCCCGAGAAAGAGCATTTGGCTTAGAATGCGGGGGTTTTGATCTACAATACGAATCCACGTATTCCTATTCTGGTTCCTAACTTTTGTGAAATTTGCCAGATGTTGAAGCTATCGCCGAAGTTAAGACCAGTTCAATTCATTGTTGAGGGTTATGGCGACGTACCACCCAAAGGAACATTCTTGTGTGATTTTTTAGACGCTCCACGCACTCTAGGAGGATCTTCAAATCGCCCTGTAATTTCTCTGCAGCTTCTGGAGATTCAGCCCAGAACAATGCATGGCTTAGGATGACAGTCGAGACTGTCAATATCTGTCCAAAGGAAAAGTTGTGTATGTCAAACCCGCGTTCGGAGCAATGTGTTATAATGCGGACAATCACTGAGGCGTGTCCATAACACTGCTCCGTTAAGGCTTGCAACGAATATCTTTGGTCGCCTCCAGAGGGCGGGAACGCGTCGTATTTCAGGGATTTCAATGCACGAAAGCAGAGAATTTGCCCAACGTGGTGGTATAGGAGATGCATATAAGCGAACTTGCGGAGGTTGTCATGGCTTTCTTGAAGTTCTAGATTAGCAGTTGTATACAACAACAGCGGGTGTCTTGAATTGGAGTATCGCTCAAAATTTTCTTGAGCTTCATCGAGGGTGGAGATCAAATTTCTTCCCAGGTATATGTCGCAAACCGCAACGAGCATGCTGGAAAGCTTGAAAATTTCCTGTTCGACGCTGATAGGGCTTGGCCTGTTTATAAACGTTTCACTCATATCACCACCTTTCTTGAGAATCCAAAAATCTTCTTCGCTTCGCATCTCAGGTAGGTCATCACGAATCTCGAACTGCGAGGGGAGCTTTAGAGGGAACATGAGCCGATCCATCAACGCGACAGTATAGGCGAGCCGTTTCTTTGACTCCATCTGCACGGAGACTTCGCTGAAACTCGAATCCATGAATCGCAACGCCCTTAGCATGTTTGATGCACACCCTTTGTATGATTAGCGAGAGAGAAAAACAGTCACTACACTCACTCAAGAAATACGTACCCAAGTATAGGTATGCTTGTCTTGAGCCACCAAATGACAATTTATACGTGCTGAGTAAGACGTAGACTTGGATAGCAGTAGTCGATGGCCAGTCAAAAGAATCCTTGAGGAGATTTCTCGCATGCCGCCACAGAGGTTCTCCGCGATGGCGAGGGGGTATTTCTTCCCCAAAAGGAGCAAGGGAAAAGCTAGAAGAATCATTAGTCATGCGCTTTCACCCAGATACCTTGGTATTAGGCACTGAGTGATCCTGGGGGGAAGAGCACGAATACCGGATACTAAGTGCCATCATGGAGTATAAAATGATTGGCGGAACATCCCCCATTCGGAAATCTCTGAGAAACGCTTCTTCATCGAACATGAAGTGGATGTCATTAAAATTGCTGAAATAAAGTAGAACCAACGAGAAGGCAAACTCGTTTTCTCGTAAAATATCTTCCGGGTGCCCTCTTCCGAAATCAAGATAATGGTTCTCCTGTAAGAGCTGATAGGCAGCGGGGACCTTCGACGAATCTGTCTGTACTTGGGGGTTGGCAGCCGGGCGAGCCTCGGGCAGAGAGTCCTGTGGCAGTGACCGCACACTTCGTACATGTTGCATATAAGAGCAAGGGGTGTTCCGACTCAGGCATCTGACACAGCTGGTGTCATTTTCCTTGACCCTACACCGGACCTTGCTTGCCCTGTGGGTTGAGTGGTAAGCGGTCTTTGGTCCATGTAGTACGCCGATATTTGAAACTTACCGGCAGGAACTACAAGCAAGTCGCGGCATAGTTCAGGCGTTCTTCTCTATGTTGCTTGTTTTCCTCCCTCTCATACTCTTTGATGCAAAAGGGAGAGAGCATTTAGCGGCCACTTTCCCCGGACATCTTGTGGCAATTAAGCTAAGTACGTAATCAACTCTGCTTCAGATTATTCCCCACCGTATGCACTCTTAATATTGGCACCAGTTCGGACAGCCATTTTTTTCACCTCTCCCTACCTACCCTAGGGCTTTAAATCCAATCCGACGATGTCTCTTCGAGCCCAGCTTATATGTCTCTATATATGCCTTATTAGTCTGGAAGTTCAAATAGCCCAAGTTCGATCTACGATTCAGACACCTTGAGTTAAGTATGAGTGACTGCTCGAAGGGGAGTAGGGCATACTCGACCTGCGGCACTTTGCCAAACACCTCAGAAGGAATTGACCAGGAGCCCGCATCATTATGTGCCTTTGCAAAGCCCATTTCATTTTAGCAATTTGGGTTATCGTGTATACAAATGAACGTCGAGTGAGAAGGGATAGAATCATATGGTAAAACTTTCATCTTCAATGAGCATTACCATCATTTGGCTTCCTAAGGCGAGATGTCACGTTGCCCGGTCATATTTAGTTGGCATCGCACTGTTTGCGTTGTAATATCATGGAAAGTCTGGAAATTCTCTTCGCTTGACATCTCTTACGACCAATGTCGCACTATCTATACCAAGATAATATCTACCTCAGGAAGGTTGAGGTCGTCAAGCTCCCCGTGCATTGCGCCGGATAGATACGCCTCGCATACCAGTGAATATTTCCCTCCCGGGCTGGCTCTTACCACATGAGGCATTTGCGCTCCGTTTAAGAGGATGATCTTGTCCCCAGTATGCATTGAACCCCCACCCAGGCCAAGCCGTCCCCCAGTTGTGACAAATACTTTCGGGTGGAGAATACTGTACATGGCACAGAAGAATGCCTTCTGAAACGCGTCATTAACTGTCAAGGCCCTGAAAACCTCATTGTCTCGCAAGCCAAGCCTCTCCACGGATGCCGCAAGCTCGTCAAGTCCGCGTCGCAAGGCATAGTAATATTCAAATGTAACCTCGCGACCTTGAAATGTCTCAAAGCCGCCGAATAGCGTCTTACAGAGGCGGTCTACTTCGGTTCTGTTATCCTCCTCGACCCCCGCAAGGGGCTCCAGGGACTCTGTCACTTCGAAAGCCCTTGGAGAAAGCGAGTTCCTTGCAATACTCCGTTCGAATTCCCTTAGGTGTAAATAGGCTTCAAGGACCTCTGTTGTATTGATTTCGCGCCTGGAAAAGTCTAAGGCGATCGGAATCCGTTCGTAGATCTGGGAAATGTCGTCCACGAGAGATCCTCGAGAAACAAGCTCATGGGTGCCCTCTCTTGGCAACGCAGTGATATTCTTCCGGCTCGCATGAAAGTTCCTTCTCGTGTCCAAGCCTAACGTGGTACCATCCTCGTACCACTCGAGAGACTCTGAAGACTGATGGAAGTCTGCGCACCAGCTGGGGAGGTTACTCATCTTGCCTGGAATAGTGCCCCTTTGCAAGAGTGCGAACCACATGGGTGCGACTGGGTCCGGCTGGGTCAAAACTCGTTGGCCAAAGCTTGTGTACAGTTCTATCAAGCTGGCCGTATCGCTGAAATGCCCGAAAGTCCCACGCTGATCGTCCGGTAGACGACCTAACGTCCCGTACACCCGGTCACGAGGGTCGAAGCACTTCATGTTCATGGTCATTTGGTAAATGATCCAAACGAGTTGGCGAGGAGCTCTTGGCTGGTCGAGGTCCAAGGCGAAGGACTTTTGAACTAAGTCGCGGATTCCAAGTACGGAAATTGCTCGCTGGTTATTTAGGAGCCTCATGGCTTCGTCCCGCATCGACGCGTCGAAGAGTGTTCGGCCAACCAGTTAGACGTTGATACGACAGTATTGAGCATTTCAGCATCAATCTCGTGAGTCCCCATGAGGAATCGAAGATCCTGGGCCAAAGCGGACTCCTGGACGATCCATACGCGCCCAAACCAGCTATTACTGATAATGTTGAAGACGCTGGTCCATACCGGCGAAAAGACTGGCGGGAGCCCAGGCGGCATTCCTGTTGGCGAACCCCTCATACTGGTGTGCGCTATGAGAGGTAAAAGCCTGATCGCCTCAGCTGTATGGTCAATGCCCGGTCCTAACCAGACCCAGACTTGTATGGCACGCCGGTAGATTGCATTCATCCTGCGGATCTGAACCATCTTCTCTGCATTGTCTTGCTGGTTGATGCACACAGCGTCGACCCAAATAGGGCGACCTGATGGACGCCTGCTCAGATAGGGTAAGGCCACATGCAAGCTCTTATGTATCTGAATTACCCGTCCGTTCAAAATCAGCGGAAAGGTCTCACTGTGGTCGCCCCAGACATATGATAGAGCATCAAAGTCGGCATCTTGGGCCTCTTGGCCGGCATCTCCAATGTTAATGACCCTGAGAATCCAGGTTGGCTCGCTGCTGCCGTCTTCCACATTGTACTCCAGGACCCTGATTTGGCCTGGACTAAGGGGAGTATATACAAAAGGGTCGAGAACAGATGTCACTCCTATTCTCGAGGGGCAGGGCGCTTATGTTGAATGTTTATTGTGTGATTTTGATTGACAGACACTACAAGAATGGGAGTAAGGCCTCGGTGCTTAAGCAGATAACCAAGTGATATCAGTTGCTGCCGGAAGGTCACTGGGTGAGGCACCTTGCTATTACTGCTGGGATGATGTCTGGGGTAAACGGAAACTAAGCTAATTGGGCTAGCTGTTCGGGCTTAAATAGCCCAGCGTTCAATTGTGTGTGTAACCTGACAGGCTAAAGCCCGGCTTAGGGTCCAGCCGGAACTTCCATCTACATAAGTTGTAGCTATAGCTACTGACGTTGCTTCTTTTGTGAATTACTTCTAGAGGTTACACAGTTGTTACAGGCTGTTGGAGGTGAGTGGCGCCTGGCCTTGGCATCGGCTAAATATAGATACTAACAATTGCATAATATCGGCGCTTCCCTCATCAGTCGGGCGCCGAAATGTTTAGTTATTCTTAGCATAGGGGACAGAAGATCAATTCATACCTTGTCAAGCTTATATAATTATCCAATTAAATTTAGTATGCATAATGCCACTTGCCACTTGTGGAGGTAGATGGAGGAGTCAATACCAGCCTAGTGCTATTCAAGGAGGCCACTGCTGATCGGTGTGCTCTTGAGAGCTTGACCTCCAAATATATTAATTGACGGCGGATGCCAATTCAATTCTCAGTCAGTAAGCCATCCAAATAGTCTTGCTTCTTCGGGTGCCAGCCCTATCCTCATCGCCATGGCTCGCCTCTACCTCGTCTGGGTGTTCGCCCTCCTCTGTACCCTAGTCACAGCCAAAGCGCTCCCGAATCTGCGCATTCTAACTCTCGGAGACTCCATCACTAGGGGCAACGGCTCCGGCGGGAATCCAAATGGCTACCGATCACGGCTCCGAGGCTTGCTCGTCCAAGCAGGAGCCCAGGTCGACATGATCGGCACACTGAAAACCGGCACTATGGCCGACAACGACCACGAAGGACACAGCGGCAAGACCCTCAAGACCATCGCCACCAAGTGGCAGAAACCGATCGCCGCCAAGCCAAACCTAATCCTCATACACGCGGGCACAAACAATATGGACCTGAACGAGGATCTAGACACGGCGCCCACTCTCTATGCGAATATGCTTGATGGCATGTTCAAGGAATACAATGACGTTGTCATCCTGGTTGTCCCTGTCATATACTCCAAGAAGGCGCATCTGAACAAGAACCGCGAGACGTTCAACGCCAAGCTCAAAACTATTGTCAAGGAGAGACAAGATAAGGGAAAGCATATCCACGTCACTGCCGTTGACATCACCGACGCGGATCTTTCTGACGAGAAGCATCCCAACATTCAGGGATACAATAAGTTTGCCGATTCATTCTTTGCGGGTGTCAACAGAGTCAATGACAAGGGATGGCTTGTAGCCCCCGCTAAGATTGACTACGACGCCTACCCTGACGTGGGACTTGGTCGAGGCCAGTAATTTTGCGAGGACTATGTTGCAGGAAGTAAAAGATGTTTATTTTAAAATTCACGGTGTGACTGTCAGAAATGTGTATAGTCGAGCGGTGCAGGGTGATTTTAGGATATTCATGTAGTACTATTAAATCGGCTCCTTTCAGAAATGTTGTTTTCAAAAGCCTTGGGTTTATGGCTACCACGCAATAAGATCGCTAACGTTCATGTAGTGGCTATGCATGGACCTCTTATAAGACGGTTGATATTCAGAGATTTCCTGATAGATATAAGTGGCTATATCTATCCCTCTCAATTAGCTAGATTTTATATCAGCCTTATTTCAAGGTGTATCATCTGTTAACTTTTAGGGTACATAACAGGCTCTTAATCATGCAAGAAGAGTTTCAGAAAATAGCCAGTACGGCGGGCTGCCGAAGCATCAAACAGAAAGATAATCCAGTGAAGAACAAATAGTGAGCGTAGTCTAGCAAGATGATTGTGAACACCTACTCGGTCAGGTTTCTGATTGGGTCTCTCATTAGAATACATTAAAGGGAACCCTAGGCTCAGTCCATGAGATAGATACCTTCAGATCTAGTACTTGCTGAAGCTAACATATCAATTGCTCAAAGTTTATCCTGATAAGTATTCACGTCGACTTACCGTAGTCATAATCAAACTATACATTCGGATTTTCTCAAACTTCAGTTGCTTAGTCTAACCAATCTATAATAACCTACTCATCTATATAATACTCGTGCATATAAAATCCCCATTTCATCTCGAACTGCCTTGGTACTGATATTTCATCTCCATGTACGTCACTGCCTCGCATGACCCAGCTCAGCAGAAGTCCCAATGGGAAGTTTGCTTCATGCTCGATGGTTGTCTTCCAGAAGAGTCTCGAAGGCTTTGCGGGAAATAGTCCATGTCGGACCGTTGGGCATGCCTCCAGGACTACGAGGGAAGACGGACGCGTCTACAACTCGCAGTTTGTCAACGCCGCGCACGCGGAACCTCGAGTCAACGCAAGATGTAGCAGCGTCGGACCCCATAGAGCAGGTAGACGAGGCATGGTGGCTGAAGGCCAAGTCCTGGATGCCCTGCCTCAAGTTCTCCGGGTCCGGGTTGATCAGCGTGTTGCGGATGCCGGTGCCGTCAAACGCGCGCTTGAGGAGCTCAATGCTTTCAACAATGGCGTCCAGATCGCGCTCAGTCGCTTCAGCAAAGTAGTTGAAGTTGATGTTGGGTCGAATGCGAGGGTCTGATGAGTTGAGTCGCACGGTGCCGGCAGCGTTGCTCGTCTGCATCTTAACAACGGCGTGCAGCCACTCAAAGGGATCGTTGCGGGCCAGCTCTCCTCTGGAGTAGCCTGGGTAGAATCCTGCTAATCCTGCCAAGCCAGGGCTACTCAGGAACATGATGTCAGAGTCCTTATCCCAGCTCTGACTGCTCTTCCAAAGCGCGCCGTAGCTGCTGTCGCGCGCTGCGTACGGTCCAGCAGCGTTGTCTCGCCACTCTACGAAACAAGGATCTTGGTCATCAAACGTGCCTGAGCACTCAGATTCAGTGGGCGTAAACCATGCCTGTTCGGCGCGGAATTGCACAGGAACTTCGTAGTTGTCGTGTAAGTTAGAGCCCTGCAAGGAGAGGAATGATGAGCATATTGAAAAGGAATTCTGTTAATGCTGTGGGGAGGCCACTCACGACAGCAGGCAAATCGACAACGACGGGGATGTTCCAGCGCTCCAGCTCCTCGCGCGGGCCGATACCGCTCAGCATGAGAATCTGCGGCGTGTTGAATGCGCCACCGGAAACAATAACCTCGCGCCTCGCATGGACCTTCTTAGTCTCGCCTGTCTGTTCAGGGTTGTAGCGTCCGTCGGCAGAGTACAGGCCTTCGCCGACCATGTATTCGACTCCGTATGCGACAGGCTTCCTGTTGCCCAGCTTCTTGGTTAGGACTCGCGTTGCCAGAGAGTGGAAGCTAACAGTCAAGGGGTGTCCAGCATCGATGACCCGGTTGATGTAAATACCAGCGCCACTCCTAGCAGCAGTGGCAGGGTCAATTGCAACGGGCGTGTTGTACATGAGGCCATTCTCATAGCGGCGAGGGTCAGGCCCATTCACGTCGCGGAGAAGAAGCTTAGACATCTCAGAAGGGTCCTGGACATCAATGCCTTCGATCTCACGAAACATCTGGCTAAACATACTCGCCACGTTAGGAGCACCAAGCCTGAGCGCAGCGTCACTCTGATCGTTCTAGATCAACAACGCCTCATTAGTATTTTAGTAATCGTGAAGCAAGAAGAAAGTCTCTTACAACGACGTAGCCCTCGAAGCCATGACCAGAAGTACCAACCGGCACATAAGTGCAGTTCTCAACATTCTGGAGGTGTCGACGCATGTGCTCGTGACCCCAAGAGTCATCACCCGTGAGGCTGGCGATATAATCCCACTCGTTGTCGGGCGACCAGAGGAAATTCATGGCGTTAACCTGCGCACTGCCACCCAAGGTAGAACCACGAGGATAGTACAAGCCCGCACTAGATGATGCATCTTCTGTTAGTATTTGCAACACAAAGGAGAAACAGTCTTTTGCGCTCATGGTACGGCCGGGTACTTACGGCCTAGCTCCCTCGGGCGGGTCAAGCCCAACATAGTAGGATCCATTTGTCTGAATATAAGTGTACTTGGGATCGCGACGGGCTTGATCAAAGTCTTGGTAGTGGTTCACAAAGAATTGCCAAGAATGCCCTGGCGTCTCGGCAGCAGTTCTCGCCCTGAAATCCCGTTAGCATCGAAGAGACTGGCCTGGGCAACATGCTCAACTCACAGTGGGGGCAGTTGTTGAAGAATACTAGTATGGTTATCACCTCCAGCTTCAATCAAGAAGACCGAGTGTCCCTCGCTTGCCAGATTGGCGCTTGACTTAAGTTAGCAATTCTATCATTACTGAAATGATCAAGAAAAACAAGATTCAACACTCACGCAAGGGAGCCACCTCCAGGGCCAGAGCCCACGATAACGTAGTCGTAAATATCAGCTTCTCCAGCACTAGCGGTAGAGCCAGTAACTAATGCAGCCACAACAGCAAGTTTGAGGGGTTTGAGTATCATCTTGGAGATGCTTGTAATCGTTCTTTGTTAGTGAGTTCTTCGATGACTTTCAATTTCTTACTGCCAACGAGTTGACTCTTTATATACTGCTCGACGTCAGCTTTGATCAGCATTGGAGCAGTCTCCGTGATTTCTTTTCCCATCCGAACCAAGGCGCACGTCCTGGGCGCTTCCCGCTACAGCCTTCACGGCCTCACAACTTCATCGATCGGCCGCGGGATAGAAGCGACAACTGCAATTCGGAAATAGAGGCCATGGAGCTCCGCGGATATGTCCAGACTCAGCCACTGAATAAGCCTGATGTGCCAAGTCCAGCCAGCATGTGTCATGTAAGCTGATTACGCAATCTCACTCCCTGCCAAGGGAATAGGAGCTTGGAGGTGTTCGTTCTTATACCCAGACTTGGCAATTCAGTCTCGCAGCAATAAGCATGAATATTTCCTTTGTCAAACACCTATTGCATTAGAATAGAACCAGATAATATTACCAAGATAAGGCCCAAGTTCAAGTCTCGAGCAATAGAATTTGACGAGGTGTACTAGTAGCTCCCATTGTGTTGAACTGAATATTAGCATGTAGCAATTTGGCTAACATTTCCCATTAGCCGCTCTTTATGGCCACCACTCCAAACGTTGTACTAAGCTGAGATCTCCTCACAAGCTCTAGCACCTTGCTCAGGTAGTTACCCTTGACCATGTTGGCACCGATCTTGAAGAATGACACCTCATTAGAGAACGGGTACAGTTCTAGATTCCGTGCGATGTTGGTGAGTAGTATGTGTTTACTCAGTTATGTACGTCTCTCTCTTCATGCGCATTATGTTCTCCTCGCCATACCGATATATATCTCAATACAGATAATGCCTGCTTCTTCAGAATATGAAATGGTTTAAGATATATCATCAGCCACTAAGCTAAACTGCCTAAGCCCACATGTTCCACTCATGAATATATACTTGCCAGGCAGAATAAGAGTGTCGACCTTCTTCTAACTCGAAGCACCAGTCGCACAAAATGACTCAATCTCTTCTCGAAGGGCTCTTTTCACATCCTCTTTGGCCCAACACATGTCAACAGAATCCTTCTCCACTCTCGCAATCTCCTCATTCGTGAACTGAGCCTTCATTTTCAGTAATACCAAATTCTGAGTGATCCAATTGCTTTCAACATATGCCGGACTGTCACAACTGACATTGATTCCAGCATCAAAGAGTGTCCTGACATGAGCAAAGAGGTCCTCTTCCTTGTGGTGCCTCACATAAGCCCAAGGGCAAAGGGTCAGCCCAATTCCCTTTTCCCTGATCAGTGCAACCAATTCAGGCTTCTCGGCAGCATCGAGTCCGTGGTCGAGCCGGTCGGCACCCGTGCCTCCAACACACTCAGCCACCTGCCGGATGTGCTCATGCGTGTCTTTCTGTGTGACATCGCAGTGGCAAGTGAGTTTGAAGCCGTCTGCCCGCGCGCGAAGGTAAAGCGGCTCGAAGAGCGATGGTGGACGGTCATACTCGTTCGAGTCGAGGCCAATGCCTACGATCATTTCTCTGTATGGCAGTGCGGCTTCGTAGTGTTCCATTGCTGACTCGGGCGGTACGTCGCGTAGCATGCACATTGTCCATTGCGATTTAACCTTTGCTCGTCAGCTGGATGGCGACTGAAGCTCTGGAGTCCCAGGGTGACAAACATTGAGCTCCCTCTCCGCGTCGATCTGTGCCCTCTTGAACCCTTCCATGAATGTTTTAAATTCGACGCCCCGACGGGTGTGGGCCTGGGGGTCGAAGAATGGCTCACAATATCTCACATTCATCTTGGCAGCTTTCTCAAAATAATCCATAGCCAGCTCATAGAAATCCTGCTGTGTTCTCAAAACTTCCATGCCACCATAGTATGCATCGAAAAATGCAGAAACCTGATTTGCTCCTTTGATGCTCCGAGGCTGAAGGAGGTTGTACATGCCTTTCAGTTCATCCAAAGTGGTGAAAGTTTTGTTCAGTCGCTTTGAGTGGAGAGGGATGTTGTTTTGCTGCCCGAGCTTGAAGCGGAGCTCGGGCGTCAGAGTCCCTTCGATATGAACATGGAGCTCGACTTTGGGGATTCCAGTTATGAAAGCGTCGTCCAGGGAATTGACTTGTTGCTTCCCTGATGAGGTGAAGATTAGCAACCCGAAGCTTCCACAGTCGCCAAAGACTCACACTCCTGAAGCTTCTCGTAGGGAATGGGACCCATGACTTGTAGAGTCGCCTGTAGATGTGACGGTGTGGTAAAGAGGATTTGGTAGGCAGGTTGAGGAACACCTAAGAGCGTCGAGCAATTCGCCCGACTTTCAAAGACGGAGAGGGTGAAGTGTACTGGTCGGATGGGGTATATGAGTCACATCTTTTCAATACCTCCGAGTGAGCCCCTCATTTCAACAGGGAATAAGTCATAGTAAGCATGAGGCTGCTCCAGCCACACCTTATCAAACTATTATCTTAGCGATAAAAATAGAGCGGGCACGTTCACAATCATATTCACTTCTATGCTTTGTCTATATTTACTTCTAGTATCAGAATTAATCCGAGACCTCCATTTCTATAAGCTGTCAAGCCTCGTTCCGTTACCGCAAACTCAACCATCTATTCCCTCATGACCTAATTGCCAAGATAAATCCATCCTTGTTGCCATTTTCGTTCATATCTTCGCCGCACAGGCCACCAAGGATGAAATGTATGGTGAAGTAGATGTGCGCTGCCAATTTGTACAGCAGAAGCTGGTCCCCTTCCGCCGAATCACAACTTAGACATACCCCTTTCACGATATCTCCTTCAGCGTCAAAGTCATGAACATTTGCAGAGATCTCCCGAATTCTTTGCACCCAGGAAGTGCCATCCTGCTCCGTAATGGTGCTTCGAAGCTGCGGATATCCCAACGTAATTTCCAGCCAGTGCGTCGACTTAGGGCTGTATCGTCCCTAATCGCTGCCCGAAGCCAGTCAACTAGTTTTGGGAATTTAATTGTAAGAACAGTACTGTTGATGTCTAGGATTTTTCCATTAGTGTGGCGTCCTAAGAGAAGCAAGATTCTCCAAGAGTACTCACTGTCGTCAATGGCTGAGAATGCTACTAATGCAACAACAAAAGGAATCTGACTAACTCAGATAGACGTAGAAGGCTGCTCTCAGGAAGAACTAGAGCCGAAGGAGTACCCGGCTATTAGGATATCATCTGGCGTAAGAATATGGCGGAGCTGGGTATAACGACTCTCCATGCATACCTCAGCAATGTGTCGTTTTGTTAAGCCATCCTAGTAGGCGGCTTTTTGCGCAGTAGATCTTGCATCACTTGGCCATGCTCATCCAAGACTGGTCCCATTGTTGACGCCTTCGATCTACACTCAGTCCGAGGATCCTGCTGGGTGTGGCACCTTCATTGTCATCATTTGCTGTGTAGGCTGAACCATTGCTTATCATATACGACTCTGAGGACCTTGAGGCAGGCGGCCTTGGCTTCTTGCCACGGCTCGGCGGCTCTATGTCTTCCTAGCCTCTTCTCAAGTTCGTGGCTCTCCAGCTCGCGGGCCTCCTGAATCCACGAATGAAGCCTGATCTCCCGGACAAACGTTGACAGAGAAGTTTCTGCGGGGATATCGTCCCGCAGCGCTGCCCAGCGGCTCCACGCCCCGTCACTTATCAAGCGCTTGATTAGGGCGCTTGGATCTGCGAGGTCCGACTCTGCCAACCGGGCGTGGTTGAAGAGTTCCTGCGTCGCATATGAGAGGAGTGCCGGATAGTCTTTGATATTCCCACAGGTTAAAGGGACTGAAGACTGTGAATAGGATAACTCAGTTGATCCATCGACCGAGGAGCATTGTGTTATCGCGAGCCACTTCGCACTGATGCTAAAAGATTCAACAGGTTGTTCATCTGCAGATAGGTAGATGGGCCTGTGCTCCGCGTCCTCAACCCCGAAGCCTCGTAGCGGGTCCTCGATTGGATGAGCCTCCGTTTGGGCCGGCAAATGTTCCCTGCTCTGTAACTTCAAAGATTGACTCATGTCTATAGCGAGGAGCGAGTAAGGGGTATCTGGCTGCGTAGAGGGCCACGAAGAATAACTGTCTCCGGTGTCCGAATAGGTAGCAAGCAGCATACCTTCCCTTTTCCGAGTCCCGTTTTGATCGGACAACTTGTGTCCATCCACGAGGGCATCCAGCTCACTCATCTCTATATAGTCGAGGCAGCTGGACATGATGGATAGATGGCCGTTGCCAACGGAACTAGGCCCGACGCTCGGATCCAAGTTCATGAAACCGTCTCCATACAAAAAGACCTGGCGGACGGATTCGTGTATCACCTGGACGGTTCGGGTCTCTTCCTGCTCTAGATCCAAGGATCCCGCCCTAGCGTGGATGGAAACAGTATCAAAAGCGTTGCTTCCAGCTTTGGTCACTTCGAGTAAACCTTTCGATATACTTTTGATTCGGCTCTCTAATTGTTCGACGTCACAGATGAAGTAGTCCGACTTGCGCCACTCTGGCAGGGACTGCGGCCATGGTGTTCTGGTGATTGCTAATATCTGGCGCCATTCGTCGAGACAAAGAGGTTTAGTTGCGAGGGTGGCCCACTGGAACAGTCGCAGGGTCACCTGCTTCTCTGCTGGACTCAGTGACTCGAGCATCCGTGAATAAAAGGCCTGGAGAGAACGAGGGACGGCATTAACCTGCTCCAACAGGTAATGAGTGTTTTTTCCGTCGTCCCAGTTGGTCAGTACCTCGTCAACCACGAGGATAACCCAGAGAAACACCCCGTTGGCTTTATCCATGATTGCCTTTCTCAACAGCTTCCGGTTTTTCGGTCTTGCAATGCCGCCAAGCTTGAACCTACGCTCTATATAGGCGGAAATATCGAGTGCGTTGTGGGTTTCGGCAGTTATCTGTGGACAGTTGATGACCGCAATAGACGGGAAGTGTCTGCTGGAAAAACAGACGCTCAGATGTGGAGTCGAATGCGTCAGCTGTCGCCAAAAGTAGGCTTGGAGGCGCACTTTTTCCTGGTCGCACTCATCCAGGGCGTCGATGAAGATGATGATTCGACGCTGAGACTGACGACGCCTCGCTGTATTGTTCTGGAGGAAGAACCGCAGTTCATGTTCGGTCCACCTCACAGTGCTTGCCGCAGTATCCTCCATGTGGCGAAGCTTTTGCCTCCACAGTTTGGCAAAATCGAGCAGCAGATGTCTATTCTCTTGCGCAAGCTGATGTATTAAGGATCTGAAAAGGCCCTGGGGGGAATGCTCCATTTCGCTGCCTTTCGCGTTGAAGAAGAATGCGGCAGTCGAGTGGTTGAGATGAGTCTGAGCGACGATCGATCGACGGAACGCCTCTTTCATCAACACCGACTTGCCGGTCCCGGGATTCCCTTTCAGCCAGAGTAGCCCCTCGTGTTTATAGCGATTCTCGTTGTGGAACCAGTCTTGATAAGTTTTGTGTTTGAAAAGCCAGGAGCAGGATCCTTCGCTGGGATATTCAATGTTCTGCCTGTGCATGTACATGTTCGGATACCACAAACTCTGAAGGCTCAACCTCTCATCGCCGATGTTCTGATCGGCTTGGTCTCCTCTGAACTGCTCGAATTTCGAGCCGGTGCTGTAGGCTAGAGGGAGACTGGCGTTGCGTTGTATACAACCTCTTCGATGGACATTTTGCGTGTTGAGACGCTTCAGTGAGGCATAGACCGACCGAATTTCCGCAACAACTTTGCGGTAGCTGGGATCATTATTCCCAGTGAACCGGCACATCTCCTCGTGGTTCGCCTGGAGCGTCTCGGCACGCTCACGAGGGTCCCCAATCAGCGAAGAGACGTCTGGCACCACCTTATTCCCAGGAGTGCCTATTCTGATGCCCGCAAAATCCAGGCCTTCCTGAAAAGTCTTGACGCGGAAGTCGTGCTTATACCATAATCTCGAGAAGCTTTCCCTGGCGCGCTCAAGATAGCCGGTCTTCAGCCCGAGGGCATCAAGGGTAAACTCGCCGAGGGATGCAAGCTCTGGGCTTCCGCGATGTGGCGTGCCCAAGAAGACGACTGAAGCTGTAGATTCGACGACGTTGTTGAGGTCCTTTTCCGTAGATTCTGACGACCTTGCCAGCATCTACTCAAAATTCATGCGATTAGCGAAAGTCTCTTTACAGGGCCATTTGCACTGGTGGCCTACCTCTTTCACAACAATCCCACCGAGACTGTGCGCAACGAAAATCAAGGGGCGATCGACACATCGCTCTCTACAGAGAGAGTACAACAGCTCCCTGCTGTGTGAGACAAGTGAATTTCTGTTAGACTGGCCAGCCGTGTATTTCGTGATCTCCGAGTCGTAGCCAAACACGAGAACTCGAGAGTCCCGACATTCCCGAGGCAGTAGGTCGGCGGGCCAGAACACACAGGCCGGGCTACTATCGATCGTTTCAGGCGCTCTGTCGAGAGACAGATGACTCCCGGACCTCAGGGGTGCCGAGGAGGACCGCTTCGAGTATGTCCTGCTCAGCCCAGAGAACATCCGCTGCAGGGCCTCTCGCCCGCGGTCGTTGATGTCAAGCGAGGCCTCGGGCAGGAGCAGCGATGACGACTCTGAGTCTGGCACGCGTGGTTCGGCGCTGGTCCATGATCTGTACGGATGTCCGTGCAGGCCATGCACGAGGACGATGCTAGAGGGGAGACAGGCTCGCATTAATCCTCCAGTCCCAGTGACGGTGGGGGTTGCACTCACTCGGCGACTGGCGACCCATGCTCGGGCTCGTAGACCACGGATATCCCTGTGGCAGCGATGTGATATCTCATTTCTTCGGACTATGCTGCATTGTCTTAGTTCTCTCTGTTTAGTTCTTTCTGGTGGGCGGCGGCGGTCAACAAGCGGTGATGGGTAGGGTGGCAATCTATTCTACTTTGGTGCCCAACAATAAAAGTTGACATAAGCATATGTGATTGGATCTTGGTAGACAGACCCGTCCTCTGGTTGCATCCGGCCAATGGCCAATGGCTACTTGGGCACTGAGAGCAGGGATTTGCTGTTTTGTTGGATTTCATTGGAGGGGCTGGATTCTAATGCTCGTCTGACCGATTTTATATCTCTCAAAAGCGAAATATCCAGTAATCCTGCCGTGACTCTTGCGCTTATTTACGTGCGGGGAACTAAAATCAAAGAAATTCAATAAAATCGAGTTTGCCATTCCCCCACAAACATCAAAATCTTGAGAGGCTTTTCCCTCTCTTGCTATTGTGTCCCTCTTTCAATCAGTGTGCGTCTAAAACAACTGACTATTTTTGATTGAAATAAGATGAAACCCCTCTCTGCGATTGCGCACATTGGTAAAAATGGAGCCAGCTAATGTAGAATTAATAGAGCAAAATGAGTTGCACCAGCTTTGAGGCAAAGCAGGATAAATCCAGGTAGCACTTTTCTAAACTAGTTTAATAAGAAGATAGTCTAGATGTACCTTATTTGTCCTGTAAGTTCTATTGACCGAATCTCCGCCAACTTCCACCGTTCCATGGAAGACATCTACGTAAAGGAGTCTGGGTGGCTCAAGCCGCTCCCACCGCGATCTCTTTGCTTGATTCCTTTAGTTTATCCCCTAATTTGGCTAAACGCTCCTCCATCTGCTCCTTAGGCGACTTAAGCTCAATCGGTGGGAAGCGAGGATCTCCTTGAAACGGCATAAAGTCACTGCCGCCAACGAGCCAGCGCAGCACCACCCTCTCGTACTTGCTGACAATGTCTGCATACTCTGGTAGCTCTGCGAGGTTATGCATTTCGGGCAAATCCTTGTGACGATCATAGAGCTCCGCAGGCTCATATAGTCGGTAGACATAGTAATAATCCTCGTCACGAAGAGAGATTGCTTTTCCCACAAGCGTCGTATCCTCGTGCTGGAGTGCCGTCTTAATGTCGTATGGATACGGTGCTTGTTCAAGCAGGGGCTCTTCTGAGAGCAAGAAACCACCTTCAGAAAAGGCATAGTCTTTATGTTTAGTCTCACCTCCGACGAGCAACGGGACCCATGATTTGCCGTTATGCATAAATGTCTCGGGGATGCCTGAGAGCTCAAATACAGTAGGCACAAGATCGACCATTTCTGTCATTGCGCTGATCGTGTTGCCCTCTGGTAAGCCTGCGTCGCCGATGATAAGTGGCTCATGAACAATCGTCTCCCCGAGGCCTGACGGCCACTTTTCGATCATACCATGGTCACCGAGATATTCCCCATGATCTGTAAAGAACATAGTCACCGTACCCTTCCAAAGACCAAGTTTGTCTACTTTGTTTAAGATCCTGCCGAATTGATCATCGAGCCGCGTGATCATGCCGTAATATGTAACCTTGATCTCCTTCCAAATCTCATCTGTTGCACGTTCGGTCCTATAGCGATCGCGATTCGCCTTCATATATTTCGGCTCGTAGCCTGTCTTGTGCTCATGTCTGCTCACCGCCTCCTTCATCGACTTGCGGTCGTACATAGAGAAGTAGGGTTCCTCTACCTGGAAAGGGCAGTGGGGGAAGACAAGCGGCAGGAAGAGAACCCAGGGCTTGTCATCCGGTGGGCAGTCTAGCCACCGGATTGCCGATCGAACAGCAGCCTCGTCATAATCGAGGATCTTGTTTACATCGCGAAGACCCCTGTAAATAGACGCGACCAGATAGCCTCCTTGGGCTCCGTTGGAGTTCCAAACTTGCCCGCAAACCCAGGCATATAGTCGGGCGTCTCGAGAAAACCATACTCGTTGAGGCTGAGCTTAGTCTATCGGTCACGCAGCCATATGGATGACATGAAGCTGCATCGAAAATATGGTAAAATTGTGCGGCTTGCTCCACAGATTATTTCAGTCTCTAACACCGCTACCGTCGAGCACCTCTATGGAATCTCAACGAAGTTTGTCAAGTCTGAGTTCTTTAAGCTCGGAGCGTTCACGGATGAAAAGGGCGAGTATATCTCGGATCCATTCAGTACACAGGACCGCCATGTTCATTCCAGACTGAAACAGGGGGCAGCCAATGCGTATTCCTTGACTAGCCTCGTGAAAATGGAGCCACTACTCAGCCCGGTGACGGAACGACTCTTGCGGATTCTCGATCGTCACGCAGAAGCGGGGACTATGTGTGATTTTGGAGATGTACTCAAAAACTACGCTCTGGATGCAATATTTGCTATATCCTTTGGGCAAGATATGAACTATCTGGAGAAGGGTGACCATCTCCGCCTCTATCGCGTGCTCGATATTTTCACCAGTTACATGGCGATTGTAAGCGTTCTCCAAGCTGCGAAAAAAGTGTCTCCGTGCTTATAGGTGCTAACATAACAATTATTCATTAGTTTGGACAGATACCCTGGTGCCACAAGTTTCTCTTGAAGAACCCACAATTTGCTGAATGGGTCGCCGGGAACAATACTTCACAACTCCAAATGATGGATCTTGCTATCCGGGAGACCGAAGCAAGCTTTTCCAAACCCCCGTCCGAGGGTCTAGAAAACTTTGTCCAGCTTCTAGTCAACAACCGGCGGAAATCCCCTTCGACCATCTCAATTGATGAGATCCACGGCAACGCACTAGGTAATATTTCAGCCGGAAGTGACACGACGGCCACGGCACTTAGAGCAGCCATCTACTTATTGCTCAAGAACCCGAAGGCTTACCAAACCTTGTGCAAGGAAGTTCGCGAAAATCTTCAGCTACCAGTCAGTTTCAAAGAAGCAAGCAAGCTTCCTTACTTGACTGCCTACATCAAGGAAGCTCTGCGCATGCACCCTCCCGTCGGCATGCTGCTAGGCCGCCAACCACCCACAGGTGGTGAAGTGGTTGCTGGGTTTCATATCCCAGAGGGCATAGAGATTGGGATCAATCCCATTATATTACACTATGACACTGAAGTATTCTCTGACCCATACACGTTTAATCCGGCACGTTGGCTCAAGACCCAGTCTAACCAAGAGCATCTGAAGCAAATGAACCGATGCTTGATCGCCTTTGGTCATGACCGTCACATTTGCTCTGGTCAACACATTAGCACGGTTGAGATGACCAATTTGATTGCCACATTGTTCATCAGATATGACCTCAAGCTAGCTAATGGTGGGAGGAACTACAGTTTCAAAAATTTGTGGTTCATGACTCAGTCAGGTCTTGAGGTTATTTTCTCAATGAGGTGAAATTGTAAATTCGAAGATTTATAATCAGACAGAATCGTGCTCTTTGACTCGAATTATACGTAATGCATGGCCCCTTGCCCCTCGAGAGAAGTCTTTTCCTCCTCAAAACTCGGTATACTGTGAGTAGGTCCGACTTAGACATCAGCAAGGGCAGCCTTTTCGCGATTGGTGACATTTGAACTCTCGCAGCTGTGTCCCCTCCAGTTTCTCATTGGCAGACCAATCCGGTACATTTCGTCAATCTCCGCCACAGTCCGGCCCATGGTCTCGGGCAGGTAGAAATATGCCCAGATGGTGGTGACGAGGACACAGCCCGCAAAGACGTACGCCGTCTTGACACCGAGGTTGGCCGCATCGGCACTCATAATCTGCGGCACAGCAAAGGTGGTGATGACTGCGGTGGTGTATGACCAGAAGATTGACCATGCCATCGTCGGCTCGCGCAGGGCGGGCGAAGCAATCTCGGTGGGTAGAACAAAGCACCTGTCCATGGTCAGCGTGGGGGGATTCTACATTTGTTTCCAGTTGGCCCGACTTACAGCGACTGGAAAGAAACGGCATTGAAGAAGCCGAACAAGATGAAGACCGCGGCCAATGCCAGCTTTTGCGTCTCGCTCGTCAGGCCCGCGGCACCCAAGCTGCCGGCCGCGAGATTCAGGAGCAGGAGGATCGTGAAGCCGACCAGCGCCACCGGTCTGCGGCCGGCCTTGTCCACGAGGAACGGGCCGATCACTGTGCCGAGGAACTGTAGACTGGAAATGATGACTGTGATCTCAAAGGGGTTCCCAACCCCGCTCGCGACGAGTATGACGGTTGCGTATGTCAAGATTAGGATCTGACCGCCAACCTGGGAGGCGGACAGGATCGCGCCGGCGCTCAGGGTGCGCTGCAGGTTCTCCCGGTCTAGGATATGCCAGAAGTTTGAAGCCTGCGTGCGCTCGTCGGCGGCCTGGTACATGGTAATTTCGGCATCGACCATGTCGGCTTGGTTGTTGCGAAGGGTCAGCAGCGTGCGCCGCGCGGAGTCTAGCCTGCCGTGCTGGATGTCCCAGACCGGAGACTCTGGGATTAGAAAGGTGAGGAGACACAGCCCTACTGGCACGGCCGCCTGTATGGCCAGGGGTATCATGTATTGACGCTCGTCCTTAATCTTCTCGGTGCCCCAGACGACCGTGGTCGCGAGGACGCCGACGGCTGCAACACCTGCGAAGCAGAGACCAATGGCCCTGCCGCGAAAGTCCGCGGGGACAAACTCAGCTAGGTAGAGAGGGGCAGTGGTTGTCAAGATACTAATACCGACATCTAAGTCAAACGATTAGTCAAGGTATCTTGATGGACTTTTTCACCAGGGGTTGTTTGCGCACAGTTCCAGAAACGACCGATGACCAAGGCGGCCATATTTGGCGCAAAAAGCTGCAGAAATGAGCCGGGTGTGCATAGAAGGCTATAAGCAGCTATCATGGTCTTCTTGCGGCCCAGGCGCCGCATTCCCGCGGGCGCGATGAAGGTTCCTATCGCTGCGCCGACAAGGGGCACAGGGGTGAGAAGGTTCAGATTCCGGGCCTGCCTCGGGAGCATGTCAGAGAGCTGCAAGTCGACACTGCGACGAAGTTGAACGACTTCTTACGGTAAAGGTGAGCCCGGGGCCCTGATATTTTTGGATGAAGAGGGGCAGCTGAACCAGTGGAGCGGCAAAGTTATTATCGTAGCCATAAAGCCCCATGGACAAGCCGATGATGACCACTGGAGAGAGGACGATTAGCGTCTTTCCATCTGTCTGCCTTATGACGGAAGCTGAGACTCACTATAGCAGAACGCTGACCAGTTTAGCCATGATTTGGTATTGTGGATATCATGTTCTGGCTCAGAAACATGTTCCACCCGGGCTTCGGAAGCCGATGGAGACTTTGCAAGAGACATGGCCAATAACTTTGGAGTGAGTAGTTGAAAGGAAGTTGGAAGAAGCGCCTTGCAGGTTTCGTTGCAAGACTGACGAAGAATGAAACCCTGGGATCCTGGGGAACCTGGCTCTGGTTATATTTCCTCCACAATCCCCAGGTTTTCATGCAGCTGGCACGCAGCTTTGCTGTAAAACAATTTGAGTTCTTCGTTGCCCCTCAGCAATACGTGTATGTGGTTAGGTTACCCAAGGGTTGCCCCAGGGCTAGGCAACTTGGGGAAAACCCAAAGTGGTAAGGTAAAGTCAGTCCTAGATCATGGATCACGGGACGCATGGCATGACCAGATGAGAAAAGCCCCATTGGGAAATACACCGGTTTTAGTATTTCGACGTGAGTCAGTACGAACCCACCACTTCTGCCGCCAACGGAGAGTCGACCACGCTCAAAAGAAACAGTGCCTGTTGATTCCAGCTCAGCATCAGCACCTCTGCAGTAAAGTTGAAAGCTAGATAGTGTGTAGTTTCATGTTTTGTTTCTCATTCACAAAATGACTGATATTGATGGTTCGCACGTGGACGCGGCAACGCTCCAAGCCATTGCCATGGCTCTAGGGATGGATCCAAACGCAAAGCTCGCACAGCAGAAGCCTGACAAGAACTTCCTGCAGGTACATATTACAAGCTGATCACCACACACTGAATATGCACTAATGAGAAAGAATAATTCTAGGAGATTGCGAGATTGCCCGTCAACTTTGCCGGCATGCCCTCGGGCACAGACGTCGACGGAATGCGCGAATGGGTCAATAATGTCATGGTAAAAGGGCCCCTGGCCGAGTACAGAGCCAAGCTTGACATCAAACTGCGCCGACCCCCTCAAGAAGTGGGAAAGAACATCATCACCGTCAACGCTACGGACGGTGACGGCGAGTATGGGATCTGGGTGTACGAACCCACAGCCGCAGGAGCTCGACGTCCAGCTATATTGATGCTTCACGGCGGAGGTTGGATCCATGGCAACCCTGCCGGCGACGAAGGTGAGCACTATCTTCTCTATCCAAGTATGGGACACGCAAGCTAAGACTGCCAAGCACTTGCCCAGGTGTTCGCGTCTGAGCTGGACGCTGTCGTCTTCGGCATCGACTATAGGCTCGCACCAGAGCACCCATTTCCAAAGCCACTCGACGATTGCACTGATGCTTTGCAATGGGTATGTCACTTCCCTCTGCAGGTGCTATTGATGAACCCCTGGCTGAATGATTCGACAAGGTAATTGACAATGCACCGACTTACAACATCGACATCAACCGGATTGGCGTTTGGGGTGCTTCTGCCGGAGGGAACCTCGCTGCCGCCCTCGCCTTGCGCTGCGCAAAGGAGGCACCCACCTCACAGAAGCCGGCGTTGGCCCTGGTCAGCCTGGTTGTCCCCGTCACGGCGCACCCGGAAGCTGAAGCCAAGTTCAACCAGCAGAGGTCTCTCCCGGCCAGCGAGAGTGAGCAGCAGCTTGCGGACGCGACCCCAGTCCCAGAAGCACTCGTTCAAGAGTTCGAGAAGCTATATAGTATGCCCCCCTGCTCGTAAATGATACCAGTCTCCCGGTTGTTTTACTCATACATCCCGTAGACTTCTTCACCGGCGGTGTTTGCGACCCGCTTGACCCTTCGGTGTCTCCCCTGGCTACCGGACCTGTCCCACACCACCCTCGAACCTCTATCACCGTGGCGGCCTGTGACGGTCTGAGGGCTCAGGGCCAGGCCTATGCAACTCTGCTGCGATCATTTGGTGTAGAGGTGAGCGAGCAGGTCCTGCCGGGCGTTCCGCACGGGTTTACCATGCCGGTCAATGCCACCGTGACAAAGCTCTGGCATGAAAAACAAGTGGAAGAGTTTGCCCAAGCATTTGGGCTCTAGTTCTCGCCAGCTGACGGCATGTAATTGTGAACAGCCGAATTTCCTCTACAGGGCATGTGTTACTATGTCATTTAACTAAAGTGTCATTGATAGTTAGTCTGCTTAGCTAAAAGACTTGTCTCGATTTATATTCCTTTTTTCTGTCTCCTTAAAATTCTAAGTGACTGTAATCTGAAAGCATAAGACTCGAGGCCTCGAAAGGCCCATCTTGATGAAAATCGCTTAAAACAAGGGGCTGGATGGCGGGGAACTGTCGAAGCGCCTGCTCCGTCTTGGGACTGCTTGGTGCATCCTGAAAAGACGAGCGTGCCATCATGCTGCAGCGAAGTTCCCGGTCTTGAGGCGTCTCCATCATAGGCGGCACGTCATAAGCAACCGAGAGGACCAGGTCCGCGAGAGTGAGCGCAAATTTCCCTTCATAGTCTTCCTTCATCACCGCGCCGGTTAGCCCGCGGAGGGAGTCTTGGTGACCGCCGCCTGGCAGCCTGAAGATGTTGATGGCCAGCTCGGCGAGTTTCCCTAAGCCCACGATCCTCAGCTCGCCCTGCTTGAGGACGCATATCCATGACATGGCTATGACCCCCAGAGACTCCATCATTGACGCGGGTGGCTTTTCTCGGCCGGCGCGCTCTTGGTAGCTGGCGATGATCTTGCACGAGAGCTGCCACTGCCGGGTGACCATGACGTCGGCCGACTGGATCCGCGAATAGCGATGCTGCCCGAGGCTGGATAAGACGGCGTCGGATCCGAGATTCACCTTGCTTATATCGTCGGCGTTACTTGCTAAATGTATGCGCGTCAGACAATGCAGTAGCTGGCTGGCAACCTTGCCCAGTCTGTCACCAGTTTCGGCTCCGCCCACTCGAGCCGGGACGATATCTGAGCAGGTCAGTCGCTTCCTTGCCTGCAGCATCTTCTCCTTGCTTCCGTATATCGCCAGGGTGGCAGACTCGGTGTTGTGAAGAACCTGCTCGACCCGCAACTTCCTCTGCTGTTCTTCGTATCCAGATGGCTCGACATGGTCAAAGAGGATTTGCGCCTCGTTCAGATGCAAAAAGGCTCGGCCATGCTTTGCCAGCACGCTGTTGGCGGTGAACAATGCCAGAGAGCAGAAGACGGCATCCAAGGTCGCCGGGTCGGCAAAGTCGTACGCTTGTCGGGATGACTCGACTTCAGCTATATGCTGAACGAGTCCGTCTCTGTTCTGATGGTCCATGCGGTAGCGCGCGGCCGAGTTGACTAGTCGGATCGAGTAGAGCAGCGTCCGCAGGTCTGACACAGTCTCCCAGTTGGGCTCGATGACCAGACGCGAGGCAAGCTCAGCGTAGGATACGATGGGGAAGATCAGATACGTCGTGTCGAAGAACTCGTCGATTGATTCCCAGATGTCGGCTGTTTGGTGAGTCGCAGTTTCCTCAGATGGTCTGCTATCCAAGGGGTAGATCTGGCTCGAGGCCAGCTCGACACCATCCAGCATTGTGTCGCCGCCAGCAAAATCTGGCGTCGCGATATCATAGTGGGTTCCATCTAACGCGGATGATGGGGTGTGCTCTCCCCCTTCATATTGGCCGGAGATCCGTGACGGTGCTACATCATCTCCAATATATGGAGAGACCCTGCAAGTACTGGACAGCGACCTCGACGTGGCTGGGAGGGTGCTGCTAGAACCGAAAAGTTGCTCTGAAAAGGTATCCCGTGCTCTACGGACCTCCCTAGGGCGGGCTTCAGCACGTCGGGTTAGTGAGAAGGGGATACAGTGACACCCACGCTTTTCTAGGCCGGCCGCGCCTGGCGGGAAGGTCGGTGCGGGTGCATCTCGACTTTGCGAGCCAGCACTGTTCACAGGGGGTCGAGCTTTGAGGAGAGGGGCAAGATGGGGCTTGGCGAGCCTGGCACTGGACAAGGAAGATCAGAAAACAGCGCATACTCGCTTGGACTACCGGAGTTCACCTTGATTTTAAGTCTGCGGCATGAATCGCAAGCCCGCACACTGGTGCTGTCATGAGGGCGCACTGCGGCATTGGAGAGGGAGAATGTGGTAAACATGGGCCCCGTTGACAGCACGTGCTGCTGAAAGCTACATGCAGTACTGGTGGCTCTTCTCACGGCACGACTCTGCGTGAGGTTTCTGGAGGCACGACACAGGTGATTATTGTGAAAAAGGATGGTTCCTCAGTTGGCGCGTGGACTGCCCCCTCATCGTTTTCGCCTCCTCATGTGGAACTGGCGCCATCTGACAAAGACGAACTACTGTTGTACTAGCACTTCTCATAGACATGCTTTTTTCCGACTAGCCATATCTCATCACATGACTGTTATTGTATCCGTCGATCAAATCGATGGTCAAAGGGATGGCCGGGGTCAATTCCTACTACCCATGGTACCACATCAATTATTCCGCACCCCGTCAGAGAGACTTTGGATACAAACCTTTACCCTCTATTATTAAAGAGAACGGACTCATACTGTCAATTCTAATATGCCCTGTTAAGTTAGCCCGCATACTCCTGGATAAAGATGGCCTGGTGGAGTTAATCCCTTATTTCCAGCCTTGCAGCCTGTGTGCGGGGACGAAATGAAAATGACTTTCCCCATGGGGAATTCTCGATTTGGAATATTCCCCAGGCCATGACACTTGCGAGTTGGTGCCAGGGTCTGCCCCAGCACCAGTAGACCAGCACCACTGAATTGATGCTGGCAAACCCATAATAAGATCCTCTCTCAAGAGGCCAGACCGCCGGACGGATGCGTTGCTTCTTGACATTGCCATCTTGGACTATATTCGCGGAATGGCTTCATCCGGGAAGCCAGCCTACACTGGGCGAAGACGAACCGTTTCCCATCCTGAGCTTGGACAACTGACCGGGCGAGTAGTTGAGCCGGTGGAATTTCCAGGCTTCTCGGTCGTGCAGTTCCGTTCAGTTCCTTACGCCACGATCCCCAAGCGCTTCTCGCCGTCGATTCCACTGAAAGATATACCATCTAGCTTCGACGGCAGACCGACTCGAGACTTCACCAATTACGGCGCCGCATGTCCCCAGATTGGCGGCGCACATCCGTCCTGGTGCGATCCGTACGGCGGTCCCTTGCAAGATGATCTGAATCTCGAGTTTGACGAGTTCACCTGCCTCACCGTGTCCATCTCCGTACCCGAGTCGCAGCTGGTGTCGGCCACGGACAGAGGCCCGGCCCCGAAGCTGCCGATCATGGTCTATATCCACGGTGGCGGCATGTCCGAAGGCATTGGCCATGTCGACGGCCTGCACTCAAATGCACCCATCACGTCCTATGCGGCATCCATCTCGCAGCCCGTCGTTGCCGTCAACATCGGCTATCGTCTTGGCTGGTTTGGCAGCCTCGTTTGCGAGGACGTGCTGGACGAGTTTACCGCCAACCCTACGAGTCCCTACGGACCGTTCAACCTGGCCATGCAGGATCAGCGAAATGCATTCGCATGGATTCGCACATTCATTGATGGATTCGGCGGCGACCCCTTGAACATCACTGCTTTTGCCGAGTCCGCCGGCAGCGTATTCCTCACCTACCACATATGCGGCTCTTCGACCCGCCTGTTCGACCGGGCTATATTGCAGTCTGGCCTCATCTTTGGCAACGTTGCATTCGAGGTCAAGGAAGCCGAGTACCAGGCCATGCTAAAGCACCTCGGTATTGACAAGGAGACTGCGCCGGAGAGGTTGGATGCTCTGCGGCAGATCGACGCGCAGACCCTACTCATGCTCCCCGGCTGCCACATGACGCCTTATGTTGGCCCTGTTCCCGGCGTCAGCACCGAGGCATCTCTCTTCTCCAGAGGTACGCCTACTGTTTTAGACCAGATGGACCTCATCGCAACCTGCGACTGGTTGGGCGATATCATTATCGGCGATGACTTCTGGGAGGGCCAGCTGTTCTTCCCTCTGTTGCAGGCCTGCGACCAAGTCGAATTTGCAGAGACGGTCCGGTCACTCTTCCCCGCGTCAGAAGCACAGGCACTGCTGGCCGCGTACGAGCTACCGGCGAAAGATCGGCACCGCGGCGCAGTGCAAGTCTCGCTTCTCCTAGGCGACCTCATGTTCTCCGTCCCGTGCCACGAGCTTGGCAAACGCCTGGCAAATCAAGCCCAGGGGAAGAAACGGAACGTCTATCGATACTCGTTCTGCCTCTCCAACCCTTTCCCCGGTAGCATCTGCGGTCTTGTCCCCGGTCACCACTTTGTCGAGATTCTGTTTCTCTTCTTGACGTTGCAGGACCGGTACCCAACTCACCGCGACGGATGGACAGCCCGCCAGGCCCGAGAGACGGCACGTCGGTGGATAACCTTTGCGAATGGCCGTGTCCCGTGGGATCCCTGCTTCACCGATGAGATAACTGAGGAGGGCGAGGCCAAGATTGCCATCTGCGATGACCTCTCGGGGTGGTCGGTGCGTACAGTCAAAGAGGACGAGGAGTTGAGCAAGAAGGACCCCTGGGGTGAAAGGAGATATGCCGCGTGGAGAGAAATCTCCCACGCTTTGGACTCGTTGAGAAACGGAGCTGGTGACGCTGCTGACCGAAACCACAGACTCACCATGACGAGGCTGCGTTTACTGCAATTCGCGTATGGCAGTGATGGGCTGCTGAAAGTGTCCGGATTATAGCTATACTCACCAATATGCATCTTGGTTGTATTATCTATCTCGTTTAGGTTTTCCTATAGCTAATAGCTCTATTTATGAGTACTTGTTATAGTGAGTGATAATCATGGAGAGCGTATTTATATACGGCATAAGATCAGTGACTACGCTACACAGGCTCTTGGATAAGGTATATTCGGAAAGCGGTAGAGGACCGGTGTCAGATATATTTCCTTTCGTTCCTCAGTGCACGCACTCCAGGCACATAAGGCGTATATAACTTCTAGTCTACCGCCTTAATTCCAAACCAAAACCGCCTTAATACACCGTCCACTCTGAAGATCCTCCTTGGCTTGAGCCAAATCTTTGAATGAATACTTCTTGACTAATTTATCGACCGGCAATTGGCCGTCTTTCCACGGTTGAATAAGACGAGGAATAAACTGCTATAGTTGTTAGCTTATTTTGATAGTGGAAATGACAAAGAACGAAAACAAGGGTAGGATGACGTGCCTCCTGAGGAACCGAATCGCCTTGGTGAGTTCCGACATAGCTGATACCCTGCGCGATACACAAGGCTGGCGTGATCTGAACCTGCTTGTCTACAGACGGAGCGCCGACGGTGGCGGCAATTCCACGTGGGGGAACACAGTTCAACAGCGAGTCTTGGATTATGGTGATGTTACCCGTCGTATCCATTGCACGATCTGCACCAAGTCCTCCGGTCAATGCTTTGATCTCCGCGACGGTGTCGGCCACTCCTCTTCCGTTGATAAGATGGGTAGCACCAAATTGCTTGGCGAGTTTGAGCTTAGAGTCGACAATATCAACAACGATGACCTTTTCAGCATGGGTGGTACGTGCTGCCATGACAGCGGCCATCCCCACTGCTCCTGCACCGTAGATAACAACCGAGTGGCCTTTCTCAGGCTTGAGCACGTTGAGCATAGCTCCAGCTCCAGTTTGGATTCCGCAGCCTAAAGGAGCAAGCAGTTCCATGGGAAGGTCATGGGGAACAACGACTGCAGAACTGGCCGTTACGATAGCTTTTTGGGCAAAGGTGGACTGCCCGAAGAAGAACGATGAAACTGGCGCAGCTGAACCATCCTCGCCTCTTGGCAGGACCGTAGAGAGATATGGGCGACTGGCGTCTTCTCGAACTCCTGTGAAGTTGTTCGTCCATAGATTTTGACAATAAGGCACAAGGCCACTATTGCAGGTCGTGCAGCTTCCACAGGCACTATACGTTAACAGCACGTGGTCGCCTGGCTTGACATGTTTCACTGCAACGCCAACCCCTTCCACCACGCCAGCTCCTTCATGGCCACCAACGAATGGGAAAGCCATAGGGAAGAGACCCTAGAGGCATCAATGTCAGTTGTGTCAAATGTATAGTGTATCAAACATTCTCGGGCTACTCACATTGCAAGCGGAGAAATCAGTCTGGCAAATACCAGTAGCGACTAATCGTACAACAATCTCATCACTACGCAGATCATCGCTGATAATTACCTGCTGTAGTTCGTAGTCTGAGCCCTTTGAGGGGCAGACATACATTGAGACAGTTTCAGGCATTGCTTCCCGGTTAAAAAATGTGGTGTAGGACAAGAGAAGGCTAAGAGATTTTCGTGATAGGAAGAGCCAGCAACTGAAGACCTGGGATATTTATCAAGAGGCGGGAGAAAATTCCTATCAATCCATTGATGAGATATACGGAGAACTTAGACTAGGTACTCGGTTCCACAACACGAGCCACCCCATTAGCAACACTTGATGTAAGCGTCGGCCGAGTAGTAAAATTTGCGGGACATGCCGACTGTCGGGGAGAGTGCTTATGTTTGAGCGGGCACAATGTAACGCCCGAAAGCCGGACCGCGCGGGGCGGTAGGCACAAAGATGGATATAATAGCAATTTGATCATAGCCTGAAGTCCATTGAGCCATTTGTTTTTCTGGGCCCCTTTATGGTTCTTTGGAAGCATTTGCGCGATGGAAAGAGATGTACCTCGAGCGATGCTAGCTAGAGGTGCCTCGCTGTGACCGTGGACGCGAAGAATCTAAGCTGGACAAGGGCCGCGAGCGGAATAATAGTGAAAACTCCCAAAATAAACAAGCGACGGAGAAGGTGAAGCTGTAACTGGGACACGAGATGAGCTGCTTCGCTCCTGTGAAGGTTCATAATGTTGATCACACAGGGGTCTTGGGCTTAGATGGGGAGATTGGGTTGGGTGCAGCCAAAACTTTCGTACATATAATTCATCCACTTTAAGCATGAAGAGCGTAAAATCATAGCAACTTGATGTTTTATCCCATCAGCATGAAGCCTAATCTAGTGCCACCCTGGCGAGCTTTTTATTAACAAATTCGTTGAAGCCAATGTAGTACAGCTCCCTGCCAAAACCAGAGTTCTTAACTCCGCCAAAGGGAATATCTGGACCCGAGTAAGCCGATCCGTTGATGAATACCATGCCTACATCCATCTTCTCCGCGATCACCTTCGCATGGGGGATGTCTGAAGTCATTATGCATGCTCCTAACCCAAAGCTAGTAGCGTTGGCAAGTTCGATGGCATCAGCCTCGTTTTCCACTACGTACACACTCAAAATCGGCCCAAATGTCTCTTCTTGGAAAATGGGGTTGTTCGGCGCAATATCTGTAAGAACCGTGGGCTCCATGTACCAGCCAGGTCGGTCGATTTGGCCTCCGCCATATGCCACCTTTGCACCAGCGGCTCTTGCCGACACCACCTGTGCAAGCAAACCTTGCAGAGCTCTCTCGGAGGAGATTGGTCCGAGGGTAGTCGATGGATCGCTTGGATCACCTGGTTTGAGTGAAGCAAACGCTCTTACTACAGCCTCAGTGGCATGACGACCTCTCTCCGCGCCAATGACAATAAGTCTCTTGACGGCGGCACATCCTTGGCCCGTGTTGAACATTTGAGAGTTTACAGCGGTAGCGACAGTTTGATCCAGGGGGGCATCGGGAAGAATAATGAGCGCATCGGAACCTCCCAGCTCAAGCACGGCTTTCTTGACATTGCGCCCAGCGCGCTCAGCGACGGCGGCACCGGCTCGAGTGCTGCCTGTAAATGTGACTCCACGGACCCTAAAGTCGTCCAAGAGACCTCCCAACTGTGCGACATTGGCGAATATATTTGTGTAGACACCTTCTGGAACCCCAGCGTCGGCAAATAGTTGCGCAAACTTGAGGGAACACTCTGGAACACTGGGAGCAGGCTTCGCAATCAAGACATTTCCAGCCAGGAGCTGCGGAGCAGCGACACGGGCCAGTTGAAGATATGGAAAGTTCCAAGGCTCGATGGCAAGGATGACGCCGACAGGCTCTGACCATATTTCGCACCCTGGGTTGGAGACAATAACCTCTGGCTGAAGGAGCCTTTCCGCCTCGGCTGCAAAATATTCGAACATTTCGACGCACCAACCGACCTCGAGCTTCAGCTCAAAAATAAGTTTGCCAAGTTCTCTAGCAGCACACTTGGCGAGCTCATCAGTCCTCTCTCGCATGAGAGCGGCGACTCTGGCCATCAGACGGCCTCGTTCGGCAATTGGCAAAGGACGCCAGACATTCTTGTACGTGTCATTTGCCTTTTGGAGAGCAGCATCGACCTCAGCGTCAGATAACTCGGCAAAAGTTTGAATATGTTCGGCGGTCGCTGGATTGTAACTCTGAAACTCGCTTTTAGTGGCCATGGTGGTATTGCAATGGAATATCGGACGTTTTGTTCTTGGTGGTAGAAATGAATGGCAAGCCAGTAGGTATAAATCGCGGCTATCTTTCCGCCGTGCAGCAGTAGGCCTCTTCCTTGATATATGTTTATTTCCTTACCAAAGGATGAAAGTGACCACCCGTCTTACTAATCCTGCTGGGTTTCGACAGGTTGGATACATTATCCAACGCCGATGCGCGAAATGCGGCCGTGACCGAAAATCCGTACATCTGTCGCCGAGACGTTGACCTGTGACTATGAGAACACACTAAGTGGAGGTAAGCCATTACTTAATTGCTTACACATTGAGAGTATTTCGATCAAATGCATGCTTAACCTTATATGGAAGCTTCTACGCAGAAGCTGAGCTAGGTACCTACTACGCATGCCTGCAGGCCCCGTTTCCATCGTGTTGGGAAGTTGGGCATAAACGCCCTTCAAGGGCCCGTTTGGTATCTACGTCTCCTTCAATCTCTTGGTTGAGCTAAGTCATTCAGATGGCGGTGTGATGGCTGATTCCCTACCAATGACAGCCATTACGATCAAGCAAAGCAAGGCACTGCCCACAGAAAATGACCATCACTCTGTCATGCTTAATTTCGGCAGCCAACACTCAAACTTCACATTGGGAGCGCAGTCCTGGTATAAGGTAAGCGCAAGTCGAAGTGACGAGGAAATACCGAGTGGACCGGAAGATGACTCAAGCTTACTTAAAGCTGGAAATCAGATTGGCAGGCAATCCCTCGAAATTTTCCACGGTTAAGTGATAACTAACTAGATGATAATCCCCGTCGGCTCGTTTACATCCCGAGACCGACGCTACCCCCCATCTCACCGATGCATGCGGACCTCCACTCCGGTTTCTCATGTACTTCCAGGGTGCCGAGATGAGGGGGCCTCGTGATATTGCCAAGATGCGCACACAATTTGGAAAATAGTGAGGGTAATACTGGGCCGACATTAAAACGATCCTCGGCCCCGAGTAGAGTCAGCCGAGTCCGTCAAAACATGCACATATCTGCCCTCCGTCAAACAAGTCTGAGCACCAGTTTTCTGAACCCACTCCACCAACGCCTACCATGCCAGCGTTAGATCGCTTCTTAGATCTACGTCGAGATCCGGCCTCGGCTGCGGATGCCGGTCCTAGCATCAGCTTGGCCCCTAGAGCGGTCCGGTCTTGGCAGCCATGTAACCGCCGTAAAGTTCGCTGCGATAGGAGAGAGCCATGCTCCGCTTGCCAAAAGACCAGAATAAGGTGCATCTACCTACCGATAGGCATCCAACCTCCACGCGGCATCAAGAGAGGGCTGAAGGCCGGTATGGTTGCAAGGATTGCTGAACTGGAGAAGGCATTGAGCACTGTGGCTACTACGAGGAAGGATGACCTCCTTAACTGTCTCATACCTCGATCAACCGCAAAGTGCCCGGCCAGCAGATCATCAAGCCCAGCTAACATTAAGTCACCTGCCCCATGAACGGCAGGACGCATCTGGGGACCATATTCACCAAGCTGACATCCTGCTCCAAGAAGTTGCGGCAAGTCGTTACTTTAGTGATGATGTTTTATCAAGAGTCGTCAATGAAGAGCGAAATCATTCGCGCACTGCATTGACAGTATCGCCTGTCAAGACAAGCCCTCTGTCTATGAAGAGCTCTTCGCCCTTCAACCCTCTAGGCGTACTGTCCGTGCCCGGCATGCTTCATCCCCCATATGGTCTTCATCCGGCCAAGAGTGTAGCAGCTTTCCTATGGAGACAATATGTCGAAGTTGTGGAGGAATGTGCAAGCTGCAAGATACTTCATGTTCCCGCGGATGAGATCATCGTGTTCAGCACCATCGAAGATCCTTCTTCGGCTTCAGCCGAGAACCTTGCACTATGCTTCGCTATATACTTCGCTTCGTGCGCTTCTCTAGAAACTTGAGAAGTGGAAACAGTATTACATCAAGATGGCGTCCAAGGCGCACAAGCCCTGAAACACGGCTTTGAGCAGGCGTTGGCCCACTCGAATTTCTTAGACATGCCCTCAGATACAAATATCAAAGCCCTGACCATCTACATTGGTGCATTGAATATTCAGCATCGAGGGAAGGGGACTTGGATTGTCAACGGTCTCACCATGCGTGCCGCCCGCTCGCTCGGGTTTCATGTCGATGGCGGGCGTCTGGGGATGCCACCTTTCCGTGCTGAAATTCGGCGTAGGATATGGTGGAGCCTCAATGTCTTTGAGAGACGCGCCCATGAAGACTACGGTTTGCCAGGCGCAAGTGATAGCGTCCAGTCTCCTTCTGTTAACCTACCACTAAATGTTAATGACGAAGACCTGTACCCAGATATGGATAGCCTGCCACAGCCACGTGAGGGGTGGACGAGCATGACACCCACGCTCATCAATATCGAAGCTTTCACCGCTATCCGAGAGTGTACTGCCCACTCATCGGCAGAAAGCTATCAGGAAGATGTCCGGCTACAGATCATGGCGCGTGGCAGAGACGTTGTCAACAAATACATCCACCACGCCAAACTCGTCGTGCCCCGTCAGCGCCACATGATACTCGTCTCACGGTTTGTGCTGCGAAAGCTGGACTTCGATTCACGGTTGAAATGGCAGATTCGAAGATCTGGGACATTACCCGACCAATTTATAACGGAGGAGAATATGGCCGAGGCACTTGAAGTCATGGATCTCGTTCGTTCCCTACATACCGATGAATTGCTAAAGAAGTACGCCGTTTTGTCCAGGGCCTATACTCAGTATAACATCAAGCTCTATATACTATATCATCTTTTCATTAGGCCGCTTAGCCCAAATGCTGAGCGCGCTTGGAAAAGCATCGACGATCAGGTGGCTCCTTGGAATGGTTTTGATGCGGAGATCGTGGGCCCCAAAGCTGAATTTCTTCAAACACTGGCCACTAGGGCTAAAGAATTTAGGGTTAGAGCTTTAACAGAGCAGGCGACGAGTTTGGGAAACAAAGAGGCTATGACTATCAATGGGCATTGTGAACTTGCGAACGGTCATCTAGGTGACGTGGGCGCAGACGACAGTTGGCTGGGGCACCTTAATTTATCATCGATCATTCAGGGGGGGTTCCTCCATGACGCTATATTACAACAGCTGGACTGAACAGCTCTTAGTAGTAATCAACAGGCTAGTGCTTTAGAGACTTTGTAGTGGTATAAGGTGGTTATTCACATAACGAATGGCTTGGGACGATCAAAATCTAGACTTTTGTCCATTTAGTCGATATTGCTATCGCCTTGTTGTACTGACTTATTGCTTACTTGTGCATTGGGTGACATACACCGCCTTAGTAAACCAACTTTATTTATGTCTGCCCAATTTACACTTGTAATCTGTTTCAAGGCATAGATCCTGACTGACTTAATTTTTTCTCACATAGTGTAGGTGGGATAATGCTGACCGGCCGCAGACTCCTCTCTTTCCATTCTACCGATGGCTAATATTCATATTGCTTATAGTGGAGGCTTTTGAGATGTCTAGTTTCAAGTATGTCCGCTCTATATCCCGCTCTCATGCCCGCTTGACAAGGTGTGTTTTCCGCTGGTCCATCTCGGCTGGGCTGTGGATTCAGTAATGCTAGCTTTAATGCAGAGCTGGCTAGATGTCTCCTCTCGCTGCCTACTATTACATGATGTGGATCAAGTTAAACCCATGGCTAAACGCGAATCTATGGGCCACTTGGAACTTTGTACTAGTGGATGCTAAGAACTTGGTATATATAAACGTGGGAGCGGACTCGGGAGCGGACTTGTGAGCGGACGCAAGCGGGGGTCATTTTAAACTATGTTTGTGCTGTGGAGCTAGCATCAGAATGGGTCTAATGTCGGGGTCGGGAAAATAGCTTACCCCTCTCTACAAACCCCTCTCTACCCTAGAGCTCGGACTCCATACCCTTTCTAAATTATTACCAAGACATTTAATTACTTTTGGTCTACCTTATAGCCTGGGAGTATACTATTTATTGTAAATAATATAAGCCTTAAGCTATATTAACTTTAGGTGTTGATTTTATATAAGAGATCCCATTTTCTGGCTAAAAGTCTCAGTACCAAAACCAAATGTTCGAAGAGATCGCTGGTACAAGCTTTTTTTTTGTACTTCTATATACACTCCTAGTGGCGTATCGTTCGAGCTCTATTCCTAGATCCCATAGTTGGGGTCGATCCGAGCATATATACAGTTATTCTTCACTGTACCTCCCTGCTTATCGCCCTGTTCAGAGCAGTTGCAACTGTCCATGGGCACTTTAAAGTATCGCATACACTCGGTATGCGAGAATGTCCACTTGCAGCCTTCAAACACTTCAAACGCGATGATAAAGTGGTAGTTCCCGGGAGGTGTCTTCTTTGCTTCCTTGTAAAAGTCGGAGAAAACGGGACCCTTCTGTCATCGCCAAGGTTCCGGCAGAATGACTCCGCGGCAGCCTCGATCTTTCCATACGAGGATGTTTGACCCGAGTTGTAGCACATCTTCTCGTTCTTGGATGGGTCTGGTGTGTCGAGGTTGACGTCTGGGTTGGCAAAGCCGTTCACCCACGCGGCAATGGATCCTTGCTCGGGGTCGATGGCCACATAGTCCGCACGGCCGCTTGTCGTCAGCTTGGCGTACTTGATGTTGGCACCGATGTGCCGTAACCCTCTGCGACCTCACCGCCGTCTCGCCAGGTAGGCTTCTTGGGGTAGTCGTTGAACCAGACATGGACTCGGCCGTCCAACTTTCGGCTCCAGACATAATCGGCTTTGCCATCGCCGTTGATATCGACTAGCTGAATCTCACCAAGAGATTGGCCAATACCGGACGCATCTGCGTCAGGGAGTGGCTCATACTTGTTTCCCTTGTTGCCAGCGCTGTATATATTCCGGTATATTGTTGTATCGCCATTGTCTTTGAGATAAATGTAGTCGTCTCGCTATGGAGACACGCAAAGTCAGCTCCTGGTCTGTATTGAAGAGTTTGGAAGAGCACTCACCCCGTCGCCATCGATATCAGCAATTCGAACTCTATGTCCCGGTCCAGGGCCAGGAGCAATTTCTCCAATTAGTTCAAACCTCCAGCCGTATATTTCAGTTCCCTTGTCCTCGCCCTTGTTTAGGTAGGCTTTGAGTGCACTAGTCTGGGGATCTAGGTCGAGGTAGTCATCGTATCCATCACTGTTAGCAAAAGAACATTAGCCATCCCCATTTATCGCGAGTACATACAAATAACCTACCTATCGATGTCTCCCTAGACTACTTGAGAGGCGGGTGCCGCGCCGGATGTAATTGGGTTGCCCGCATTCAGCGGGCTCCAGCCCCAGCCGAGAGGATCAGCGGAGTTGGTCCCTTTGTTAATGCTGCGAGGAATAGGAGACGCCAGTTAATAAACAACGCCTCGGGGAAGGGTGCGGTAGAATATGAGCTCACAACACTATCGGGCTGCCCGACTTGGGATCATGCCGCACATAGTCATCAAGGCCGTCGCCGTCCACGTCGGCAAAGTGGATGCAATCTCGCCTGATGTTATCCTCCGCGCTTCCACGGTTGTACCAGACAAAAAGAGCGCCATGATCTCCGATGAAAACGTAATCATCCTTTCCATCGCCATCCATGTATGCCAGGCGGATCTCGCTGGGCTTTTTGTGGATTCCATTAGCAATGGTCTTTGCTGGGCCTTGGTTCACATAGATGGGAACGCACTCCCTTTTGGTTTGCTTGTTAAGGAAACCGGTGAGGCCGCCGTCGTTGCCCCAGATTAAATAATCTCGAGCGCGATAGTCACAGTAAAACATATAACGGGGGTCCGGGGTGAAGAGTAAGTTCATACCATCGCGTCTATCGCCATTCATCTGAGAAAAACTATTATCATCTTTGTTCCATTCACGATGAAAAAGGCGAAACTCACAACGGCAAATACCAATTTCGAAATGTCACTAACAGCTCCTGTAGCAATGCCACCAATGGCCTCAAAGAGTACATCTTGTCCTCGGTGATCCTATTTTCATGTGGTATTTGAGAGACCCGCCTTGCCCGATGTACACATAGTCGGCCCTGCCATCGCTGTTGATGTCCGGGAAGCGCAAGGTCTTGAGGTTGGCATGGGGCACACCCGACGCAATTTGACCGCCATCGACAAACTTCCATCTGTTGCCCCACTTGTCGTCCGGGCCGTAGTTCCACCAAATTCGTACCGATCCGTCTTTCTCATTGACGACCATGTAGTCGTCCATCTGAAAGATATGTTAGCCAAGGATCATGTTATTCTCTGAATTGCTGGGGTAACCTACGCCATCGGCGTTCATGTCCTAACGGTAGAGATTGTTAGCTTGAATTGGAAGCAAATAAGAAATACTATCAGAGAGAAACGTACAGCAAGGTATACTGTCTTTGATGGCCCTGCGCCACTACCAATGATACTGTTGTTATTTCCGGCTGGTGACCAAGGCTTGGGGAGATTATTGAGCCAGCATCGAATCTCTCCATTGTTAGGATCTACGAAGACATAGTCTGTTCATCCCAGGGCGTCAGTCTTCTCTTGTCTATACCATACGAGAGTACCTATAGGATAAAACTTACCCACTTTTCCATCACCATTCATATCATGCAACCGGACGTAGCGGTTCTCCCAGCCCAGACCAGAAGCAACCTCCCCTTGCTCTACCCAATTTTTCTTGTACTTCCAGTCACCGTTGTGGCCTATGCTACCGATAGCAATTTGGCCAGCCCCTTTCCACTGGGGATTGTCCGGGCACGAGGCGCTCCTCTTCTGACCGCCCGTCGCCCAGTCGATCGTATTTGCAACAGTCTTTTTGGATGTGACCTGGATGGGGCTTTTGCCCCAATTGGGTGCGGGTATGTTCTTGTCGATGCCACTGTTCGCACCACCGGCACCATCGTCACGGCTCGGATCGGATCCCTCGGGATCTTTGATCAAACCCTTGGGGATCTGGCTGATGAAGCTGTATCAGTAATCACCCATAATCTTGTACCCGTTGTTCGTCGGGTGGATGCAGTCTTGGAGATCGCTCGTTGAGAACGAGAACGAGAACGACGTAAAGTCGACGGCAAGCACGTGTTTCCCATCGCCCTTGCGTGACTTGACCACCTCCGGGATCAGCCATTGGAACTCCTTGGTGCGGGGTGATTGATCGTCGTTGCAGGTGTTGATGATCATCGCGACAAGAATGGTCGCGTCGGGGCATGTCTTGATCATCTTATCAATCAACTTGCCCAGCCGTTCGGAAGCCTGCTTGGGGTCGTTTCCTTCAGTAGAGGTGCTACCCTTGGGGTGCATATCCTTGGTCCCTGCCGCTAGGAGAATGACATTTGGGCGGTGCTCTAGCGAGGACCCAACATTGTCCGAGATGTACTAAATCGTCTTTCCGGACCAAGCTGCCTATTCCCACAACAGTTGCATTAGCTAAGTGCTTGGATATAACCCCCGGGCTTGAACTCACAAAGTAGCCGTCGTCCATAGTACCAATCGTTTCTGTACCAGCGAAGACAACCTGGTTTTCAACAACGAAAGCACTTGGTTAGCCTCGGTTCGCCGTGCGAGGGTTCATACGAGTGAATTAGGTACCCACTTGACAAATTGTCTCTTAGTTGCCTCCGGTATCCGTCGCCATCACCTCCCTTCTGTTCGCTCATGAGACCGACGGTGATAGAGTCGCCAACGGAGAGGATGCGGAGCTTAGTGCAGCCACCGATTTCTTTTCCGGCTTCCGTCTTTTTGTATTTCAATATATACGATCCTCCTCCGTTAGAAAGCGGGCAAGAGGCCATAGGTTCCAAACTCCGGACTCGGTTTGATATCTTGCTCCTGGATGTGTCTGTTCGTGATCTCGAAAAGGACTAGGTTTGCAATAAGCTTGTGGAGCAGGACTTGAGGGTGAAATACTCTCCCGTACCTGAGATGAGTGAGTTAGTATCAAGGAACAAGTTTGAAAATTTGCAGGGATGAAGGGGCGTTCTTACCCGTCAGGCAACAGGTTAGGCCATTCGATAAAATCGGCAGCCTTCACGTCTTCTTGGGCAATGAACGTATTTGATTCTTGTATAAACTTCGACTTGTCGTCTTCGGTGACCTTGTCGTGATGCGCAAGCTGGATCCCAGGTTCTAGGTATTCTACGACCCTTGCAAATTCATACTACCGCCAAAAGCGCCATTCATATGGGGATTGACGCTTCGTTTCCAGGAATTCGAACCAAACAAATCTAAGGCACCAAGCTTCCAAAACATCAACTGAGGCCTGTTGCAGAAGAATGTCAGTACATTAGACATCCCGACTGACCACAATACGTACATACCTATGATTAGACTCTTTTGTACTCTCGTCCACACCCACCTCGCAGACTCACCTGTTATACCGCTGAACGAGCTGGTCGTAATTAACAAACTGGACTTTTGGCCCGGCTTTTTTTACAGCTTGCTCCTATCGCGGTGCGGCTTCTGGTCAGGATTCAAAGTTCGGTATAGGTAGTCAAAAGTGATAAGGGAGGTTGTGTTACAATCATTGAGTTCACGCGATCGCCCAGGCCGTTCAGCTCCAAACGACGGTTGTAGCCAAGGTATTCGGGCTTTTGGAACGCGTTATACGCTTTCTGTCGCAGGATTGCATTGGTTAAATCTCACAATTAAGCAGACGTCAACTTTGGATGAGGGAAGCTCACAATCAGCCATGTTTGCCATGTGACCTTGCCGGAATCGGTGTCAAGAGTGTCGCTGAAGAACTTTGCATATCTAGCGTGTGGTATTAATTCGCACGGTTCTTGAATGAAACAGCAATTAAAAATTGGACAACGTGCTTACCCAGTATAATAGATCACGCCACTGTAGACGTTGGTCAATTGTTAGTCAGTGCTACTAGACAATTTATTATTTTCAGGCAGCTCTTGACCTACTCGGACGCGAGCTTTTTCTTGGCAGCTTCAATGGTAGCTGTTAGCTGTTAGCTGAACCAGGGGCTGTTGATAAGTTGCATCGAAGCATCAATCTGGCCCTCGCAGCCGCGGCCGTACTTTTCAAAATCAATCGATTCGGCCCAAGGCTCTTTCTTCAACGCAGCCATCTTGCATATGGCGACTTATGCAGGGTTGAATGCAGCCCATTGGTATATGCACTGATTCAGGACGTTGGTAAGCTCCACGTCGTTGCCACCTTGGAGCAAAGTGTTAGAAACGGACCCACAGTTGGTGTGAGAAGCCAAGATTATGACTTACCAGCAGAGAGCAAGATGACTTGCTGGGGAAATCTGTTTATCAATTACATCCTGTGTCACGGCACCGGAGCTCGACTCGAACTGGAAGCTTCTCATTTCTGGAGGTCCGAGCCTGGGATCTTGGTTGATTAGCCAGGGGTAGGATAGATCATATCTCCGACAGTTCCATTCTGTTACGACAATGATTTGTGATTAGTTGGCCTAATTGTTGTAAAAGTTGTACATGAATTGGCCCAGACTGGTATTTACCATGATAGCTTCTTTCAAGCGGAGACCCGGAACCGATACCCGCGGAGTACGAGTCTCCCACGGCGGCCATCATTTTGAGAAAGTTAAGACCATCGGCGTCAAAGTCTACCGTGTCCCTTGGGAGCAGACCTTTGACAGGCATGGAAAGAAGTCGGTATGAGGTGCGATCCGCAAGTGCCTGGGCAGCAAAGCGAATCGCGCCTGCTAAGCAGGCTCCCAAAAGTTTAACCATCTTGATCGATTATAGTTCCAGGTAGCCAATGCGTCTGGCAGCCGATGGGGGAAGAAAGTAATAAGAGAGCCTGGGAAAAGAGATCACAGAAAAAACGGGGAAAGCAGAAGCTTTTCCCTACCATTGATCAGACGTCTCTCTCTTCGTAGTTCCGTTGCCAACAACAGACCCAAGGCACGATTCTGCCTCGGGAAACCTCGGTGACCATGTCTGACTAGTGTCAATCATTCCACATCAAATGAACGTTTGGGGTCAATGTATCATGCGGATGGGTAAAATTCTTTTCGGGCATATGCGGCTTACGTGCGGCCTCGTCCGTGTCACTCACCTTGCGCATCATACTTAGAGCTCTTATAACTATTATTATTAAAAATACTCTTAGTATTAGACTTATTAGAATATTCTAAGTCTAGATTAGGAGGTAAATATATAGTAAGAGCTATACTATAGTCCTACTATAATTTTAAAGTAGTAAAAATATAAATATTAAAGAGTTAGAAAGTAATTATAATAAAAGAAAAAGTAAAGGATAATATAGAAAATAAAGAGCCTATTAGAAAGACAGGGAAGTAATTTTAGAAAGGGAGGAAAGAATAGGAGTAAGTCTTATAGTAATAACTAGGTATAGTATTTATAGTAGGCCTACCAGGTGCTAATTATACAATAAAATTAATTATTTTAGAACCTTGACCAGTATCTCATGAAGCTCAGGGACCAACTTCTTAGCAACTGAGCAAATGCTTGCTTAGCGGGGTGCTATAGTAGAGCTGAATAATAGTACTGTAGTAGTACTTACGGAGGTTCTAACAAGGGTCTATTGGAATAGTAGGGCTTAAAGCGGCGGGAGGTTTTGAGTAAATCTGCTGCTAAGAATAATAGCTAAATCCGGTAAAAATAGGGGCAATTTCGCTGTAATAATATTATAAGTAGTTAATAATTACTACTAACTAACTCCTCTATAAGTTAATATACTTTATTATTAGCTATAATAATTAAACTTATACTTATTAACTTTATTACTTAATAACTATTAAAGAAAATAATCTTAAAATATATATATTACTAAAGTATAAAACTTATAAATTTATATATTAATATTAGTATTAATTAACTTATAAATATTTACTTTATATTATTTCTACTTTTTAGCTTATTATAATTATTATAAAAACTACTTTATTAATTATTCGCTACTAGCTAGTATAAGCTATATATATTAGAGCTATCTTTTCCCTTCTCTTTTCTCCTTCTAGAGATCTAGAGATAGACCCGGGACTATTCCCTCCCCCCGGCCAGCCTGCCTACCAAAACTTACTAACCCTAGATATATGAGAACCTAACCCTGGACCTGGACCTAGACCTGACCCTGACCTGACCCTACCCCTAAGCGCTGGCCGCACGCCCCTAATTTAGACATTGAGCTTTTACGACTATAAATATATATTATCCTATACTTCGTTCAATAAGTGAGTATTCAACTATAAATTTATGTTCTGTACAAAGCTAAGAAGGTTTTAATTTTGATTCGAAATGCAGCTGACTAATAGCGCAGAAACTTTTAAACTGGCATATCTATTATATATCCCAAGGATCATACCATGCAGTCTAGCCGCAGCTGCCACAACCAGAGCAGGAAACAAATAGACACTGCGTACCCCCATTCCAGCTATCGCCCATTGCCCTACAGCAAGAACCATCCGAAGGTGTTCAAGAATAAAAAGATCGCATGTGATGTTATCAACGTTAACAGCCGGGACGCTTAGCAAAGCAGTATTGTTGTATCGAGATCATCTTTACTTGCAAGAACATTTCTCCTTGCACATGCCGGCCATTTTTGCCCAAAGCGCCTTGGTATCCGGGTGAGTGCCACTTGGAACCGATGTGGTCGTCTTTATCTTCGCTTTGCATTCAATTAATTTATTGCATGGAAGTGAGACCTTCTTGTTTGGCATGACACGGTAAGACGTGCAGGTCAAGGCTCCGTTCAATGAACTCATGGATTGGCCAGGGACAGGTTGAGCTTGGGCATAGCCAGCAATGGCCGAGAAAAGGAGGATAGTAACTGTGGTGAATTGCATCTTCAATGTTTAATTCTGGTTTTGTTTTTGATCTTGGGTCTAACGTTTCGGTCTTCGATTGAATAGCGCAGTGAAGATGAAATAGCAAAGTGAAGATTGAATAGAAAAGTAAAGATTGAATAGAAAAGTGAAGATTGAATAGAAAAGTGAAGATTAAATAGAAAAGTGAAGATTAAATAGGAAAGTGAAAATTGGATGTAACTGACGATCGATTTCTTTAAGTACAAAGGGAATTCAGGCAACCTATTGTTTCTTGATATGTAAAGTTAATTTAGCTTATGGATTGGCCTTGAAAAAGGTCCTGGTCTGACACTAACATCTGCTCCACTGCTGACATTTAAGCCTACAGGAGAATTTAGGCCAACCCGTCGCTCCAGCATCGCTTGTTCCTATCTCATGCCTGTGACCGCTTCCCATCGACCACCCGTTCACCAGCACAGCACCTTCTTGATTCGACCCGCTAGCCTCGACTCTGTATCTGCCCTAACGACAGTCGCGCAAGAGTCGCACCTGTGCACGATTTCCAGCCTGCGAACGGACTACAACTCTCTATCGGCCTTTTCAACACACACGTGCGCGCACGCACACACGCAGACTCGCGATTAGAGAAGCACTGTCGGAGCACAATGGCAAAAAAGTCCTCCCATGAGTGCAAAGTGGTGGTCGTCGGCGGCGGTGCTGTCGGTAAATCATGCCTGACCCTCCAGTTCATCCGAGGCGCCTTTGTCGACAGCTATGACCCTACAATCGAAGGTACGCCTGCATGACAAGTCCCAAACTAGAGAGCGCCCAGCTGATTTGTAGCAAAAAGACTCCTTCCGCAAGCAATGCATCATTGATGATAAGGCCGTTCTGCTCGATGTCTTTGACACTGCAGGCCAAGAAGAGTACATGACCATGCGGGAGGATTTCATACGCCCAGGCGAGGGATTCCTGCTTGTCTATAGCATCACCTCAAAGCACTCGTTCGAGGAAATCAAGTTATTCCAGCACCGGATCCTGAGGGTGAAGGAAAAGGACTCTTTCCCCATCATCGTCGTCGGCAACAAGTGCGATCTTGAGGGCGAGCACGCGGTATTAATCGAAGGTGCGTATCACCTACAAAAAGCTCGTTATAGCATGGCAACAACGCTGACATAGGACACAGAGGGCGAGCAGCTCGCGCGCCAATTCGGCTGCCGCTTTATCGAGACCTCGGCCAAGTCAGGAGCCAATGTCGAGAAGGCATTTTACGATATTGTTAGGGAGATTAGAGAATATGAGCGTGGCAGCACTAGCGACGCTGGCGATGTAAACGGCACAGGTGGCTGGTCGAACAAGGAGATAGGCGAGCAAGATCTCGACCGAGCAACCAGCCGCAGCAAATGCGCCATTATGTAACTTGTTCTGTAATAACCTGCTACATTTATATAACGATCCCCTCTCTGGGATTGCTCTGTATCTAAGGAAGACGGTCAGGTGCAGGATATACTCTAAAGGCTGTGCTAAGAGAAATTATATTAATCGAGATAACTTCAGGTGTATCCCTATGCGCAGGGGCCTATATAATTATAAACAGTAGGAAGTACCCTCGCTATCTATACTTAGCAAAAGGAAGCAGGCGTAGGCAAGCCTGCTAAATAACTATAATCTTAAAGATAGGAATCTATTCTGCCACGGTTCATCACGATTATTAGACAAGTGATATTTCCACTGATTATACACCTAATTTGAGTGGGGAAGTAGTACTTTTAACATCAGCCAATATAGTAACCCCTAATAGCCTTGAAGACCTTCGGGAAGGTAATTGACAATTTTGCCGGGCCCATCTGGGTTCAACATCATAAGGTTGCACCCCCAACGGTTCTGTGTAGTAGCAGTCAGCAACAGTAGCATTACCTCGTAAGCTGTGCGACAGACCAGCTGGATACTTGCCTCTTCCTTGGTTCCGCACGGGTCAATCAGTTTAAGCTGGTTTCCTTCGCTCTTGATCCTGTGCACCGTGCCTGCGCGGGCCAACGGCGTCCGTTCCTGAAGCGGTTGGGCGTGTAGCTGGTAGTACTGGTGGAACGCCGTGACTTCGCCGCACTTCCTGCCGTTCCTATGGTCTTGCTGTGCGGGGTTAGAATTGATGTTGAAGTCGATGAAGACGGCCCGGCCGAGTTCCATTTGCTGCCTGATGGGGCTCTCGGCGACTTCGTTGATAAACGCCGCTGGTCCTTTTTGCGAACTGGACAAGATGATTTCGTTCCCAAATGCTAGTATTGTCACGACTCCCGGCTGCATTTTCGGCTTTTGAAGCTTCTTGTCAATGGTGAGATCGTATTGCTGAATGTCCACTTACTTTCCTCGTAGGCCGCGTCGGCCAACTTCTTAAGCTGGCCGTCAGTAATTGTTGTGACGGGGCCATTGAATGTGATGTGAGTCGAGAAGACCCATTGGTGCCCACCCTCCCAATTCCTTCCGTCTCGGCTGGCCAATCCGTAGTCAAGACGCATCTCCAGAGGTCCATGAGGGTCACGCCGCTCGCTCAAGTCAAATGCGTGTAGCGCCTGGCAAAACAAGGCTAGCCCCAGGGCCAACACCAAGCCAAGGAAACGACAATTGAAAGCCATTCTAGTCCAGTAGTAACCAGATAAGAATCCTATATGTAGGGTCGTACAGCGCGGTTCGCAGATTCTGTGGAAAGATTGATAAACGTGAACCGATGAGAGCAACTACTTGGCGCATGGAGTGGGCAAGGTGATTATGCCTTCCTCTGAAAAGAAAAGGCAGATTCTAAACAAACAATTAAGCAACTGCGGAAGCAGAAAATTCGATACTGACTACACTGAGATGATGCATGCCTTCGGTTTTTGTAATCATGTGGTACCAAGAAGGACCTATTCTTGTTGCAAACAAAAATAAACCACTCATCCAATACGAATGATCCATTGACAGGCCAGAAAAAAGGACTATGATTTGCAGAACTTGGCCGGCGGCATACGGGAGATTGATCAGATACCAATGTGTTTCTTACCAGAGAATCGACCTACAAGATCTGAGACTTCTAGGGAGGCTGTTGGGCTTAGAGTGTGAATTGAGGTCATTTGTAATGTAGACTGTGGACTGTGCACCTAGAATGACATAATACGAGCTTGTGTATCTGGAATGCTTGCTTGTATTGGATGAATGAGTTCAGTTGAGCTAACGCTACTGATCTATCGACCCATCTTCGCCAATGTTCTCTAGCTCCAACCTGATTCCAGACTGGGCACTTAAGTCATCAATTCTAGTTTGCAGTTCCGGTAAGAGAGTATAAACGTATAAAGGCAAGGGCAAGATGATTCGCTTCAATTGGGGTGGGAGCCGCAGCGGCGCTTCTTCCTCGGCAAGCAGAAGTTCAATAGCTCCAACAATAACACCATCGTGGCAGTCAAAACTCTCAACAGAGAGCAGTTCGCCCGTCATTACGAGCACTTCGAGCCCAGAGGGGAGCGACACTCCCAGATGCGTCATCTTTCCTGTCACTTCTTCCGGTGATAACCCAATCAGGAAATCCCAGGGGATGGGCAGGAATTTGAGTTGAGCAAGCTGGGCGAGGCCATGCAGTGATCCCCGAGTCTCCACATCGGGATCCTCATACCCTCCGTAGAGCTCGTTAGCCTCTGTGTCAGCCTCAATGGTTAATTCCATCAATGTGCCATGGACTTGGCACAGAGCATGGGCCATTACATCCAGCGCAACGATGTCCGTGCTGGCGTGGCTATCCAAGTGCTCCTGGTAGAACCAATGCCAGTGCAACTTCTTCAGCGACTTGAGTGGCGCAAGTCGGTGTTCTAGTCGAGTCTCACGCAATCTGAATAGCTCGAGGGATGTCAGAGAGGATGGCAAAGGAGGCGTAGCGTTATCTGAATGCGGCCATGTCCAAGCGACGGGATTGTCGATTGAAACGGACATGGTTTGGAGAGACGGCAAATAGAAGAACGGAAGAACATCCGCGGCATTATTGAAGTCGCAGTGACGGAACTCGTTGGTCCTACCGGCGAAAACAACATGTTTCAGAGAGGGAAACTTGGGTAACCAGCTGCTTCTGTTTCCGACGCAGGTGATGGCCTGACGAAGGAACTTGCCAAGGCAGGCACTCTCAAGCGTGGAATTGGGCCCGAGCTCGAGAGAAATTAAATTCGGGAGCATGGAAATAAGCAGGGCCACCAGGGCATCGACTGCGCCAACTTGTAGCTCCTCCAATCAAGTGTTAGTGCCGGGCGCTTCAATCAGTCGTATGTGCTCAGCCGCCGCGGGCAAGGGAAGTACAGAAACGGGCAGTGCTGGGGGCTCCTCATCGGTACCACGGGGTGTGTCTTGAAGCCCATGCCAGTAAGCCGCAGGTTAAGGCAGTACTGGCCGAGATAAGGACTTTCGAGGAAGGTCCGGAGCAATGCAGCAACGGGCGGCAGGTTATGATCTGGTTGTTTTTTCCATTCGAGATGGATGTCGGCGACGAGAAGCGGCTCGACGAAGCTGTGAAGGCTTTTGCTGACCAGGCTCAAAGAGAGAAGATCACCTGAGGGCAACAAGGCAAAAATAGCCAACTGAAGCTCGCGTGGACAGTCCTGCATGGTTCTGGCCGGCATGCTGATGCTGTGTGTTGGGGCAAGATTGTGGTAAGTGAAAGTGAATGAGGAGGTGATGTCTGTCGAAAGTCCTTACCCTAAACGCGGGAAATAAGGTTTGTACATACATGTAGGATTCGGTCCTAATATGTAAGCATTATGTTGCCATGCAATGCAAATGCGATATGGACTTGCGGACGGCTTGTGTCACATTGTGTGATGGGAACAAGATCAGAAAGGCACAACCCTATGTCAAAAATAATTACCCTGCGACTCAACAGGCTTACACGCCGCTACGAAATAAACTCATCACGGGGCCTTCTGAATCGGCGCTGATTGTAAGGGACTTGAGAACTTGATTTTCATGCCCATGCTGCGAATTTACACAGAAGATAGTAAGCATCTTACCAACAAAAGCCCCCGGCCTGTGCCACATCTTGCGAATAAGCAGCATATACGAAAATTATGCGCATAAAAACGTAAGTTGTGGACCCGTTGGTGGCGTTGTTAATTTGATTCCTACACGGCGTGGAACACGGGCATCACGCAACTATTGTAGAGTTTGCCCAACCCGAAAAGAACACTGCCTGGAACCATGTACGGCGCGCTCATTCATACATCGTTCAATTCCGCGGACAGATTTCATAACATCCCTCGCTGAAACTAAACGACGAAATGGTTGGGCCTTCGTTACCAGCATGCCTTGCTTTTGGGACTATGCTACTCAGCGGAATTGCTCTGGCTGACGAATGCCAGCCTTCGACCTGGTCGCCCAAGATGATGTCGCTGTCATCAATTACTCGTGTTGGCGAGGTCAATTGCCGATATAAGACCACGACAGGATCCAAGATCAACGGTGACACCTGCTCCTCGTTGGCAAAGAAATACGAAACTATGGTAGAGGTGATTATGAGCTTGAATCCCACTCTGGGTAAGGACTGTAACGCGTCTATTAAACCAAACATAATCTACTGTGTCAAAGGATGTATACTCCCACCAGCTATTGCCGTGGTATGAACTGGGGAACGCACAAACTAACAATGATTTCTTACTCAGTTGTTGAGCCGGAGCGCGCATGGGATGGGCTCTGCGGCCCCATGTGCAAAAACACCTGCCTAGGTACTGGGAAGCAGTGTTGCAACTCGAAAACGTGGAGGTGCGGAAACGCAGACGAGGATTGCCGGGCTAACAACTGCTATGAGGGTGCCTGCTTTGATAAATGGTTCTCGTTCTGCATTTCTATCGTGGACTAATACGAATTTGGTGATTAATTGTTTAATCTATGCTCAGCTTCTGTCGTTGTTCGGTTCCGAGCAACCCGAGGGTATTTAAAAACCAAGACATCATAATTTTTTTCCCGTAGGGTAGAATTATAGCTAAGATATTGCTACTTTTATATGATAGAAAACTTAAGCTTCCTTTAATAGATGAGTAACCCGTTATTTAACCCCAGGATTTTAATAAGTTGAAATTATCTATATTTAAGGTATTAATAGGTATATACTCTTAATTTGAGGGAGTTAATTCTGTTTGCTCTTTACCTATGTAATTTTGCCCAGTCATAAGATCAGCATATTACAATATAAACTATAGTCTTATAACTTAAATTAGACAATGTTTTTGGTAATAAATTATAATTGATATAGTAAGTCTTCCCAGTCATCTTAAGTCTCTATCAGTAGAATACTAATACTAAAGTTTACTCCTCTTAGCTACTAAGTCTCCAATGGTAGAAACAGTAGTTCCTAGTTCTAGAATGCCAGAAAGAGCCACTTCAGCTTTGAAAATAGAACGAAACCAACTACGTAACTCCGTAGCTGTCAGAGAGTCTACCCCATAATAACTCAATGGCTGGCTGCTGTCTACAGTATCATGATGTATAGCTAATGCCCTGGCTAGCCTGTAACTCAGCGCCTGGATGACAATAGAGGCACGATTGTCGTGCTCCCTGGCTTCTTTGAACAAGCTCGTAGCATCTTTCTTGCTGCCCGTATTGGTTGTCTCCTCATCCTGTATGACCGCAGATGCCGTTGAAAACCCCGCAAAGAGCGGACGACGTTGGGCAGGCCCAGGAGTTGAAAGTCCCTGTGCGATTTGCTGGAGAGAGGTGACTACACCCACTAGGAGCTGCGACTCGGATCTGGTGGGCAATGGATCACAGTAAATATCCAGCAGGGCAAAGAGTTCATCATTGCTGATCTTGCGCATGTCACATAATCGCTCCCGCTGTTGCTGGTAGGTATTATTTGCAGATATTACCCCGGCTTCAAACATCCAGCCCAAGTTGAGAGACGTGGCTCTTTCCCCTTGATTGGCACGATGCCGGGCCAGCGCATCTTGAAAGGTACAAGCAGCACTATAGCTAGACTGTGCGATGCTTCCATAGATTCCTGAAAGCGATGAAAGCTGGATGAAAAACTCCAACGAACGGGGAAGCAATCGATGGAGATTCCATGAAGTCTCAGCTTTGGATTTGATGGTTAATTTCCATTGGTGATAGTCCATGTTCTCAAACACAGAGTCCTTTATATTGATCAGCACATCATGTAGTCTTATTATCCCCGGTTATGCAATATTTACCTGAAGTACCATGGTAGCGTTGATACATCCCTTAATTGGAGGCATCCTTTTAGCAAGGCTTTTCAAGACAGAATCGAGTAAATGCAACGAAGAGACATCACATTGTGGGCGTTCAACATGAATGCCGCGGGCCCTCAGATATCTGATTACTTCTCGTGCATCTGGCGACGATGCGCCAGATCGTGATGGTGCGATGATATATCTGGCACCCTTGCAGGCTAACCACTGAAGAATAGCTCTGCCTATACCACCTAAACCCCCGGAGACTAGATACGTTGCACGTTTATCAAACGTCCAGTTGCTTTTTTTGACGATGTATTTCTAAAACAAAGACATTAATATGTGTGTTTGTTGCTTCGTTTTAGTTCAGACTGCATCGAGAAACTCTCACCTGTACTGTATCCGTGGGTTTGATAGTAATTAGGACGCGGCCAATATTTCTCCCACTCTGAAGATACCTGAACGCCAGTTCGACTTCTGATACACTGTATATATGGAGAGGTGTTGGGTGTTGTATCACTTTGTTTGCCATTAGATCAATGACACATTGTACCAGGCGGCCGGACAAGCCAGTATCCGTCTCCGCTAAGTGGTATAGATCTACAACACAGAAGCTGATGTTTTTTGCGAGGCTGGCCATGGGCAGAGAGGATCTTGCCATGATGTCTGCTTTCCCGATTTCAATGAAACGACCGAATTGACCGATACATTCCAGGGAAGCTAGCAAACCATCGCCCGATAATGAGTTTAGTACCACGTCCACCCCTCGACCCTGAGTCATGCGTAGCACGCCTTGAGCAAACTCCGTGTTTCTGCTGTAGAAAATGTGGTCTTCGGGTATATCGAAATTCTCAATGAGGAACCGCTTTTTGTCTTCGAAACCGACAGTGGCGAATATCTCAGCGCCGACTGACTTAGCGATCCATATAGCAAGCTGGCCAGTACTTCCAGATGCCGAGTGAATCAGAATTCTTTCTCCTTCTTGCAAGCGTGCTATATGGAGCAAGCAATGATATGCCGTTGAAGCAGGGTTGATAATGGAAGCCGCAGCTTCAAATGACATGGAGTCCGGAATCTTCGCTACGGCCTCCTTGGGCGCGCGTGGAAATGAGCGCATGCAGCCCCCCGACAGCATGCAGACTCTATCTCCAGGCTTTAAAGATGTTGCGCCGCAACCTGTTCCTATCCGTGTGATGATACCGGCGCAGTCAATTCCCACGTCATCGCCTCCCATGCGACCAAGCGCAACAAAAATGTCCCTGAAGGCTACTCCCCAAATTTTTGCCTCGATTTCAACCTCCTCGGGCGCCAGTTCGACTCGAAAACTCGAATCCTCAACAAAACGAATGGAATCCAACAGACCAGGAGTACCAATTTCAAGTTTTAGGGGTGGGCCAGGAAGCCAGGTCTCATTCACCACCTGGTTAGAAGTGAATGACTGTATCTTCTCACTGAGGGCCCTCTCTTGTAGCAGGCGACCGGTCAAGACTTGACCATTGCGTACAATATACTCGGACTCGGGCGACTGATGATCAAAGGACGCCCTGAATACTGCTAATATGTGTTCGGCCAGAGTGTCTACCTTGAGTTCCTTGGTGGGAAGGTCGATGGTTAGTGTGATGTACTGTCTGTTCGTGTCTTCAGACCGTAGGGACCTAAAAAGGCCTTCTATTAGGTACTGGGAGGGACAATAATCACTGCCAATAGTAGCGATACTAACCCACAGACATTTACGAGTACCCTTGACCAGAAACTTCAATGAATCGAACTGCGCTTCGGACAACCCCGCAAGTGCAATACTGCCTAATTCAACTAAACACAGGACGATTTCAGATCCAGAGAGAGCGGCCGATTGGATCTCTTCAAAGGGAACAATACTTGTGACATGATCAGAAAACTCGAGGAGTTGGATAACCAATGTGTCTACAAGTGCCTTTTGATGCTCAGACTGCGGGTCTACCAGAATGACAACGGGCATGCCTGGCCTAGGTAAAGTTTTTGCTGTTGAGACCATAAGGCTGAAGAGGTGACATGCCTCACTTTCATAATCACGAATGACGAGGTCGTTGCCTGAGAATCCGTTGTCTTTAAAAAGCTCATCCCACCCTCTTTCGGTCATATCGTAACTCCACAGTCTGGGAAGCAAACCAGACGCGAACCTCGCTAACATGTTGTCAGAAGACACCATGGCAACATTGATTAGGCGTCCTCTAGGCTTCAATAATGAACGGATATTGGAGAGCTGAACCTTCGAACTTAATCTTGAATGAGAAGCGCTGCAGGCGAGTACGAGGTCAAACGTGCTCGATTCGAAGCCTTGCTTAGATGTCGGGTGATCCAAGTCCAAAAACTGGAATCTCACTCGACTATCGTACCTCTTAAGTCTCCGCCTCATCGTTTCAAGAGATGTTTCTGAAATGTCTGTATAGACATACTCAACAAATTTGTGTGCTCCTGTTCGCCGTTCCAAATTGTGTAGAGCAGAGAGGACAATATCTGGCCATATAGTATCTGCTGCACCTAACTCCACAATTATAAGATTTGGATTCTCATGTGTTAGTAGTTCGATGACAGATTGGAATCTATGATCAGAAAGGCTCCGATAAATACCGACGTAGAAGTCATCTATCCTGCCTTTCTGCGACGCAAATTCTGATGCAATCATGCTGCCGGAGAGAATCTTTCTAAGATTGCGACCCAGTACTGAAAAAAGTGTAAACGGATGATACGACATCTCAATTTCTTGAAAGCGTGCCGCAATATCGACGTCCTCTAGAATACTAGACTGGTGAAAGAAATGAGGAGCAGAGTAACGAGAAATCCACGATGCGTAATCATATAGAGAGTTCTGGACCATCGAAGGACTCTCGCCAGAGAGCCATTCATAGGCTCTATACAGAGCGTGGCTGAGAACGTATTCAAGCTTATCGCAGATCAATCCAAGGTCTGTCTCGGAATCGCCGTTGTGGCATGCGTGGTGTAGTTGTTGGGGGCTCAGAAGACTAAGCTGTGCCTTCCACTCAATACTGTATAGCATCTTCTCCTCGATTGACTGATCGACATCAGGCTGTTTCGAGATAGGCCTCATCACGACCCTTTTAAACTCATAAAGGAGCTCCCCTTCATCGATTATAAATTGAGCATTCCCTTCAAATCCCACCCCTCCAGGTACATGCCGAGCAGTTGCTAAACATTGCGCTGAGGAGTATTGCGACTGCTGCCATCCTGAAGCAGAGACCCAACCATCAAACAACTGATGAGGAACATTGATGGCTGTGGAATACGAGGCAGCCTTTGAGTCAAGAGCAATAAGAAGCTGCAGGGATGCGTCCAGAACAGGCGGGTGAAACAAGCCATTGGTTCTTTCCTTTGCTTGAATACCAGAGGCTCCGCTGTCTTTTCCATCCCATAAAGTGTTTTCCAGTAGCTGAAATGAATCCCCATACTCGTAGCCATGCTCTGAAAAAAATTTATATAATCTCTCCCGGCTTATCGGCTTCGTGTTGGTGTACTGCGACCGGAAGCAGCTTTGTATTCTCTGGAAACGGGCGAGTCGTTTTTCCAAACCGTCACTCACACTATTTTTTATTCTTTCTTCCTTTTGCATCTTGATTGTGGCTCTGAAACAGTCAGACCATTGCCATTTTGAAAGAGCGAAGATGGTGACTTCAAACCAGACCGTCTCCTTCTCATCGACCTTCTTGATCGGTCTCAGCTGAAGCATTGTTTCTGTCAGCTCCTCCGGGGGACTGTGAATAACCACTGCGCTCGTAAAATGGGCTTCTTTCACGTGGTAGCCGGTTACGCTTGTTCGGTCCCGAGAAATGTGCCTTACAGCCTCCAATGCCATTGCTAGCATACACATCCCGGGAAGAAGAACAGTTTCCGAAATCTAAGTTATGTTAGGCGCTATGCTACACTAGGGTAGAAAGAAAACTCACAATATGATCCGCAATCCACGGAAAGGAATCCACGGTCCATATTTTTCTCCATCGAGGTTCGAGTGGATTCCAATCGGAGACAGGAGTACCTAGCAAGCTGCTAGTAACGCTTTCTCGGAGTCTGAAGTCACGACTGAACCGTGATTCCGCCCAGTAAGACGCCGAATGGTTGAATGGATACTTAGGAACGCTGAGGAAAAATGGCAAAGGGGTGTCTATGTTATGAAGCTCATTGACAGTCATGAGCTGTACAGGAACTCCCCAGCAAAATAAGCTACCCAAGAGGTTTAGCATAGTTTGTAGAGCAGCCTTTGATCTATCCAAGACAGCTCGATATTCAAACATCCTGTTCCCAAGAAGAGAAGACAATGTGTCTTGTACAGGACGCCGCAAGGCGCAGTGCGGTCCTATCTCCACAAGGCCCAAGGATGATATCCTCTCCGTCTTACTTCCAGTCTCCAATGAGATCATGGATTGAAGAGCATCAAAAAATCTAACAGGAAGGACTAGATTGTCAACCCAGTACTGAGCCTGGCAAAGCGTTTCCCGAGACACAACCCTTCCGGTCACTGAAGAGATCATTGTAATCGGACTCTGATCATTGTGATTTCCAGGGTCTAATGTACCAATGGCGGATAAGTAATCTGCAGCAGCGGATTGCATGGCACGTGAATGGTAAGCAACCCCCGCCTTGATGACTCGAGCTAATATACCATCGGTTTCAAGGCGATCTTGCAGGTCATTGATGCTCTTCTGGTCTCCTGAGAGCGTTGAATTGATTGGACTATTCATACAAGCAACCTGGACCGTTTGAATGTTGACTGCTTTTAGATATTCTCGGGCCTGTTCTTCTGAGAGGTTGACGGACATCATCTCCCCAGATGCATAGTCTGGCCTAGAACAAAGATTTTGTACAGCCTGACCACGGTGATAAGACACTTTACATGCAGATTGGAATGATAGAGCCCCTGCGGCATGCCTTTTGAGCTGTTAGACGTGATGAATGTGACAATGTAATTGTGACTTACGCGGCGGCTATTTCCCCTGAAGAGTGGCCGACCACTAAAGTCGAAGTTACTCTCCAACTCTTCAAAAGGTCAACTAGAGCTATCTGAAGGGCTGTACATAGAATTTGACTGTTCTCTGGGAGGTTTATGGTTTGTTGATCACGTAGTGCATCTAGATGAGTCAGAAGGATATTTTGTTTAATGTGCTTAAATCGATGATTTGTACTTACCAAAGATTGATTGTTTGTATCCGAGTTCCCGGTACGCAAAGTCTGCGTGTTGCAATGTTGCTTTGAACACAGGGTATTTAATCAGATCAATTCCCATGTTGACATATTGAGCGCCCTGCCCTGTAAAGATGAACCCAATTTTCATAAGAGATGAGTAAACAGGACTTGTCGCCGTCTCAAAGGATTTATCGCTTGATGCGAAGTCGTTGTCAACCACCGAAAATGAGCGCCATGGCAAATGTGTACGCTTAGCAGCCAGGGTAAAAGGAAGTTTCTCGATAGATTCCACGCCCTCTAGCCGAAGAGGTTCAAAGTATGTGCTGTATTTCTCGAGTATATCTTTAAGGGTTTTCTCATCAGCTGCAGACCAGACTAGAAGTGAGTGAGACTTCAGTGTGCCGGTTTCCCCTCGCTCGTTGGAGGTTGATTGTGTTCCATTTGTGTTGGGCTTTTTCAGTGACTTCACTACTCTGAATCCTGTGCTGTTAATTTCTCGAAACGTGGGCTTGCCCTCGACTAAGGTCGCAGAAGAAAGACCGCCCCCAGCTTCAATCAATGGCCGCCCAATATCTATACGAATTGTTTTCACCAATGCCTTTATGTCTTTGGAAAGGATATAGTGGTATGCATCATCTAAAACCGTATGCGAGTTTGTTCCGCCAAAGCCAAATGAATTGATTGACACCCGCCGAGGTCCTTGGCTCGGCCAAGTAATGCTTTTGGTAGAAACCTACGAAGAGATCTAGGTTGGCGCTGAGAAACTTGAAAACCAAGAAGGGGCTCCATCATACCGAAATGCGGTGAACATGGGGCTTGATATTTGGGTGAATCTTCTCGAAAAGTGCATTGGGCGGTATGATCCCCCTCTCTAGAACCATTATTGATTTGAGTACACCAGCGACTCAGGAACCACGTGTTAGCGTAAAACATAGTTGATGAGTTAAGAAAAACTTGAATCAATAGACCTTGATGTCAAAATTTGAGGCATTGACTTACTTCCACTGCAGCCCTCGAGATGTCCCAAGTTAGTCTTGATAGATCCGCTGCAACAACGATCAGCCTCCAGGTTCGCAGTTGGATTTCGTTGGCTACAAACACTAAAAGGGGCTCTTCGGATGTTCGGTATTGTTTAAAGACCCTCCCGATAGCTTCCACTGAGCAACAGCCAGTACGTTAGCGTTTGTTTCAATGCAATAAGCTACAAAACGAAGGGGCCTATCTCCCTTTATGTGCATTCGGATGAAAGTACGGAAAGCCTCACCTTCGGCTGAGTCACCTAGCCGTGTTCCAGTGCCTATTTCAGGCTTTAGTCCTCGTCTCATCACATGTCCACGTATGACTTACCGTGAGCTTCGAAAAAGCAAGTCGTATCAAACGAGAGGCCTGCTCGTTCATAGACAGATCGGATCAATGCCTCCTGCGAATCCACGTGTGGCTGCGTCAATCCCGTAGTTCTCCCATCTTGATTTGTCCCGGTTGCTCTGATAACTGCTCGAATGACGTCTCCAGCTTCAACCGCTCTTTGAATAGGTTTCAAGATCATCGAAATTACACCCTCGCCCCTGCCGTACCCATTCGCCCTGTGGTCGAAACTGAAACACCTACCATCATCGGACAGAAATCCTAGATTATCTAATTGGATAGACCTTTCAGGGGTGAATATGAAGCTAGTTCCTACAACTATAGCCTTTGAAATCATCAGGATGGTCCCCTATTTAGAACAACGCAGGCAGTCACAGCTGAGGAGGCCCCGCTCCGTAAGGATTGGCAGGCCAGATCCAGGGCCACGAGACTGCTTGGGCAAGCCGTATCCACGTGTATGCTCGGGCCTTTGAGGTCGAAGTACCAACTTAAGCTATTGGCTAACACTGAGGGGGCAGTGCTAGTGATAAAGGATTTGGGAAAGTTGTCCGGGTCTTTGCCAGAGAGCCTAGCGTAATCGTCTGAAAATGAAGAGCTAAAAACAGCGGTGTTTGAACCTTTGATCTCTTGCATTGGAATTCCAGCTGCACATCGTTAGTCTGGTAACATCTCATGCAAGGAGTGGCGTATACCATTCTCTAGGGCACGATACGAGGTTTCCAGGGCCCACCTCTGTTGGGGGTCCATCGCGGCCGCTTCTTGTGCGCTGATGGAAAAGAATGACGCATCAAAGACGCCAGGGTCACCTTTGAGAGAGTAACCTCCTCGGGAATGAAGCTGCGCATACATGAGGCTCACATGGTCAGTGCCACTGTCTATCGAGTATCACAAGCTAATCAGGACGAACCTTGTTTTCTGTTGTAGGGTCTGCATCGAAGAACGACTCAATGTTCAAGCGTGTTTCAGGCCAGGCAGTCATCAAATTGCGCTGGTTTTGAAGCACTTCCCAAAGGGCTTCTTCATCTTCGACTCCCTGTGGCAGCCGAAATGACAATCCCACGACAGCAATATCATTACAAGCCATTACTGTTGAGACACAAGCTAGGTAGGGTACAAATTCACACAAAAAGACTTTGTGCTGTTCACGACTAGTTGGAAACTGAGATGCGCCAGGGAAAGCGTAATATCTGCTCCGACATATGAACCTCATTAAATGTGGGTTGGTCCAAACAACCCGGGACCTACCCGGACTCCGGACAGAGTTATTATGTTTCGGCACCCGACTGGCCGCAATTTCCAGCTTGACCTCGCCCGCTCAGTGACGAATTTATTCAATCATTAGAATGGAACACCATGGTTCCAAGTCCAGGAGATATGATTCCCCTGAGACCGAGCTCCGCTAACGCTTGTGATGCTATGCTGTGGGATACAGTGTAAGGGGGAGGTATGCCGGAGCTCAATTAAAGTCTATAAATGCCAAGATTACCAAAGAGAAAGTAGTCCAAATAAGCTTATCTCGGTCGTTAGAAGGTTATGAGATTTTTGTCCGCAGTTTGACTTCAATTGGATTTGGACGTAGAATGTACGATATTTCTTAGCCTACACTGACAGCTATATTTTGTTCATAGAACTAGAAATAAAGTTGCGTCCCTTCTCCCTTCGTCACAATTCTCCCCGCATATCCTAAGAGTTATTCATCAATGATGTGATGCTTCGTGGTGAGCAACCTCCACATCACGGCTCACATTTATGGCCCTGGAAGGGATCTCAGGCATCATGCGCTGCTCATCATCATCAGAACCTCGTGTCGCAATCGCTGTCGTACTCTGGCTTTCCCCATTGGACGACGCGCCCGGATACCATCGGCTCCTCTTGGTTGAGCCAAGCTCATAGTAGCTTGGGTCCTTGAGCGATTGCTTGCCAGCCGAGTAATTGCTTACGCCAGCGGACCCTTTATCACCGTAGTTCGACGAGAAGAGGGAAGCCAGGCTATGATGTTTGGCGGCACGGCCCACTAGCTGCCTGATGGATGGTGCAGAAAGGGCAAGAATACCTACGGGTGCCTCAAGCATGGAAAGGTAGGTCATCGGGACCATCTGCCCTAGAAATACTTAGAATCTGATTTTGATGGCTTGCACAAATAGTGCAACAGTGTCTGGCTGTGCCACTTACAGGAAGGATCTGTACTCTCGTTCAGCATGTTTGGTTGTTGGGCGATAATGATGAAGCGTGCGAAAGACAAGAAGGCAGATCTAGGAGTGACCAGTTAGCTTTAGAATGATTACCCTACATATTTAGAAGCTCACTTACGCAAAACCCAAGATGAAGACGCCAGCGACCGAGAGCTTCTTTTGAGTATTCATCTGCAATTTCCATACCAGCGGCATTGTGAGAAGCAAGACGACGAGATCTGTGAATGCGTTGAGGAACGATGATGTAAGATACCACTCCGTTGGGTGTATGCAAACGCCGGGTTCGTCAGGGTTAACGGTTTTCGACCATGGACGACAGAAAGTCCATGGAGTGAGGCAAAGAACAAACCACCAGACGCTAACAAAGGTTCCCACGCCCCAGAGCACGTAGCGGAAAGTTCGAGAGATCTTGAAAACACGCACGTAGAAAAGTAACGCGCTGACTTTCAGAAGCCGGACTGCGGTGGCATAGATCATGAGGATGACGCGGTTGAGAATCAGGCTTATCCAGAGCAGCTCCATGGGAATCATCCACGAGTGACGCCCCATGCGCACCGTTGTCCAGTAAATCTCGAGGGCGAGGAACGCATGGGATACGATTGTCGTCAGAAGAATTGACCAGTCGTCCCACCAAATTTGCATCCGAAATAGTACTGCTCGAGCCCAAAAGCGCGTGGAGATCCCGATCGTGGACACAACTAGGCCGACCACAACGCAAGTGACGAGGCCGGGGCCACGGTCATCGTAGTTGAGGGGAGGGAGTTGGCCCGGCAGTGCCATACTCGAAGTGTGAAATGAGTCAAAGAGTGGTACAGGTAGTTCTGATCAATGATGCGAGATCAAAGCTCAACTGGTCTTCTTATCAACTTGAAGAGGCGAGGAAACAGGCCGCGGAAGTCAAACAAGGGTGATATCGACTGCAGGCTTGAGCCTCATATGAGTGCAATGAAACTCGGTGAGTTATTGGAAGTGGCAATAAAAACTTGTGTTATTGGTATTCTCCATATCTTGTGCTAAGCTCCTTCATCAGAGACAATTCCCAAATGCCCAATTCGGGTGGCCGTCCAAAGAGAGCGCTAATGCCATAAAGCCACCCCTCCTTCGCAGACAACTTGCGAAGGATTTTATTTTAACGGCCATCCAGGCCATTCTGGGTGCCATCCTATATCGCGTGATGGGCCGAGTGGGGATAGGAGTGTAATATCTTATGTGCCAACAGATGGTTGAACGGGCCCTTGGCCACCCACGTTGTCCAGGTTGTCCCAGGCGTCTGCCCATTACCTCACACGCTGACATAAGAATAGATACTGACCAAGCCTGCGGCTGTTGGGAATGAAGCACTAGAACTCGGTGATATTGGCCAAAATAATACACCTCTAATATCGTCCCCCGGAAGCTCTTGGTCAAGAGCCGGCTCTTCGCAGTTCATGATTGACAAAGTTCTCTTGCTCACCGTCAATGTTGTACCGGAGGGATGAAGGACGAGCCGAAGTTCCACGGACAATGGTAATCCGATGACCTGTCAGCACTGCCAACGGCTCTGGTGGCTTTCTAGTAGGACGTCTACTGCAGCCGATGGCAATGCAACGTCGGGTGTCTATTAGGGTTTTTAATTGTATGCAAAGCATAGCTCGGGTCCCGACGGCACCCGAGCTGAAGCCGACACTGCAGGTAATGCGTGAGATGCACGTCGGGGCCCGAAATCTTCTCAAACCAACAATCCGTAGCTCAGTGGACCATGATCTAGACTTCTAGATACACGAGACGCCAATGAGAGCTTTCTACTCCTGGCTGCACAGAATAGTTGATGATTGGGCCAGGCACCCGTGGTGTATGCGAAGGCTTATTTGGGCATACGATGTTGCCTCGCTGGATGCCTCGCTGGTGGAGAGGGAAGGGCATGAAATTTACTTTCCCAAGCCAGCTCTGCAGAGTTCACTGGCAATCAAGTTTTCCACCGAGCACTGGCTCCTTTTCCATGGTGAAATGGTCATTTTGGGTGCGAATGATGCAAGGACTCTCGCGCAGTAATATATTAATTAATCGACAAACAAATGCAACTCCCAAATCCCAACTCACCCTGACTACCAACTCATTATCCGTCACTCTAAGAAGGATCCCTGCACATTGTGATTTCAACGCAGTCTCGAGCTTATGAATTCGGGTGGCAACCTCACGTTATTCATTTGCTAGAATCCTTTGCAGGTACTTCTGCCGCAAGGCGAGCCTGTCCAATGCGTACCAGATCCTCATTTAGCAGGGTATCTTTTGTGAACCCCTTGATCGTCTGGTCCAGAAGTGCAGCGGCGGCATCTTCCACATTGACCTTGTGTAGCCCGACGAGGGAACGCAAGAAGGCTCTGCCTACCTTGGCTACTGGATTGATTTTATTTGGGTCCTCAACGATACCGGTCTTGGTCACTTGGGCCTCGACAAGGCCGTTGGATTCTTTGGCGTAAGTTAGGATTTTGGTCTCGGCGTCACCCTGAAAATAAGGGTGAGATTCTACTTCATCAGAACGTGGGGGGACATTACAGGATTCGCATTGCAGAAATGAACGAGGGCATTACGCACCCGCATAAGAAGATAATCTCCCATCAAGAGTGGCTTTTTTGCCTGGTTGCGCTCCGCATTCGACCCGCTCATGTATATAAATCGGAGAGGCTGGGTCTTGCCTTCGCGTGGCAGGTGTGTGATTGTCTCGATGCCCTTGATTGCGTAATCGCGCGAAATGGTACACGTCTCTTCCCATGTAACGGTCTTGAGCTTTGACGGGGAAATTGCTATGGTCCTAGGCAACTCTGTCAGTAGACGAAGGCAGGATCCACGTTTCGAGTAAAGGCCGTAGCTACCAGATGACGGCATCTGCGCCTTCGAGCTCCTTCTTCACATTATCTGGATAGTTCAAGAAGTCTTCCAGTACCACAGACTGAAGTTTTGCCTCGTCGGAGTGGGCTCTTAGGCCTGCGGGCGCGCTTATTTCACGGCGGCCGAGAGCAACAATCTTGGTGATGTCGGGGATCGACAGCGCCTGGCGAATGACCTCGGTGGCCACGAAGCCCGTTGAACCGGCGACGACAATCTTCATGTTTGAAGATTCCTGTAGATGTTGAGCTGTGCACACGTAGCCGCGTATCAAGGACAAATGATGGGAGATCGCGTCTTCTTTGTCCCGTGGTGCGGGAGGACGGAATTGATCATTCCACATGAACACAAGGTGGCCCGCGTCAAAAAAGTCACATGAGACATGCAGCTCATGATTGGATCGGGTACCTGTCGTCAGTAGGGTCGCAGCAGAGTAACTACCCAACTCCCGGATTTCAGGCTTCCGTGCGGAACGGCTACGTTGCACCAAGGGCGAATGAGAAGGTCCATGCAATGGCAATGTTAATTATTCATCTTGCAAAGGGATCATACAGGCCGGAAATACCACCGTTTCCTGCTACCAAATCATAGCTTGAGGGGCCAACGGGAAGGGTCACGGTACACAAACCCTAAAGGTGGCATCAGGGCACCAAGTGCATGCCGAATTCAATTACAGCGTAATACGTAGGACCTGGCCGCCAGAACCATTACCACCCGTTCCGACGTACACAGACTTGCCGTCTCTAGCCAGAGAGACCGATGTTGGGTCTTTGACCAGAGTGCCGTTGAACCCTCCAGCTAGAGTCGTCTGGACGCCGTTTCTCGTAACGCGGTTAACTGACGAACCATGGACCGAGAGGTACGCGTTCCCCTTGCAGTCAATGTCAAAGTCATCGTACAAGTTACCCGCCATGCTAACATTATCCAAGGATGCAATCTCTTCAATGCTGCCTATATTATTGCCCAACGAGTCGATGGGAATCCGCGCGAATACGCCTGTCGCCGAGTTGGTGAAGTAAAGATGGCTGCCCCTTATCTTCAGGCCGTTGGCTCCAAGTGGAATACCGTTACCTGAAGGTCTGAGTGCGTCGCTAGTGAATGCAACATCGACCTCTTTCGTGCTTGTGTTGATGCGAAACATGCGACCTTGGATTGAGTCAACGCTCAGGACAATGGTTGGGTTGGCGGGTATCGAGTCCATGCCATTCAACATTTGCGTGTCGGGCACTGGGATAGTATCCAATAAAACTCCCGTCTCCTTCTCCGCGTCTACCTTAACAATGTATACAGCCATGGTGCCATTCTCAAACATGAATGGCATGTGTGCGCCGCCCGTGACCGCATAGACATTCCCGCCAAGATGAGCAATGCCAGTCAGCCCGTTACTTCCTGGTAAAGGTACGAGGCTCTTGAATGAAGGAATTTTCTCATTAGGGTCGAGGATCAACAGATTCCCTGAGAAAGGTGCGTCCATGGTGGAAAGGAGGATCTTGCCAGAGGGAAGAACATGGAGGTTCTCGACAAATGTGGTCGCATCGTTGAAATTGAAGATCTCGGTAATGGATTCTTCGGTCTGGGCCAGCTCAGCTCTCATTAAAATCAACATAAATAAAAGGTAGGAAAGCATGACTGCTGGTGGAAAGATGAGGTTGAAATGTGTCGAGACGAGGAACCAAGGCTGTGGAGGGATGATGTGTGGGGAAGGGAGAGTGGCAGCCTCATGAAGGAGGGCGCATGAGCCAGCTTATCAAGCGAGCAAGATGCTAGTCGAGCATGGTCCAAGGGACAATTTCCTTAAACAATAAAAGCATGAGGTGGAATATGAAATGGCTTGGATTCTTTAGCTAGGCCACTGCCGTCACATCCCCACCTTGGTTTTGCCCGTAATGAGCAGGCGAGTGAAGTAGACAAGGTGAGGAGGCAAGATTACGTACCATCTTATATTCTCTGGCGTGAAGAGCCGCTCCGTCAGAGTGTGGTGAAGTAAGATAAATTTGATCAAGGTCGATGAGATCAACTAATGAGTTCGTTTGCGTCCTTCTGCCAGAGCCACTCCTGCGCCACTCCTTCAGATCTATGGCCAGCTCTACTAGAGAAACTATGTTGTGTTCGGTGCATCAGGTAATGGGTTGCATCAGAACAGACGAGCTGGAGAAAGAGCGCAATAATCTGGGCGGTTCTCACCGGAGAGCTGAGCGCTACCCCGCTTATAAAGGAAATCCAATATTTACGTAGGCCCACCCACCCTCTAAACTTGTCGGGGGTACCAACTTGTATGCGTCGGGGATCGGGTGTCTGTCTCTAATAATGCATGTCTATTCAGCCCGGGAGCTTTCGTGTGCTCCACATTTCGGCCATGAAGATACCAATCCGATAGCGCAAACTCATTGGTAGGAAATACAGAGTATTTAGGGTTGCGCAAGCGTGAAGAAACGCCAGGTCAGAGTACTACTTGGCCCAGCTGAAGAAGCCGACCGCGTCTTTCCCTGTTGGCCCGTATTGCCTACTCACCAACAAGATCCATACTCGCAGAGAGTCCGTCGACATACTACCAGGATGGAGTGGATAACTGTCCCCTCCAGTCTATGCAACGCAACCACCTTTACGTATCCCACCATTGCTGGTGCTGAGTTCCTCAGCATCGAGGCATCCTTGGTGCAGAACTTTTCGCGATATGTCTCAGACCAAGACTACTTGAATTACCCAGAGATTTTTGTCGAGGACGCCACTTTCTGCAACCTCACCCTATCCTACACACACCATGGTCAAGACGACATTTTGTTCGTGGAGTCGTGGCTGCCTATTCCCTGGAATAGCCGTCTACAGACCGTGGGCGGCGGTGGATGGACAGGCGGCCGGAATGAGTTAGCCATCTCCGAAATGGCAGGAGCCATTGGAAATGGGTGGTATTTACACTCTATTCAGACCTACCAACAACAAAGTGCAAGAGCTTCTAACAATCGTTGCTGAACAGTAAGTGGTAAAAGTCCTCTAAGTACGAGGGCGAAAGAGTGCACGAGAGAGAACGACCTATCTCACTATCTGGAAGAACAAGAAAACTCGCCATGCTGTAGATGCCATAATCACCACGGACGCCGGACTCGGTCGCTCGGAAATACCAGTCGATTGGGCTTTGCTTAAACCTGGAAACGTCAACTGGGTTGCCCTCCAGAACCTGGGACATGTATCTTTGAATGAGCAGGTACTCAAAACACGTGCCAAGACCACTGCGCTTTCTCTTGCTAATGCCCGACATTATGCATACAGGCAATCGTAGGTAAAAAGCTCGCCAATGACTTTTGCGATAAGCCCCCCTCTTTACTCCTACGTCATTGGATGTTCTCAGGGCGGACGCAAGGAACTAGAACTGGCACAAAGATACCCAGACGCATACGATGGAATTGCGGCTGCGACTCAGGCCGTGTACTGGTCACAGTTCTTCCAGGCAATACGGTGGGCTTAAATGGTCATGAAGGAGATAGAAGCGTACCCGCGCGGCTGCGAGCTTAACTACCTTCAGAAAGCCGTCGTCAAAAAGTGCGATGCAGACGACGATCGAGGACAGCATCATTTTGGCCCCTGCTAAATGCCAGTTTGACCCGTTTTCTGTCGTCGGGACAAGGTTCTCCTGCAGCGACACTGGAACAGATATAGAGACCAGCAACGGAGCCGCAACAATTTCGAAGCGTACCATGCAGGGGCCAAAGATCCGGACGGAAACTTACCAGGACAATTTTCGGGACACCTGGATTGGCTGCTACGACATGTACCGAAGAGGCATGCGTTGGGCGTCCCTTTGAGTTTGGACTCTTCTGGACCGGCCTATTTGGAATGAAGGATCCTACGGGGGG